AGCACTTTGCTCCACTGAACATCAGCCTAGCCGGTGCTCTCCAGATGTGCTGGCTGGCCAGGAATAGCAGCCCACACATCTGGAGGCTGGGGAACGTTGGCCTCCCTGCTGTCACTCTGGGCATCGGGTACGGCTGGCCCTCTTCCTGCGCTCGGCAGGACTGCGGGCGCTGCAGCAAGTGTGGCCCCTCTGGAGGTTTGGGCTACACCTGCTGGCTCGGACTTGGTAAGCCGAGAACATCCTCCTTTGGTGCTAAAGGGAGCTCTTTCACAGCAGGTCAATTCTGGGCTGCCGTGGGGCCGGTTTCTCGCTCCGTTTCCCCTTTTGCACCAGCACATGGCTCCTGGAGCACCATCTGGTGGCCATCTTAGTTGGCGCTGCATGTAGGAATGTGTTTCACTGTGTTCTGCAAGTGAGGAAAGTGTGTGGACAGAGGGAGGGTTGGGGGACCCAAGTCCCAAATCCCTGGGAGGACCTCTGCCCCACCACCCCGCAGTCCAAGGAGATTCGCAGGCTCCAGAGGGCCCGGGGCCTCCACTGCAGTGTTTCCACTGGGTGAGCTGGATTGTGCCCCACATGGGCTTCAGCTCTTGCTACCCCCCGGAATCTTATCAGCTGTGGACCTCTTCATACATCTTCTTTTACAAATAGGGGTGTCCTTAGGAGACAGGCAGCTTTAAACACAACATGCAAAGTGTTTTTTGTTTGTTTGTTTGTTTGTCCTGATCCCCAGATCTTTTTGGTACCTAGCACCAAATTTCAGCATGTGTGTGGGTCTAATTTTATTCTTCAACCAAAGCAGCACTCCCCAGATTCCATGGGACTTTCTGAGCAGCTCAGATGGGAATGTACAAATTTGCGCCTTCACGTGGGTGACAACTAAATTTCAGGAGGTGTGCATCAAACTGCAGATGCATGAGATGTGCCTTGAACTCAGCCAAAAAATCACTTCACCAACATAGGATGCATCAGATCCCTGCATTTTCACTGTCCTCATGGCCCAGAAATTTGGAGGATCTGCTGTGACTCCACCAGCTAAAGGCAGTGTGCCAGACCGGGAGGGAGGGGGACAGTGCACATCCCAACCACCCACCCCCCAGTTTTGTGCCTTCTGATATGTTGGATTACAGCCTCCATTATTCCCAGCCACTGGAATGCTTTCTTGCCTGGAAACATTCCTGCCCCCAGGCTCACCTGTGATTACAGCTCTGCTTTGAGCAGAACAGCGGCCTGTCCAAGCCCAGAAATATGGTTAACTGTTCTCAGGCAGTTAAATGAAATCAAATCCTGCTTCACATTTTGGACACAAGCCACATCTTGACTGTGCATCCTAAAGGAAAGAGTGTCCTGCCTCGCAAAATTTGCAATCCCTTGAGAGAAGGGACCCTCCGTGCGATGAATCATTTCCTTTGGCAAATGCTTCCTGAGCATGCCTGTGGGTGGGCAGTTCCAACTGGCAGTTGCCAGATCATGACCCAAGTATTTCCTCCCTTCGGAAATAGGAATCAGAGTGGCAGCACACCTCTGCACTCCCGTGGGCGCCAGAACACCCTTCTCTGCTGGCTGGGAATGATGGGGACTGTAGTCCAACCCAACTGGAGGACATCCCACGGGGAAAAGCTGCTCCAGAAACTTCGTTTCAATTCATTCCCACTTCCCTCCTAACACACAAAGTTAGAAGACGACAGAGTGCATTAAACTTGCGGGAAAATAGACGGCTCTGAGGAACTCCTTGTGTTGAAGCTATTTGTGCTGCTGCCAGGGCGACCAATTCTGCCGAAAAGGGGGATTTTACTCAAGCCACACCTGCCCTCCTGTCCGTGTACCTACTACAAAAAGGTGCTATGCTATAATCACCTATGCAGAACAGTGAATCCGCAGTGCACCCCCCCCCACACACACACACACACAACACACACACCTTAACACACACCCCAGACGCACTTGGACCATCAAGTGCTCAGAGTCAAGAAAAAAAGCACCATCTGATTGACACGCCAAGTCCTCGTTAAGGATACGGCACGGCAGTCAAGGGCCGTAACTGCTTGTGCATTGGGGCCTGGGTTATCTGGGGCCATTAGAGGGTGGGGTGCACGTATTCCTTTCCATGTGGCCAAACTGTTCCAGTTGCCTTTTGCCCTCCTGCTTTAGCTCCTCCGAGGATTTCGGCCACACAATGGAAAATGCCATTTCCAACACGGGGAGTGAGGTTGGTGCAGACAGCTGTTGACATCTGGTTCCAGATGTTTTCTGTGGCAACGGCAGCCGCTGCACGGAGAAGCCAACAGACACACCCTGGTGTGTTTTCTGCAAAACCAGAGACCCTGTTCTGGGGAAACTGGGAGACGCCCCACAGAAGATTGCCCTGTGGATCGGAAATGATTCGGTCCCAAGAAAACAGGAGGTGTATCAAACTGCACCCAAGCCCAATGGCAACTGCTGAGATTTAGAATACATACTACATACTTTGCTTGCTTCTTTCAAGTCCAAAGAAAATGTCAGAATTCCCTTTGAAATCCCTCTTCCCCACGATCTCTACAGATCAGGGCTACACCATTCACAGCGGTTCTTTTAGGAGAACAAGCCGCTGCCTTAATCTTGGCCTCACCTCGTATCATCTCCTCCACGTCGCAGCGGCAGTCTTGGGCACGGAAGGGTCCTTCTCCGTCACCTGCTTCCTCACCGCTTTGGCTGGAAAGGCCAGGGAGCGAACCTGGAATTTTCCGTGTGCAAAGCAGGTACTCTGATCCTCCTGGTTCCTAGAAATAAAATCCATTTGGGAAGGACAGAAAAGGTTGCAGGTGAATCTTGCCTCCGGATGGCAATGCAGGCACACCCAGGTGCTGCTAGGTATGTTTAAAGAATTGGGGCTGAGGCCTATTGAACCAATATATCTATTAAAAACACTAATGCATGATTTCTAAAGTCTCTGTGTGTCTTTAAGGAGCCTGTCCTTACACATCCCTATTTGTGAAGAGAGATGGATGAAGAAGGAAGAGGAAGGCACCCGATTTCAGACAGTAACTCAGGCAGAAAGATTTTGGAGGGGGCGAGGGCACAGCAAAAAGGACATGTAGGGGAAAAGCCTTGTGGGGCCTGGTCACACACGGCCTCTGCAGGGACTAGAAGCACACACTGGGTGCAGGGTGTTCCTATGGGAGACATTCATCCCAAACTACTTAGCATTACAGGTATTATAAAGGAAAACCTTTCAAGTATTTCTTAAATCCAAACCACCACTTGGTATTCCAGCCTGGGTAAATAAACACGGTAAAGAATGCTGAATAGATGCAGCAATCGCCCAAGCCATAAAGTCTCGAGAGACAGAATGGCACTGGGAGAATCTTATCTTGCTCGAAAACCAAATTCCTAGTCCTTAAGGCTAGAGAGAATTAGCAATGTCTAGATAAAGCTGGATGGAATCTCAGAAGACACGGAGGGACTCCAGAGACTGACTGTGCAGGAATTCTATGGGCAAGGAAGTTTCAAGACTTCGACTCCCTTGTCTCTTACATGAGTTTAATTTGCATACAGTATCCAAGCTGAGATTCCAACTGGGATCAGAAGCTGCTTAAAGATCATCTTTGATAGTGTTTTACTGCAGCTAGCGTTGGGGCAGAGGGGAACCTGCCCCAAGGAGGGTGGATTTTCATGGACATGCGAGCAGGAGAGCCTGCGGGATCATTCGTTTGCTGGCTCGTAAATGTGCGCTGGCTTCTGCTTCGCTCCCCTGCAGCAAGGAAGGGTATCCAGAATGCATCAGTTCCAAGATGTCACAAAGGGCCAAGAGGCAGCTCGGCTCTAATGCACAGAGCTGCGTAAGAATTCGTTGCAAAGTGCATTCCAGAGGCATGACTGGAGGCTGACTTAGCCAAGAGAGAATCTCCTGCTGCCCAGTGCAAGCAGGAGGTCATCCTTCTGCATGAGGCAGCATTTGCAGTCTCAGGATGGTTTGAGTTTGGTACCCAAATGACCAGCTGCCTGCTTCTGCCTCCCCAGATCCACAGCCTGGTCTCAGACATTGCCACATTTTTGCAGGATTGCTGTGCTTGGCACCAGACACAGGGGCTAGAATACCGGAGTTGCTAATACACCCCTGACCTTTTCAAAAAGGATTCTCTCTACCCGTCAAACCTCGTTGCGGTGGTTTGAGCTGCTTCTCCCATGCAATTGATCTACTACGTTTCACCAACTTGGGACAAATCTAAGAAGAAAGCAAGCGCTATCTCCCCATCTCCTTGCACTGAAGATCTGAAGAAAAGGCCTGCATAGCCAGATAGTTATGTGATTGCCTCATCTTTACCATCTGGCCACGGCTGGAATATGGTAGACAGGTCTAGCTCACCTCGCCCCAAAAAAGTCATTTTAGAGTTGGAAGAGACAAGTTAATTGTGCTGAGGTGGATCGCGCCTTTTCTAAAATTAATGCTAAAGGATCCCCAAGGTCGAGGTAGCAAGGAAACACACAGGGCCGCATCCAGGGCTCTGCCGCGCACCCGCTGGTGCCAGCAGGGCCCAGTGCCCGCCCAAGAAAAAGCGAGCCGTCAGAAAAGCAACCCCGGAAATCGTGCGAACGCTCGTTCCTGGATCAGGCCAGAGCATCCTGGATCAGCCTGGTTTCGAGCTGCTTTCAGAACTTCCAGGATGGCACGCGTGCTCAGCCCGCCGTTCAAGGAGTTGCTATGGAACTTTACTAAACTGAGCCGTGCTGAAGAAAGGATGCAGAATCGTTTTTTCCACAACCCAGTAACTACAGAAATTGTCGAAAAGGGTGTCCAGGCTGGCAAAAGGAGCTAACCTCAGGCAATGCACGCTTAAAGTAATGCCATGACGAAAACCTTAGGGGTGGGAGTCGCCTCAAAACCCAAACCTGTGCCTGATGCGATTCTTCTGCATCCCACAGAACTGTGGCGCATCGACACACGCACACAGACCGCACGAGCAGTAAATCGTTCCCCCGGACCTGGTAAAAAACGGAGGAAGACGCAACAGAGGGCTAGGTTGTGGTTCTTAACTTAAACACCCATATGAATTTATTAAATCCAGAGTCTGTATTAGGATGTAACGATGAGAAACGGTATTTTCTGTTTCATTTTGTTCTGATAATCAGCTCTCTTTATGAAACGGAGACACAACTCGGAGGGAAACTCCTTAATAACAATGTCCTAAATACCCGCACAATGGAATGAAGGTCACAATGATTACTGGTTTGAGTTTTGCGTTTAACATAGAGACTGACGGAGGGGTGAGTGGGGTGAGGTTTCTCTCCCATGGATACAACATGTCACACCGAACGCCACCAACATCTCCGGTGGTCTCTTTTCCCTCATCCTGGGACTCCCATGCCCCCCTGGCTGCCCCCACGAGTTGACTGGAATATAAAATAGAACGCTTTGGACCCTGGAGGGCCGAAGCAACGCCTGCCCCCACCCATTTGCCTTCTGTCCATTATCCAACAGTGAGAGTGTCAAGTTAGGGATTTTAAAAAATAACAGTTAGAGCAGGTTAATCTTTCTTCTTCTCCTCTGCCGTTTTCGGCAGGGCTGTTTCCAGGACGCCGTCTGGCACGCCTGCCGAGCCAGCCGCCGGAGTGCTGCGGGCCGCCCGCTCTGTCACTGCCGCAGGGGCGCCGTTGGCCGGGCCCTCTGAGATCGCCCTGGGCGCGCTGCTGCTGGCGGGCACTGCGGGATGGCCATCCTCCTGGGCCGCGCTCTGCGTCGTCGTCCGAGATCCCTGCTCCTCCCCACTGATCCCGAACTCGTTGACGCGGGTCGGATCCACTCGGTAGATCCAGCGCTGGTAGAGGTAAATGAAGAACACGACATCTGCGGGAGAGGGAGAGACGCCATGCGTTACAGTGGAGCAGACTCTGGGCAGGCGGGGACGGAGGAGCGCTTCAGCTCGGAGGGCTCCCTGTTTGGGGCTGAGGAGGGCTGCCCTCGTCTCTGGGGCAGGGGAGCGGGAAGAACACAGACCAGGGGCACAAGGAGAAGGAGTTACCATCTCGAAGGCATCCTATCCTGTACATCATGGGCATCTTGATGACGAAGGCAAAGAGGTCGTCGATGAAGGTGTTGAGGGCTTTGTAGGTGAGCATCCGCCATGGCAGGTGAGCGACCGACTTCAGCTTGTAGTTGATGAACAGCTGGGGCGTCATGGTGATGAACCCTGGAGGGGGCAGGCAGAACAGAGAAAGGCTTGAGACCATGCGGCTGGGGGTCAACCCGCGTTGGGGGTCACCCACCCCCAGGCGGCACCCTGCTTTCTCCTTCCTTGCCGTCTCAACTCAAGTTCTGAATCAATGCCTGACGAATGAAGGCAAACCAGCTGCTGCTCCCCCCAAGGGCTGCTTGCGAGGGAGAAGAGGGGGGCTGGATCCCAGCGGTGGCCCTTCTGGGCTCGCGTCCAGTTTCCACAGAGGCCAGCCCGCAACGCCCGCAACAGGCCCGGAATGCAGAGGCAATTCGGGCTGCGGCTCGCGAGCCCCCTCCAGAGCAAAGTGCCTCTTTAGGCAGCTGCGGCGGCTCGTTCTGCCCAGGACTGCTCTGGGGCCGCCCCGGCCACTCACCAAAGGTCAGCAGGAACCCGTAGAGCATGCTGAGGACCCAGGAGTACCAGCCCTTGTGCTCCAGGTACAGGAGGCTGTACACGGCGTAGCAGCCCAGTAGCGGGAAGAGGATCCAAGAGAGATACCGGAAAGCCATCTGGCAGGGAAACGGATGCGAAGGAGTCAGTTCCATTCTGGGGGGCGGGAAGTGGAGGAATTGTGCAGGCCCCCTAGCTCAGCAGGTGCTAACTGGGAATCCCACTCTTGGGGGAGGGTTTTTGAGGGGCCACGATTCACAGTCCCCGCCACTCCGGGTTCCTCGGGAATGCACTGGGATCTAAACGGTGCACCAGTTTTTGCAAACTGCCATCAGGAAAAGCGCCCCCAGTTGCAGTATGTCAACAGGCCTCTTGGCTCCCCCGCCAGAGGAGACCCTAAACTCACATCATCGTAGACTTTGGTAGATGTCTCTATGTATGTTGACTTGTCTTTGAATGTTAAGCGTGGGAAGATCCCGGCAACCTTGTTTTCCCGGTCCAGCTGTTTATTAGAGTGAACAGAGAGAGAGAGAGAGAGAAAGAGTGAGGCACCAGGACAAGGCGGTGCTCGAGCGACACAGTCGGGCTGGCTCAAAGCAAACAAGCCAGCTCACACGCTGAAAGGGGAGAGGAGCCCAGACAGGATAGACGGTGGCCTTTCCAGCCCTCTTCTGGACACTGAGCTGCAGGAGCCGTTGCCGTGCGCGTCCTGCCCAGGTTCTTGTATCGTGATTGCTCTGGCAAGTTGAGATTCTGGGGCAAGTGGGGGGGGGGCCACGAGCACTTACCCTGACGTCCATGACCTTGGTGATCTTCCAAAGGTCAATGAGGAGCCCAATGAAGACACTGACTTGCACCACAAAGTTGGTTTCGTTGTCCAGGATGTAAAGAAGAACCACAAGTGACTGGAACACCCCGAAGAATACGGACCGGACCGAGAGTCCCTCTAGAGACTGCCTGCTGTTCCAGAACTGAATATCTAGAGAGGAGGAAACAAACCTGAGAGAAGACTCTCACTTCGCCTAGATTCACGGCACGCCTGATGGGATTCCCACTGGCCGGGTTTGCGCTTGGCCAACTACGGCTTGGTACTAAAGCCACATAACCACGAGGAATTGGTCCGTTTGTAGCGTCACGGTGGTCCTGTTTCCAGAGCGTGGAACTTAAGAAGGTGCACTTGCTTCCCCACTACCTTTGGGCCTCAAGTTATGGGAGAGGGAAGAGGGAAGCAGGGCTGAGAGGAGAACAACGAAGACGTTGGGACCTACCATTTTTGAAAGCGAGAAATTCAAAAATGCTATGTACAATGGAAACCACAATAGTCAGAGCGAGCAAGTATGGATTCGTTTCCAACAGAGCAACCTAGAAGAAAACAGAGGGAGGGGTGTAAGGGCCAGATATTTCCAGGGTAATCCAAAAATTGACAAACTTGTAAGCACGCCAGAGCAGTGAAGAATATATTTGACAGGCCAGGAACTTTTCAGAATGTCCAAAGTCTGTTTTTATTTTTTATTTTTGGCAGGGTTTCTAGCCCTCATGGTTGCAGTGCAGTTTGAACTTTCAGCTGCAGTCATACATTGCTCACGCTGATTTAGGGGTTTGATGCTGAGCGCTTTAATGTCTTGGCAGTTTTAATGTTGCCGGTCTCTTCATATACTTTCAAGCAGAAAAACAGCTGTTACATAAATAACCCAACTTGATGTAAGAAGAGTTCGCCATAAGATGCTCTTGCCTAGATGAGCAATACCTTTATCCTAGCAGAGGCACGGCCCGTCTATGGATCTGCGGCTCATTTTCCATCGCATGGCTAAGCAAGGCTCCCTCTCTCAAAATCTGCCTTTCCGGTCCTCTCAGTTGCTGTAAGCCTATTAATTACTCCCATCTTAACTACCTGCTATTTATGGAACCAAGAGGAGTGGAACCCCATGGCCTTAAGAGCACCGCCAGTGCCGCCCCGCTTACCTTCACCGAGTCTTGCTCTTCGTCCGACTGTTCATAAAAGTCCTCCCCAAAGAAGTTCCAGGGGGACTTGGTACTCTGGGCCGCGTACAGCTGCCACCGCCACAGCGAGAGCGGGCAGAAGGACAGGCGGAAGGGCAGGCGCTCCACGGACTCGTTGATGGGGAAGTAGTCCTTCTGCAAGTTCCAGTAATCGTTGAAGTATAGGATCGGGTAGTAGTCGCCACTCACCGCGTCGAATTTCACATCTACAACAAAACAGCCCAAGGGATGTACACAGTGCGCCAGGCTGGACCAGGCTGCTGCTGCTGCGGCACGGCAGAGCACAGGAGGAGAAGGAACCCGGCCAGACACAGGTCAGAGGCTCCCTCAGCTTTCTGAAGCGCCACAGGCTGCCCCTCCCAACGCATCACAGAAAAACAAACAACGAGAACCAGTTGCTTTCTTGGGTGCAATTGATACACTGAGATAGTCTTGATGGAATTTTCTGGAATTCACAATATGGGCTGCATAGTTAGGCATTTTAACTTCTCAAGGAATGTTCTGGTTTTGACTGGGAGAGGGCTTGGGCATGTATGAAAAGAACATGTTGGGTTTAACAAGACACATTAAATCTTACATCCTTCCTGGTGTATCTGGGTGATGCAGGGTGTGTGTGGGCAGGGGTGTGTGTGTGTGTGTGTGTGTAGCACTGGGAGGAAAACGGAGATTCTCCGTTTGAAATCTCTACCGAAATCCTCCAGCTGATGTGCCAAGGCCCAAAACGGGGCTGTGCACATGCGTCGGAAGGGCGTCTTTTCGTGGGAAGAAACTTTTTTGCTGCTTCTCAGTGGCTTTACGTTAAGTGGCGCAGGCTGCCTGGGCAGGCTGCTGTTCCAGACTAGATGGCCCGGGAGGCCCCTTCCGACTTGCTCTGTTCCTGCGTTCTGTGCTTTAGCTGAGGGTCTCCCTGCTCGACAAACAGCACTGCACACGGGGGCTATGAAATGCCACATGCGTCTTTGGGTAGCCAAGAAAGCTGCAGCCCAAACGTACGCCGGGGGGGGGGGGGGGGGGAACAAGGATCTGAGGCTACCAGTGCCGGGAGGCTCATCTCCCGCCTGCCCTGCTGCCCAGGCAGCCCAAGGAGGCCGCTGTGCACGGCCCTTACATTGGTCCAGAGGTGGAGGGACGCTGCCCTTTACCCAGGGTGTGTGGTCATCCACAATGTTGATGGTGAGGTTCGGGTGCCAGTGCGAGATGACTTCCACGGGGCCAAAGTCTTCTGCTCTCTGCAACAAAAGCACAACGCCTGAGTCTCTCTTTCACTCTCTTTTTGTGGAAGGAAAAGGAGAGGGCAACCCCTAACTTAAGGCTGTTCCGGCAACTTGCAAAGGAAGTGACATCTCAGTGAGTTAAGCAAAGAGGAACGCTCCGTGGGAATGACTCGAATGCTCAAAGTGCGGAGATATTCCTCCTGATAACCAAAGCACTTTGGAATTTAACAGGGAGCTACACACCATTCCTACACCCCCTGAAGTGGACTTTTAAGCACATGAAAGATTAAAGATTGGGCCCCTTCATAGAAAGCCTCTGCATAGGCTGTTCTCAGCCTAGGAGGACACAAACTCAGAGCTGAACTTTATGCAGGGATACAATGGGAAGCCCCCTAAAGGAGCTGCTAGCTCTGACATTAATCCCTGGATCCTGTTACACTGTTAAATGGATTCGAGTAATTTACTGAGATGCCACAGAAGCAAAATTAAAGTAAAAGCAGCGAGTCACTGGCGTCACTGATAAAGGCTGAACACCACGAGAGTGGCGAGTCTTCCCCCTCGTCCTCACTGTCCAAGTGCAGGAACCCTCTGGAGGTACTTGAGCTGAGGCATTTTCAGAAGTGCAACCAAACCCCCAAGTTCTCCAAAGACCCTCAGCCTATTACATGGCACGTGGGAGGCAGAGAGGACCCACCCATCGAGTTACTCTGCCCCCTACTGGCTGAGGAAGGTTTGTACAGCCTTTCTTCGGATTTGGTTAAGTTCTGGTTGGGATGCTAGGGGGTGCAACCGAGCGTGTCCCACAGACCGATCAGGTGCGTGCCGCTTTTAGAAGCTTGGTTTCTGATACCCAAGTCCTTCCTTGATGTCACGAACACCTCACCCATTATCTCGTGGTCCCAGAGAGCCAGGCACAGGTCCTCTGCTACGGCTGGAGGATTATGGGAGGTGCAGTCCAACACCCATGGAGGGCGCCGAGAAGAGCGCTGGGGCTGTTCCACCCCTCTCGGAGAAGGGTGTTCTTCGCAAAGAGTCCAAAAGTGGCTAACAGGCTGCTCTGGGTGTCTGTGTATTATCACCTCCTTCCCTACATCCTCTCATGCCCCTTAAGATTGGCAGGAGAGGCCTTGCTCCGGGAACCCTCTCTGAAGGGGGGACGGAGGGTGTCTGCCTGGGGGAGGGCCTTCTCTGCAGTGGCGCCCAGGCTATGGAATGCAGTCCCCTAAGAGGTCTGCCTGGCGCCGACTTTATAATTCTTTTCGGTGCCTGATGAAAACCTTTTTATTTTCCCGTCATTTTAACAATTAGAAATTTTAATTGGTTTTAATATCCATAGTCATTTTTTGTTTTTGTCTTTGCTTTTGTTGTTGATTTGGATTTGGATTTTTAACAATATCATGTTTTTGCTGTTAATGGTGGTTATTTGTTGCTACTAATTGTTATAATTTTTGCTATTTGTTGTTGTTTAATTGTTATAATATTGTAAGCCATCCTGGGACGTTTTTCTCGTGTAGGACAGGATATAAATGTTTTAAATAGATAAATAAACAAACAAATTTGCCTAAAGAGTCCAGGGGGGTGGCCATGGTGCCCCTCATGCCAGACTCAAATGCACCCAGTAAGTTTGGGAGCCAAGCGAGCACCTGCATCTGTCTCTCCAGACAGGAGAGTGACTGCAGGATCCTGCTGCAGTAGCTGCAAAGTCTCAGCAGAACTGAGGGAGGCGGTTGAGGCCCCATCAGTGAGGGGTTCAAGGACAGGCTGGACACGCACATGGTGGACATGTCGTGAGCAGAGCCAGCTGCAGCCGGGGTCAGACTAGATGGCCCGGGAGACCCCTTCTGACTCGCTCTGTTTCTAACTGTCCGTCTGCGCAGAGGCTGACAGGAAGGAGGTGAGGGTGCAGCAATTACATCATGCAGACAGGCCAGGCAGCCTCCTTGGGAACTCCCAGGAATCTTTCATTGTTGCCCCAGGGCACAACCTTTGGGTCACGTCTCCTCGTACTCCAGGCCTCAGCCATGGGCGGGTCAACGGGGATTTTCTCTTTCAAAATGGCAACTGAGATTTCGCGAAGCTGGCCAGCTGCTGTTTGCTTGCAAACACTGTGCAAGCGAAGTCTTAATGAGGGGAAGAGCAAAGCACAGGCGAGGCCTGTGTGAATCGGACCTGCAGCGGCAGGCATTCCGAATCGGGCGCACGAGACACAACCGCTGCAAAGGCTTGCGATGCAGTTTGGACCCTCTGCTGTTGGAAGAGGCGGCTCCTTTCCCGCTTGCTGAGCTGGCCTGCAACATCTTCAGAGATGGCAAGGGAGATGCACTCTAATTATAGCTCTGTCAGAAGTCATGGGCTTGCAGAAAAAGCCAATGTGCTTGGCAATGGCCTCTGGCTAGCCTCATGCAGCCAGGCGCTCAGCAAGGCCCTCAGGGACAATCCAGCCATGGAGGGAGGGCTCCAGGGTTTACTGGATTCACAACAGATTTCAGTGATGGCGGCTGAGTTAACACACACTCCCAGGAGGTACAATGTCAACAGAACGTGAGAAGTGTGTCTCGAGTAACGGCCTCTCTCTCTCTCACTTGCATTCTCATATGTACACAGAACGAGGAAGGTGCTTCTGTCTGAATGGTACACAGACAGAAGCACCTTAGGTTTGCCCCCCACCCCCCACAATCTCCTTTCAGAGCATCAGGCAGATCAGCAGAGACTCCATCTAGTTCAGTATCTTGTTTCCGATGGGGGCTGGCCAGATCCGGTTGAGCAGCCCAAAAGCAGGGCTCCGAGCCCCCACCCTGGCTTCCACATGCCCCAAACCCTCTGTGTATAAAGGCTGCTTCCCAGAAAAAAGCTTGAAGTAAAACTATTGCTTTTAGTGATGTCACTTAATAAGATTTTCTTTCCTCTCACCCCGCCCCATATAATCTTTCCAGCTCTATAAATAAAAGGGTTCATGGAATTCCCCACTGCCCTTCAGAAGAAAGAGGTGGGGGAATAGAAGGTTTCAGTATATTATGAAGCGAGGAACTAAAAGGACTGGCAGAAATCGTTTTGCAACATTAAGTCCTGCGATTGCCCGCCAATGTCAATTTATCAGAGGCTCAGCTCTGCCAGAGAACCCTGGGCTGCCAATGTTACGATCGGGAAAGCTGAATTATGAGGACAGGGCGCACAGGTAGGAAGCGGCGCTAACCAGAAGCCCCTGGGGCTGTTCCCACTCTGAAGGGCAAAACTGTGACCTTGCTGGCAAAAGAACAGGAGGGAGAAGTATGCAGAGTGTGGCCCAAAAGAAACAAGCAACTGTTACTTTTATCATTTCTGGGTCTGCTTCCGTCTCCCCTGTCAGCAGATTCTTGGTTTTCTGGAAACGCCGGCGTTTGTACTTATTTATCACTGCAAAGGAGACATGGGAAAGACAGGTAAGCAAAAGGCAGTGTACTATAGCAGACAAAGCTGGGCTGCAGGGAGTCTGGCAGCCCAAAAATCACAAGCACCTTGTATACAACTCAGGTTTCTAGAGCCTATGACTGCGATGGATATCAAAAGGGGAGAGTCAACCCCTCCTAAAGGAATAAGGAACAAGGAGGCAAGAAAAAGCCCAAGCTTCTTGTGATCCTTGAATACATACAGAGCGAGGCTTTGTCTGGCTCTCCCCATCCCCCTTTGCTCTAGGCCGCTGGCAAGGAATCCAGGGTGCGATTTTAGGAAGACTGGAAGTTGAGACTCTTGCTCCACCTAAGCCCAAGACCGTTGACACTGACTGGCAGCAGCGGCTGTCCAAGGACTGAGGCATGGGTTTGGGCAGCCTTATCCGGAGATGCCAGGAGCTGAGTCTGAAGCTGGTCCTATTTACTCGGGCTGGTTGCAACTCTCTAAGGAACCTGCTGCATCACTGAGGCACAGCGTCATTCTCCAAAATGCTGAAATTAAGCCAGGATAAGCAAACGTGCTTAAATTCCAAGGACAGAAAAATAGACTTTTTGGCGGAGAAACTAGGCGGGGCAAGGCATACATACAGTGCTGACTAGTTAGTTCTTGGGTTTGCAAGAAGACCGGGGTCGGCAGATGGCCACCCTCCAGCAGGGACAGAGGGCCTTGCGCATGGGTGCGAATCCCCTCCCTGAAGGTTAACCCTACGCACACAGGCACACGTGGCTCAGGTGGAAGCCCGTGAGGCCCCTGCAACTTTCCCAAAGATGTTAACTCGATGGCCGACAAGAAAGATCCCGCTAGGACCTTCCCAGATGTGCAGAGCATCGTGAAGCCTGCGGGGCCTGCACAGGCTCCCCTTTGCCGCCAGAGGCATCGTTTTGCAAAGGGCACGCGACAAAAGCAGACCGACAAGCAACGCACATGTTCATAACCACACTGGACCCTGGGGGAAAGAGCCTTCCATAAATCCCAGTGAAGACATGTGGAGGGACTGTGATTGGCTGCAGTACCCTGCAGGGACCCCCCCCCCAGCACACACTTTGACACACACACACACACGCAGAAGTGCAACTTTCCTATCAGCACATTTAGTGCAGGGAAGCGTCCTTGCCACACTGATGCGGGTTGCTGACCTGCAAAACACTCAAGGCCCCCAACCACATCTGCCTTCTCGCAAGGAAGGGGAGGTACAGGGAAAAGAGAGGGCAGACTTCCTGGAGGGCGGTGAGGGGGCAGGAAGCAGGAAAGGACAAGAAAGCCGGTATCTAGATGCCGCCATTCCCTCCTCCCTTCTGGGACACGTGCAGACATCTCCCCCCCCCCCCCAACCAGTGACCGTGGCCTCCCAGAAGAAGGAAGCAGGAGGTCTGGACAAGGGCTCACTTCGTGAGGTGTGGACTGTCGCTAGTCGCCTGTACAGATTCTTCTGCTTCGGATCAGGATGGAAGCCACTCTTCGTAAAATACACGTGGATGTAGATGGAACCATTGTGCTGAACGCTCTGAAATGACACACACGTACCCACTCGCCTATGCCGCCACCTCGTTACCCTCTTGAATTTTGTTAAGGCCACCGTGCCGCCCCACATGGCGAGGTGCGATGCAGTGGCAGAGGATGCTGGCGCCGGCCCCGCCGGGCCACCTGCAGGAATGCCTGGCGTGGTTCCCCCAAGCGAGGCCACGGTCTCCAGCCTCTTCCCTCAGAGCCTGATCTGGGTGCCAGGCACTTTCAAAGCTGGGGGAGCAGACAGTCCTCACAGAACTGTCCCGGCCTGCTTGCTTCTCTTCCGAGGGGCCCCAGACTCAAGGCTGCCCCCATCTAGCAGCTCTGCTCCCCACCCGAAAAAGGCCAGGCGGGTCTTGTACCGGAGATGCGGACGGACAGTGACAACCCCATCTGCATCCGGAGAGAACCGTGACTGCGGGCAGCTTCCACATCAGCACTGAGCACGGAGGGTCCGGCTCGCTCCAGCCTGCCCCCCACAGTGGTCTCCTCCAAAGGTGCAGAAATATGGAGGAAGGGGAAGCCCCCTCCCCAGGCAACCTTTCTCTCCAGGGGTCTGCCTCCTGGGGGCTGCAGGTCATGGGCGGCAATTTTCCAATGTGGGGGGCGCTGCCCTGTGCCCCAGCATGGCTGATCGGCGGGGAAGAGGAGGAAGCAGCCACAAGGAAGAACAGTGGCCTCTGGCAGCCAAGGAGGGGCAGTTTGCCTCCAAACCCAGCTGCGGACAGGCAAGGATTCGCTTTACTTCCTTCTCGCTTTGCCGCCGCCCTTCAGTGGCAAAGCCCCACATCTGGCTTTCAAAAGGAAGCTACTCCTTCCTGCTGCACCACCAAATTACGAGGGCAATGTGGCTGTCTCAGGGAAGGACGCGAGGAAGGCTGGGGGGGGCCAGACGTGCCCCAAGTGTCCCCAACACCTGCGGCAGGTGGGAAGCCCACTGCAGAAAGTGAGGGACCTGGTGCAAGCACAGCTGGAGAGAGAGCGGCTGACAGCAGGGGCTGCTTGCGCACCTCAGGGATATCCAGCTCTGCATAGTGCTCATAGCACCCGTCGGAATTCTTGCCGCTTGTCCAGTCGCCGTACACAAGATCTCTTTGCTCCCAAAACAATGCCGAGGTAGCATTGAAATCTGTAAAGTGCTCATGCTCTGATATATAGACGTGAAGATCCTGCAGTGAGAAGAAAGGAGTTTTATTTGAGGCTGGCTACCCAACACTGGAAGACGCATATAAGACAGGTTTTTCTATTTTTTTTTTTTTAATCACTGGGGCTATGGATTTACGAAAATTTCTCAAAAGTGCAAGAAAAAATGTAGATTGTGGAGGTTGGCACAGAAGTTAAAATTCCCAGGAATCAAGACTTTCACTTCATAAAAAAGGCAAGTTTCTAGTCCTCATGGTTGCAAAATCATGCGTCAAAGCATGTTGGTGATGCATGTTGAAATTTTGGAATTTTGAGTAGCTGAATAAGACCGTCAAAGGGTAATGAATGTGAACTCAAAATAAAACTGGCAGAATTCATGGCACAAAAGGAATCTGCTCAGCTTCCACAATCTAGAAGGGCTACACAATTCTGCTTTTTCTTGATGCAGAATTTGGTTCAGCCAGGCAGAAATGAAATACGGAGAACAGGTGCATGTTTCTAACTCCATGTAAGAGGTTGTAGTACTGAGTTATGCCCCTTTGCAACCCCTGGGCCAGGGGACCCCCATTCCTGTTGTGCTTACCATTAAAGTGTCTTTAGGAAAGAGATTTCGGCTTGGCGCTCTCGGTGTCCCACCAGCGGTCGTCTGATCCTGTGGTGCCGGCCCACGACGGAACCAACTGCTGATGGCCCAGATGATAAAAATCCTGGGCATTGGGGCAGAGAAAAGGAGGGAATTAATGCTCGGAACAGTTAAAATCAGCCCCTCCTTCCAGAGGCAGCTCCTGAACAGGGAATTTCCAAACAGGCTCTTGATCAAACAAGACAAGCTTCTGGAAGACCAGGGTTATCAGGCATCACAAACCTAGCCAGGCCCTGGCTGGCAATTCCCTCGTTCTTGGGGCTGCATGTTGCGCAGAGCAAGGGGCTGCGCAACCGGCGTCCGTGACCCCTCCCCAGCTCACGGGCCCCCTCCTCCCCAGTGGAGGAGTTAGCCGTGTGCCACCAGTGCCAAGCACCACTCAGACACTTCCTGACACACAGGCAGGTGGAAAGGGAGAGCTGAGCACACAAGGACAGCTCTCCTGCATCGTCCAAGAGAGAGGCAGCACCGAGAACCCATGGCATGCCGGCTGTTTCCTCCCAGTCGCAGTCCTGAAGCCCTCGGCCAGGCACCAGCCCTTTCCCCCGGCTGAAACAGAAGCAGGAGAAGCAGAGCTGGTGCTCCGCGGACTGCGACGAGCGGCAAGGGTGGCCGGGAGAGCACACATCTGCCACCTGCCAGAGGCCTGCCTCAGGAAAGCCTGCTGTGAGCGGGGCGAGACCTGGGGCATGCCCAGAGCTGCCACTCGGAAGACCTTTCGCAGCTATTCTGTCTTGCTCCTTAACGGCTTTTCAGCAGGCAGAAAAAGAGTTGGAAGAAGTGGTGGGGAAACCCCGGGGGGCGGGGGGGAGAGCTATGGATGGAAGCAGCAGCTGCCTGGAGCCAGAAGTGTGCAAACACCCCCCCCACCCCCGTTCTGACCCTGACCTTCCTGGGCTTCCATCCCCTACAAGAGGCCAACAAGCACGGCCATTGTTACACGTGGGTTTCCAGACTGCATCTTCTGCCACCCCCAGACATCTCTGCAAAAGCCACAAGTTTCAGACACTGGCATGGGATTCTGAAATGTCTTAACAGTGACTGTGACTTTCGGAAGTTGCACTGTAACAGAATGATTGCTTTGCTACCTTTTTTAGGCCATTCCATAAAAGGCTTTTTCCATGATCCACTGCACACCTGCGTAACGCGAATCACTTGGCCTCTTCCTCCAACCTCACACCCCACACCCGATCGCCCTCTGAAATGTCAAGCGGCCAACAGGGACCTACTAGGATGATCCATTTTAAAGAAAATGGTGCGCAGGTCTCCTCTGAAGAGTGGAAGGGGAAGAAGCGGCCTATAAGGCTGGAGCCCCTCTCTGAAGAGCCTCCCGTTCTTGAGCTCATTGGCTTTTTTCCTCAACTCCTGAACACTGGCCAGGTGCAGGTGCTTCTGATTGCGACAGTGAAGGGCAGACCCGAGACTTGCATGGTGTTGTTGTTTTACAACTAGAACCCTGGGCTCACGCTAAAGTTACAGCTTCACTAATCTGCGTTACATGGCTGGGAGTGAACTGCGAGATCGGGCCAAGGTCCGTCGGGCCAAGGTCCGTCTAATCTTGCATTCTTTGCGCTAGCCGGCCCACCGAAACGTCCCCTCCCAATGCAAGCACACATTCACCTGCAGAAATACTAACTGGCCAACAGGTTCTACCTGGTGCTTTACCTTCTGCTCACCTCTGCGTTAGGAGGAAATGCAAGCAGGGTGTAAAACCTCACGCCTGGGACTCAAATGGACTCTTGGGACACTACGGTCTCCTGGCCCCACTCCAACTGCTGATCGCTGGGAAGTTTCCCAACATGGCTGCAGGGCTCTCCCTATTCCAAAGGGTTGAAATGCCTCTCCAAAGACACCGTTGCAGGCAGGAAGAGCTTTAAAAGGAAAGATCCATGCATTTTTGGCCCTTCCCTTTTTGGAAGCCTTGCCTGACATTAGGATGAGGCCTTGAAACTCACCTGAAGTGGAACCTGGCTCCTGTGCAAACAGGTGTTCTGAAGCAACAGGGATGCAGCCCAGGGGGCAATTCTAGCTGGCTCAAGCAAAGCAGCATTTTACTCAAAAGGAAGAGAAAATTATTCTGGAAGGTCCAGAGCCTGTGCCATGCAATACAGCGGCTGAATCTTAGTGGTGAGGAAAGGACAGTTTGGGCCAGAAGTCCCTGGCTCAGATGTCGCCTCTTCGACGCAGGGACGGTGCTGCCGGTTCCCCCTCCATCTGGGGCAGCACCGGTGCCATCCCAGGGCTGCTGCAGGGACCACACCGACGACACATGATGCGGGATCACTTTAAAGATCCTAGAGCGCCACGTAAATGTAACTTGCAGTATATTTACGGGCATGTTTAATGCTGCATTTGAAAACCATCTCCATGGATTTGCAGCTCAGCCATCTTCTTAAATGTATGTTGAATTATTGTTGCTACTTTTAAAACGGGTCTTTTGATGTGTCTTACCTCTAGTTTTATCACTAAGTTTATGGCATTTGCTTTTTATTTATTATGTATCTCACCCTAAGCACTTCAGCTACAGATCAACTCATAAAATGACTAAATACTTTCAATAAAGCACTTTAAAATAATTGTGGTTAATGAGTGGATGGAGGCATACCAGTCACTCTTGGCTGACTAGCTGCAGAAGGGACCCCCTCACCCACCCCCAACTCCAGAATTTGGTCATTCCTGTTACCGGAGACAGCCATTTGGTCCCTCCTAAAAGACTTCAAGAGAAAGGGAGAGACAGACAAGATGCACCTGGCTGTCGTCATCGCTGCTCAGCGGATTCTTTCTGCCTGCAACTGGCGAATACAAGAACTGGGAAACATAAGATGCTTTGACTCGGAGCCCCGTACCGAGCAGGGGTTGCCCCCACTGGCATTATTGTCCTTTTCCAATGCTACTATTTAAAGATCTTTAGACTCGCCACCTTCCCAGTTCTGACTTAAGCTCACCCCGCTCCTACCCAACCTTATCAGTGTCTTTTCTGCCAGACTGCTAGACCTCCCGCCACCATTCATCCTGGGGCCAGCTTAGCTTTTGCAATATCCTCTGGGGAGGAAGGCGGAGCAATACCATCAACAGAACTGAATGCAGTGTCTGTACCACACCAGTATCACACCTCTTGATACGTATCGCTGCTGCTGCCGCCTCTACGACAAATGCAGGGGTACTCAATTTATGCAGGCATGGAATTATATTGTGTGTAAAACATATATACACACAGTAACTACTGCCGCTACCCCCCGCCCCCCCGCACCACAAAAGGATATCAAGCCATAAAACTGGGAACTTGTGGCTGCATTCCAGTTGCCTCCAAATCGGTGCCGCCATTACCTGCTTCAGCTCCTGGTTTACAAACAGCCTGATAATGGATCACCATCATTTATAGTCGTGATTATTTCTCTCCCACTTCTCCAAGGAACTCAGGATAATTTCATTCTCCGCCCTGCCCTGCCTTTATTCTCACTCATCCACTCTGCGAGGAATGTTAGGCTGCAAGTGGCTCACAGACAGTCAGGGACGGAACGTCACAACCCAGTGGGGATTTGAGCTCCAGCCTTCATGCTCCGTGCCTGCCGACCCACTGCCTTGGGTCTCTTCTCTGAGGCTTCCTTTGTGGGAGAGTGTATAAACCGCTTGGGACCTGGATACCTGAAGGAACACCTTCCTCCGTATTTGCCCTCCCGTCCCGAGATCGGCAGCAGAGGCCCTCCTCCGGGAGCCCTCCGGGAGAGACATTAGGAGGCAAAGTACCCGGAGGAGGGCCTTCTCTGTGGTGGCGCCCCGCCTATGGAATGCGCTCCCCAGAGAGGTCTGCCTGGCACTGTCGTTATTTTGTTTTTCAACGCCAGGCTAAGACCTTTTTATTTCAACAATATTTTAATAACTTTTAACATCCGCTATATAGGTTTTGATCTGCAGCCAGGGTGGATCTGGATTTTATTTGTATTATGTTTTATTTTATTTTTTCTTATTTACGTAAGCTGTCCTGAGGCTATGCGATGGGAAGGCATACGAATACTCTGAAGGAAGGAAGGAAGGAGGGAAGGAAGGAAGGAAGGACGGACGGACGGAAGGGCAGGTGTTGCGATGCCTTAGGAGCCTGAGTGCTCATTAGGTACAGAGTCAAAATGGCACTCCAAGGCAAGTTGGTAGTGGCTATGGAAGGAATCCGCTTCAGCAGCAAAGTGTGTTAGGGGTGTGAAGAAAGAGGCAAGAGGCAAGCGGAATTCAAGCCCTAGTCATCCTTATGCAACCATATTTGTGGACCTCTGATGTTCCAATTAATATATCAGTGTGGTTAATCATCTAAAACTTTAACCAAAGATTTTTGGGGGTGGGGGAGGAATCAATTGAAGCAGGTCCCTTGCTTTGTAAAGGAGGCTTACTGTATTTCTCAAGGACACTTGCTTCAGGAAACACAGGTTTCACAGGCCTGGCTCCTCACTCCTAACCTTGTAAACATCAGCACTGCTGGCACTGGAAAGAATTCGCACATCTCTTCCCACATTAACAGACTAGCGTGTTTAAAATCATGGCTGGAGAGAACAAGCCCACTGGGAAGACAAAATCACAGTGCTGTCAGCTTCCGTGACTTCATGAATCATCGGCTAGACCCACAAACACAGCAGGGCCTGCAAGTGTCGCCTGCTTCACAAAACTGATGAAAAATACAAACGCCTTTCTGTTCTCTGACAATGACCAGTATCTCTTCCTTTGAAAATCACACTCCAGAGACAAGGTCACCTTTATTCAAGGTTCCTCCTCCCAAACACCTTGGTGGGGGGTTTTCAGTCCACAGGTTGAACCAGCCAGCCAGCTTAAAGCCAGAGTTAATTAGCTAAATCATTTTTGCATCAGAATCACACAGCACCACTTGTTAAGAAAGAATTAGGTGATCTGACAGGGAACTTTTACAAAAGTGTGGTTCCTTGATAGTTCATTTCAACCTGTTGGTGACTAAGCAAGACATGTCCGAGTAGGAGGGCCAGTAATGCCTGCAGAGTGATGTACACACACACTTTCTTTGGCTGCTAACAATACTAGCAGTGCTTACGAATAACTGGGTGATCTAAAAGAAGGGAATGATTTAAGCTGCTTTGTGATTAAGGCCTCCCTGCTTAAAATGGGCCCCAATCATCGGGAAATTTCTCAACCCAGTGCGAGATGGATTATTAATTTAACTTCAAAGTGATGCTCTGGATCCATTTGCAAGGGGCCCCTCGCCAAGTAAAGATCACAATGATTTTTGTACACTCGCAATTCTGAAAATACTGCCGCACTAGCCCATTTCTTGGGAGAGGACGCTCCAAAGCTGACCGTGTTCCAATCTGATTTGCATTAATAAATTGAAATGTTTAATAGTTCTAATCGCTCAAAAGTTTGCCGCTTGACTGGCGCTGCATGGGTGCCAAAAGCTTTTGCTGATGCAGCTCCAAGAACAGTACAGCAAAGGCTTTGGAAGCAGAAATTCTGGTCTCCTGTCAGGTCACCTTCAGAGATCATTCTAAGCGGGTGAGAGTGGTCAGCACCTCTGAATATTTCTGTTGCCCCGTCGGTCTTGTGTTGCTGGGCAAGTAGTGGGGTGGAGACGGTTAAATGAGGAGAAGGTGACCCTGTCCCTGAGATAATGTTGCTTTATTTGCTCACTGGAAAGCTGACTGTCCTACCCATCGTCCTGGACCTTCATCTGCCCTCTGCAGCTGAAGCCTGTGATGACTGGCCCAGTACCAGCGGCAGCTTTGCCTTCATACCGTTCCGCATGACTCCATCCTATCACAACAGAAGGTGGCCAGCTGGACTGGAGAACCAACAGGCACCCCCCGCCGCAGAAACCCACACACCTCAAAAACTGGGAGCAAACAAGCCCACCCTGGATAAACTGCGAGCACACCAGGGAGCCACCACATGCGAGGCACTGCAGCATGGAAGAGTCTCTCTCTTGAAATGCAGGGGAAGCACGTACCACAGGACACTGTGAAATGTGATCCCAAGTAAATATATAATTACAGTCACACCCCATGTCATTTTAAGACTCCATATAGGATACCTGCTTCTGCACAGTGATATGTCTTTTTCCCCACATAAACACCTTTCTTTCTTTCCTCTCCAATTTCCTCTCATTCAAATGAACGTAATCTGAAGGTGGGAGAGAGGGTGCAACAAGTCTGTATGCTGTGTAGGAACCTGGGATGTCTTACGTATGTTTAAAAGCTCAAAATGCTTTAAATAGTCAGTTGTGCGACGAGCAGCTGCCGCAACCAAAGCAACCTCTTCCAGTGGAGATGCAACGGCTTGCATGCACACAGCTGAAAGCGCTCTGCTGAGGGCGGCAGTTCTGCATCAGCAGGAAGGCGCAGCCTCATCACCACGTGGCTGGCTACAGTCACCAACCGCATATTTTTATTTATTAGATTTATACCCCGCCTTTTTCTTTTTAAAGAACGCAGAGCAGCTGATATCATTTTCCTTCTCCTGCTCGCCATCTTCTCCCCGCCACAACAACCCTGTGAGGAAGGCTGGGCTGAGAGTCTGTGACTGGCCCAAAGTCACCCAGTTCACTGAGCAGCGACTAGAATCCAAATTTATTTATTTATTTAAAACATTTTTATGCCACCCTCATCACAACGAAGCCTTGGAGTGACTCACAACAGAAACAAAATACATGAATAAGTAACAATATAACAACAAAAAATTATTTAAAAACCTCCGGTGCATCTTGGCTAAAAATTTAAAATCCTATACAAATAATTTAACGATTAAAATAAGTTGCAGCTCACCTGAGTCCTGGTTCTGCACTCTTAACCACTATACCACATGGGCTACCGATGGTCTCAATGGCTTGGACCACAATTTGCAGTCTCCCGCCAGCGTGATGGGATTTGTAGTCCAGCTCCTTGGGAAGGCACCAAGTTGGAGCAGGCTGCCCTATTCCACTTTTTCTTTAGAAGTAAAGGAAGCCCCTCCCATAAGAAGCAAGGCACTGACTGCTGAGGGCGAAGCAACAGATTTGGAGGAGGCATTGCCAAGCTCACCACCGTCCCACAAAAACTCCCAGAAGAGGGAAGTCTGGCAGGACCACAAGGAGAAGAACCAGCAACCTGCACCAGGGCAAGCCTGCACAGGACACACAAGAGCCCGACCACAAGAGGCTTTAAAAAATTAACCCTCTGAGCACGGACTTTCTCAGAGATGCACTGTAATAAAATGATACAAAAGTGTACTGTGAACCATTCAGTGCCCTCAGAATTTTGTTGGAAACAAAATCCAAACCTGTTTGGCTTCTGGAAAGTAGAGGGGGGGTTGTGTGAGAGAAGGTATTTCCTGCTGAGGAATTATTGATACTGGCCAACAACAGTTTTTCATGAAATAACAGGCCAATAAAAGCTAGGAAAACCTCAGGAATCTCCTGCCTACCCCTACCCTGATTTGCAACAGGTCATGCTCATCCAAAAGATGACACGCTGCTGCACAGGAAAATATTAATTCAGTGCAGCGTGCCAAAGTCCCACTGCTTCAGAATTTATGCTGCCAATAAAACAACACGAAAGAGGGACGGCACTGGTGTACTACTTGGATTCTAAGAAAAGAGTTCGTTCTTCATGCAGTCACATTCCACTCAAGGGCTGCAGGTCCTGAATTTCTCAACAGGGGCTCTGGACTGCACTATGCAAGAAATATATTTTGCGTCTCTTAATCCTCCCTTTAAATTGGGGTTTGGTGGCACCCCCACTGTGACTTCTCACGGTGCATATGCCAAAGCATATATGTTCCTTTCCATAGCCTCATTACCTGCCACCTGTCAACCAATCTACCAAGATGCCAAGCTCCATTTAAGGGGTCGGTACTAAGAAAATCAGATGTGGAGACCAAAGTTCCAGGCTAGTCTCCTCCCTGCCAGGCAAGCTTTCTGTTCTTTGAGTGGTGTGGGTGAAAGATGAGGGGGAAGTGGGAAAAGGGTGCAGGGCGCCAATTCCTCCCCACCCACTTTTCCAATGGAAAAGATAAGAGAAGTTTGGAAGAACATGGTGGGGGCGAATCCTCCTACAAAATGTTCTCTTTTGCAGTGAATTACTTTTTTGGATGAGGTTTAACTCAATCACAATGTGCAGAATGAGGTTGTTTAGGCAAGAAATTAAGTTCCACTAAACAGAATGGGTTTTATTTTTGAATATGCACTGGCAGGAGCATTGTACACTTTTCCTAAATATGCCAGAGCATACAATTCTATTTCCCAACTAAGAGAATGATCCCATGGTCCCAAGACATCCGCTGTCAGGCCAGAGTACACTGTGGATTCCCAGATCTAAAACAAAGCTCCAACCCCAGAGCTGCAACTCTGAGCTTTTATTTCACTCCCAACTGGCACAAAAAGAATTTTGCTGGCTGCCTCTCTCAGGCTGGGAACTCAATTTCAGACAGGGGGAAAAGGAACCATTCCGGTAAGTGGGATGGGAGGAGAAAGCAGAACTCAGGGCTCAGCATAGCCTGTGCGCTACCTTCCCACACCTCTGAAGTGCCCCAGATGCATATCTGGAAAGAGCCATCTACAACTCAGTTTAAGGTAAGGGTTGGTAATAAAGAAAGCTGTGCATATATTTCAATTCATCCCAACATTCCCACCCACATAAATACACCTAAAATGGGAGGAAATCACTTTTCCCTAAGGCTTTAAAATTTACGGAGTTTTTAACATCTTTATTCTTGCGTGGCAAATTGACGTTCAGGCAAATGAGCTTCACGTGTTCGGATACAAGTTCAGCACCTGCTGCCTGGGAGAAGCAGGCTTTCGGCAGGTCGTTTAGCATAGCAGCCAACAGACCAAGTTTGGGGAAGTGGAAGCCAAATTCAAATTCCACCTGCGCCGTGAAACTGCTGGGTTTCTTAGCAGCGACTCCCTCAGCCTGCCACTGCCAGCTGCGATACGGGCACACAGCTTTTGGAAGGATCAGCAAGGTCATATCTGGAACACGCCATGAGTGCACCAAGGCTCCGCAGAAATGCCACTTTTTATTTCTCCAAGTGCACAAGGCAGCGAGTGGCTGCTCTTTTCACAAAGTACAGAAACATGACCCACGACATGCAAATGCAAAATCAGGAGTTAATTCAAGGACAAATGAAGGATGATACACGCATGCAGCACGAACTGACAAGGCGAGAGCCCATCAAGATCTCACCTGAACAAGACTCCTTTGATGACTTGCCAGGCATTTGGCGCTTGCTGCTGGGGCTGGTTCTGTTGCTGGGTTTCGACGACCCCTTCGCCTCCCCCTGCAGTTCCATTGCTGGTCACTTGCTTTACAAGTTGGGAGAAAAACGGGAAGATGGAGATCAGTAGGAGCAACTTAGCATAAGCAACAGAGAGGCTCAAAGTCCCTGGTTACTAAAAAGCCAGGGCAGGTCAACGGGACGACACAAGACGCCCTTGCTGGACTTTAGACCAGCCTTCCTAGATGGTTTGGTCGACTCCTACAATTCCTATTGTCCACGTTGGCTTGGGTTGATGGGAGGTGAAGCCCAGGACTTCTGGAGGCCATTAGGTTACAAAAGGTCGCTTCAGGGCACCCTCAGGTCCCTGGATGTTTCTAGGGTTTTTATTTTCATGAAATTCACACATCTCCCCACATCTCCAGCCATGTTTCTAGGGTTTTTATTTTCATGAAATTCACTATAAATCCATCCGTCCATCTATTTATGTGTATGGGGGGGGAATCACCCCCAGCCAGCAGTCCCAGTCCCGCCTTCTTAACCACTACGCCATGCTGGCTCTCTGCCTTCCCCAAACTATTAATAGTCAGCCTCTCTCATTCTTGCCACCACAGGTTTTTTCCAACATTAAACAGGCATGAATTGCCAACTTTTCTCATACAGAGCCGGTGCTGGCCGTGCGATCACTTTGACTCCTCTTTGCTGCATCTCTTGTATTTCAGCAACACCCCTTTCGAAATGAGAGAACTGGAACTGTGGGCAATATGCCAAACGTGGCTTTGCTGAGGTTTTAGATTAAGGCACTGATGATACTTGACCACTTTGTTCTCCATCTCCTTCCTAACAATTTCTAACACACTTGGTTTTCTACTGCAACAGCACATAATGGACATTTCCACTAAGACAGCCATGAAATGACCCCGACTTCCCTTCCAAAAAAGTCACAGCCATTCCAGACCTCTTCAATTTGGGTCACCTACATTTCTACGTGAATGTAGGATGCTGTATTTCGTACTTTCTTAGAACAAATCTCATTGCCATTTCATTCCCATTGATGCAGTCTGGAGCGTTCCCTTACTGAAATATTTGCAGTTTGCTTAGATCTTCATGAATATACCTCAGCACCAGGCTGAATACAAAACCCACTGTTTATTAACATCCAATCTTATAGAAAACGTCTGTGTCTAGAACTTTTTCTAAATCTGGGTACAATGACCCAATTTGCACAAAACCAACCTGATGGGTTATTGGGAGCGAGCAAGTGGGCTACTTTTCATCCATCAATCACTTAATTTCAGCTTTTGTTCCCAAGTTGTTTGTTGTGACATGAAAATTCTGGGTTGATGAGGAGGCAATATCCCAGAATTTCAACCCAACAACTAACTACAGGTTAAAATCTGGATCCCCCCCCCCACACACACACCCCGCAACAACCTAGCATTCCAAATTCATGTGAGAGGACGAACAACCCCAGAAATGAAGTGGGAGATGGTAAGTAGTCAGTAGGATCACTCCTGCATGGGCCCCAGCTAATTGTGCTGTTTAAGCTATGATGTGTGAACCAAGACTGTTTACTAGCCTTGGGTTACCAGGATAATATTTGCAAAGTTTCTCAACCACCTAGGAAAAATAACTTGTTGTGTTACTTTCATAAATAGCACTGATTTGAGGAAGGGAATACCTGAATTAGCTACATTACATTGCTCAGATTTGTCAAGAATAAGGTTGAAGTACCTCATCACTATCAAGTCAATTTTACAGATAAGAAATTCAACTGATGTTTCCAATCACTCCCAACAGGCACATGGGGTCAGATAAGTAAGCCCACGAAATGAATATTTGAATGAGCAAATTCACTTACATAATACACCTGAATATCAAAATTCAGCTCAGAATTCCAGGCCCTCAATTCTTTTCTCAAGAAAGAATGTCAAAAAATGAGTGTGCTATCATTTGAATTCAAGGCTGTTGGGAAAATTAAGGCTTCAGATCTGGATTAAAATATTACTATGCAAAACTACAGTATTTAAAACCTCTAAAGAGAAGGGATGCTAGGCCACTGTGGAAAAAAACAGAAGTGATAAGCAAGGAACCAAAGGGAAGTATCATGAAGGGACCAGGTAATAAATGTCCCAGGGGAATCCCAATGTGAGAACAGATCTAAAAGGCTGCAGTGGTTTTAAGAGACAGATGACAGGCAAAAGATTAAACAGGCAATGCATGAGTGGTTTTCCTGCAAAGGGCGGAGAAAACAGGTGCAGAAAGGTAATCCCCTCTGCCCCTCCCCTGCCGTAAGCAGCAACAACCAGCAGGATAAACACTGCTGCTTAAACATCTGATAGCAATGGCACACACATCTGGTTTATACCAGAAAACATACCTCAAATGAGTAACTTTCAGAGATCAAAAGAGAAGTAATTTCCCACCCTCAAAGGAAGCCACTAATGTTCGAAAGAGAGGAAGTGCTCAGAACACCAACTCATCCAGAGATACAAAGGACAGACTCCCCCATCAATTTAACCCCCCCCCCCCCGCCAATGCTGAGACAGGACAAAATTATCCTCCCCAGTGCAGGACCAATCAAAGTCTGTTAAGAGCAGACCCACAGTAGGCAGCATCCATTATGGGCAACTGCCTTAGGCTCAAAGAATCCAAGCAGCTGTTCATTGTTCCTTACAGCTTTCATTTTGGATCTAACCAAAATTGAGTTACATGAGCATCTTACAGAACAAGCCACATGCCAGGAGGGGCAAGAATCTCTTTACAAAGAAAAGTGGGCACTATCTGCAAAACAAGATTGCAGTTCTGCAACAAAAAAAATGGAGTTCTAATGAGTTGAAGGGGGACGCATTCATTCAGCAGATGAAAAACTATGCATACACACACACACACACACAAGAAAAAAAAAAGACTGCTGGGAAAGAATGAAGGCAGAATGGGCAGCTGTCCAAAAGGGAAATTTCATGTGGGTGGATTAGAGGAGGAAGAAAACCAGTTTCCTAGGTAAGGAAGTCAAAGGCTGATTTCCCAGAATAAAGAAAAAAGATAGTTCTCTGTGAAGGGAAGCTCTAAAGCTGGCAGTAACAATGGGGAATATGAGGCCACTCACCAGCCTAGAAGCGAAAGGGAAAGTAGTGCAGAATGACACCTGTTAATTTAAGGAGGGAGTTGCTACAAGGATATTCCGAAAGAGTGGTTGGGAAGGGGAAGCAGCAAAGACTAATCTTGGAGGAAAGGTGAAAGACTGGTAGAGAAAAAGACGGCACCAGGCCAGAAGGAGATGGGGCAGACACACACACAGAAGGGAATGCCATTAAGGATAGCCGGCAAACCCTAAGAGAACCATTTAGGAGATAGTCCCTCCATTTTTATAAGGGAGAAAAGCACAAACAGTGGGAAAGTAACAGGAGGAGAATTCACTGGCATACATCTGAGGAATCAGACCAGCTATCTAAATGGAGGCAGAGAGAAGCCCACATTTCTTTGGTGTTGAGCCAATGGGGAAGAAGACAGAGCAACGAATAGGAGGAAAAGGTGCACCCAAAGAGAGTGGGAGGCAGACACACCTGAGGGAGCAGCAGCTCTCCAGCCAGGATGGTGTAACACAGAGAGTGTGGGACTCATGTCCAGGTGATTCCTGAGTGTGAAGCTGCTCCCTCTGCAGCCTCAGGTCAAGCCCAGAACTCATTCACACAGCAACCCCTGACCTGTGGTAAAAGCCCCTTTAACCACCTGAGGCCTTCCGCTTATATGGAAGACTCAAGTACCCTGGGGTGGGCCAGACTGTCACGCAACTTTCTCATCCAGCAGGTGCAGCTGCATGGCTGAAAGTAGGGCAAGATGCCCCCCATACGGAGTAAAGTAGTGATTACTGAGCCAGGCTAGGGCTGGGGGCCCCAACCACAAGCCCCCATTCAGCCATGAAGCTCCCCAAGTACCCTTGCACCAGCCACTGGCTCCCCTGAGCCCACCCGACTCGCTTGCCTGTTGTGAAGATAAAAGCTGGGCAGGCGTGAGAAGCAAGAAGAAAACCCGCTGCCTTGAACTTCTCGAAAAAGATGGAATACAAAGGAAGACATCTCGATTCAGGTTACTTAACTCACCCTGGGGTAGTTTGGTTAGTGGTATGGCAGCCCTCTGGAATATCTCTTAGCCCAGCCTTCCTCACAGGGTCGTTGTTCGGGCCGGGAAGGTAACGGGGAGCTCCGGCCTCGTTTTGCCCCCTCCCCAAGCCCACCCGGAGCAATCCTGAAAAATTCAGGCGGCAATAAAGGAATGCGACGAGTCTACGAGAGGGGAATGCCCCTGGGGAAGGGAGATCGGGGCGGCCGGCGGCCACGGCCGGAAAACCGGGGCAAGAGGTGGGTGTCACGTGACCGACGGGCAGGGAGGGGCTGGGGCAAGAGGGAAAGTGCCCCCGGCGGGTAGGGGCAAAACGGAGGTGACGTGCGGAGTAACTGCCCTCAGAGAAGGGGTGCCGCTGAAGGGCAGCCCCCATGAGGGGGGGAGATGGGAGAAGGGGCTCTACGGCCGCTACCTGCTCTGGGCCGGTCCCGGGACCCGCCGCCGCCACCTCCGTCTCCGGCGCCGCCATCTTGCTGCGCCGTTGCCTGGCGTGGATCTCGCGAGCTTTGGCGCCGCCGCCGCCGCGCTCAACGCCCGTTCTCCCCCAGCCGGGCCACGTGACCGCCTTCCTCTGAACTCGAGAGAGTCCACAGGCTACCGTCAACTCGCGAGTAGCCCCGTCGCCGACGCTGTATTGGTCCTTCTTACCTTCACTCAAACATATAGGCGTCCCCCTCGCAACGGCGGGGCGCGATGCTTCGGATTAACGACCCCTTCTTCCTTTCTGTATCTGTCCTCATGCAGAAAAGATATGTGGGCTCTTACATCTAAACCCCTTTTTACCCATAAGCAAGAATCAACGATTACTTTCTTAATTATACTTATATTCCGCTTTCTTTCCTGTAAGGCCGCAAAAGCGGTGTACACATTCCCCCTGCTTCTCTCCCTGTTATATTCTTAACAACCCTATAGGATATATATTGGTCAGAAAGGACATCAGCATATTACAAGAGTGCACCCATTTACAGTGACTGTAAGCAGGAGAAAATCCTGTAACAGATTATGATGTTGATGATGAACAAATACTTTAATTTATTGTAGTTGGTGCTGGAGCAGAAAACCCATGATAGTCGCTTCATATTTATTAGATTTATATCCCTTCTTTTTTCTTTTGAAGAACTCAAAGTGGCTTACATCATTCTCCTCCTGCTCTGTCCTATCCTCACAACAACCCTGTGAGGTGGGTTGGGCTGAGAATCTGTGACTGGCCCAAAGTCACCCAGTTGGCTCTATGGCCAAGTGGACCCCAGATTGCCTGGGTCTTAGGCTCAAGCTCTCAGCTGTGGCACCACACTGGCTTAAGTAGATTATGCCCAAAGGTTCTATGTGCTTTAACCTAACTCAAGAAAATAATCCCATTTTTTGTATTACTCAATCCCAAAACTACCCTATGACAACCATAGAGGGAACAAATTGCTGTCCCATGATTTCCTGGAACAAGAGGCGAGGAGGAGGGAGGATCTTCTCTTGGCTTGTTTCCATCCTGCTGCTAAAATGTGCTTTGCATTATGAGGGATTCGATTCACAAGTAGTTTCTGAGCTACAGTGAGATGCAACGTTTCCTGTGTCTGTATCTGTGAAGAAAGCACACACTGAAGAAAATGCGTGTGTCGATGCCGAGCCCTTAGGGAGCCAGTGTGAAGGTGAACAGTGTGGGTCCCTGGACCACCCAGAGAGTGGCAGGTGGGTGGGGAACAGTGGCTAATAGCCCTGGGCCAGCATGAGCCTCCTGGGGCCCACCGGTGGAGACTGCATGGCACAGCACCCTTCTTTCCAAAATGGTTTATTTGCAGGGGGCCAGGCATGCACCTGGTGACAGGTGATCATTTTCTTCTTTCACTTCTCAAATATCTAATTTTCTACAGCAAAATGGTGCTTATCCCAAGGTAAATGTGTTTGGCATCCAGTTGTAAAGGTGACCTATATTGGATTGCTGTAGTCAAGCTGGTGTCCTGATCTAAGTGTGTTTGAAATAGGAAAGCGCACATACTCAAAATATATATTTTTAAAGCAAGGAGGCAAACAGAGGGTGCCCACTGTGGCTTAGTGGTGAGAATGCTGGACTGAAGAATTGCGAAGCCTAGATTCTAGTCCCCTCTCAGCCACGAATCTCACCGGATGGCTTCGAGCGAGTCACGCACTCTCAGCCTAGCCTACCTCACAGGATTGCTGTTGTGGTGGGGATAAAGTAGAGGAGAGGAGAGCTACGTGAGCTGCCTTGGGATCCTTGCAAGAGGAGGACAGGTGGGGCATAAATGTAAAGCAATAATAAACAACATAATAATTACTTATCAGAAATGCAGAAGCAGTAATAAAGCACGGGATGGAGGGAGAAGAAGATGACATCCCTGGGAGTCTAAAGGCTACATTTAGTGGGAAGCGTCTAACGTTACCGAATCGCACATCCAATCCCAAGCCTTTCTGCTAGTGACTCAGGACGGGAAGCCGCATAGGCTCTCACCTGTGACAAGATAAATGCAACCCGTGTGAGTGCATAATGCCATCCTGTGCTGAGAAGTCCAGCACTTCTTGCTGTGACTAGCAGCATCCTGCAAGGAGGGGGGCCTTTCCCATCCCTGCCCTCACTTTTAATGGGGGGGGGTGGGAATTGGGCCCTGTGCATTCCCCCTCCATGATTCCCTCCCTCAGCTGAGTTCAGAGAAGATGCTGGTCTCCACGTTCCAGATAACGAGGACAAATCCTGCCATTCAAGCCCGGCGCTTCCTTGCATGCTTTCCTGCGGAAGAACAGCTGCTGCCTGCTCTCCCGCATCCTGATTCTGCCTGCCTGCTTGCTCTCTCCCGCCCCTATTCCAGCACCCTCTCTGTGTATACAGGGCTTGTGTGGATTTAAACCACGTGTCTGAGCCTCTTGGCCAATTATTGTGTGTGTGTGTGTGTTGCGGGTAGGGAGGTGGGGATCGGGAGCTTCCGGTACCAAAAGGCCAAGCTAGAGGGAAGGGATGTGAGTTCCGGTCATGACAGCTTTCCCTTTGTCTCTTCGCCGCCCACAAATTCCCCGCTTTCCTTCTCTAGAGTTGGAAGCTGCTGCTGCTGATCCGCTTTCCGCTTCCAAGAAATGAGTCAGAAAATGCGGATGCCCAAACTTGAACCTGCCGAGGAGGAGGAGAAGGAGGAGGAAGAGGCGGCAGCGGCAGCTTATGAGCCAGTCCAGAAAGGAAACTTCTGACAGCCCTGCGTCCAGGATGCACAGCCTGCAGAAGGCATGGAGGGGGAAAGCTGGGTAAGGTCGCTCAACTCCCTGCCCTCAGGTCGCGATGGCCGCAGCGCTATGCTCTCCGCTGTGCTTCCCCACGATCTTGGGGGACGGAATGGCAGTGTCTGTGTGCACGTGTGAAAAGAGTCAGACCGTGCATTTGGACATGACCCCACAAGTACTCCAAGCAGCCTCTAGCGATGGTCCGGCGTTCATGCCTTGCCTACGACCGCTGATATTGCTCGTTTATTTTCTGGACCCTGATCCTCTAGAGTCTAGCAGGTGCATGGCTGAAGCTGAAGGGATGCACAGGTGCAATTTTCAGAGCAGTCTTTCCCCACCCTGGGGTCCTCGAGATGTCTCGGCCAGCTCCCCTCAGCCCCAGTGGCCAAGAATTCTGTGGGTTGTGGTTGGGAACATCTGGGGAAGAGCAGAGCTGGGAATGGCTCTTTTAAAGGGCAGAGAGAAGTAATGACATGTGAATCTCATCACTCCCAAAAAGCTTGGCAAAAGTTTCCTGCTGGCCATCAGGGGTTCAGGGCACGAGAGCAACATTTGCTTGCTAACTGGTGACCCCACCACCTTCTCAAAACCATATCTTTATTTTTAAAAGCAGTTTCCGTTTTAAGGGTTATGAAAGAGCCTTTAGTAGGTTTAAGAATGTGGGATGACTAACAGTTACAAAGTTGTGGGAGTGTCATGGGAAAGTGGATTTCTTTGCTTTCCTTTTTCTCTCATTGTTCCAAAACAGTTTTCCCCAGATGGGTCAGACTACAAGTTCCAGCACTGGCTGGCTGGCTGGCTGGGGATGCTTGGAGTTGTACCTTGACACTTCTGGAAAGCATTTAGCTTGGGTGTAGCTGATTAAACAAAACATCTTCACTCGGAACATTGTTACTGGGTGCAATTCACACCAGGGAAGGTGCTTTGGAAGCTATGTATGGGTGCCATGATATGCGCGATGGAACCTCCAGGTTTAGGGGCAGTATACCACAGAACACTGTTGCAGGATGGCAGGGAACAACAGGCGATGCTGTTGCATTTGTGGATGCCTGTTTCTTTTCGTTTCATTATTTTTAAACACAAAACCCAAGCAGGATTCCTGAAGAAAAAAACTCTATGTAAAGGGGGGAAAAAGGAGACAGATGTACATGTGTGTCTGGCCCTGGCCCTCCATCCTTTCTCTGCTCCCTAAGTTTTAATTTACAGTGTATGTCTTTAAAAGGTCTTTACACCGGATAAGCTGTGCTTCCACTTTTGGGGCACCCCTTTCTGAACTTGTAGGCTGGCTACAGAGTGACCTGGATTTGACTCAGGAAGCTCAGTGCCAAATATTGGCGAAAGTTTGGGCAGTCCTTGACAATACTTTATTTTTCTTTTTTAAAGGACGAGAGAAGCCTTTGCCTGGCCGGCCTGTGGCTGAAAACAACGATGGACTTGCAGCCTCCTTCAGCCTTGCCCGCCCTCAGTGGCGGGGCTGCACCCCCCGTGCCCCCAGCCAGCAAGCTCACTACGGATGCTGGGACTTGCCCAGCGCATCGGGAGGACACTAAGTCAGGCATGTCTGCCTTAGACCGTCGTTCTGCACACGCAGCGTAGCTTACGGAACCGCCGCTGGAAAAACGAGGCGATCGCGGGGAGCGGGGCGGGGGGGGGGACTGGCTTTTAAGACGAGGCTTATGGGCCGCCAAGCGGGGCGATGCCCTCGGCTTGCAGCCTTCCCCGTGCTGGTTGGGATCGCGGGCGCTGCAGCGCAAGCCCTCCGGAGAGCGCGGGGTTGGAGAAGGCTCGGCTGCAGGCAGCTCCGACCCTGCAAACGTGCAGCGAGCGCTCTTCTCCTGTGGGCGGCGCGGCGGTTTTTCCTCGCTTCGTTTTGGGGCGGAGAAAGCAAGAAATGGAGCACAGGGGCGCAGGGCCGCCCCCCGCCGCCGCCGCCGCCGCCGCCGTCCAGCAGGCACCTGCCTCCCCCCCTCCGGGCGCGAGCGGCGTGGGCTGGCTCCGCGCGCGGGCACGGGGGGCGCTGTCCTCCCCGGCCCTTCGTGTTTGTTTGTTTAGCGAGAGCCTCCCGCGAACTGGGCACCCCGCCCCTTTACCGCTACCCAGGGGGGCTTTCCCGTTCTACGGAGCGTGACATCACCCGGCCCTCCGCCAATCAGGAAGCGGCAGCCGGCAGAGCAGGGGGAATTCCAAGAACCCTCGGCCTCCTTCAGGTCGGTGGGGGGGGAGAGTGGGAGGCAGGCAGTTCGGGCGTTCGGGCCGGCCGGGGGGCATGCGGGCCGAGCCCGGGCCATGAATTGCCTCCGACAGCGACAGGCGCTCCGGCCGACGCCGCTGCCGCCGGAGAAGGCGATGCTGGTGCCCCCGCTAGGTATGCGGTAGCCGGAGGAAGTGGCTGGGCGAGCGCGGCGAGCGGCCCCGGGCTTGGAGGGATGCTGGATGGCGGGCGGCTCGGGGGGGGGGGGCGCCGGTGCAGGCCGAGGCCCCGGCCCGAGCGGGGAGGGCGCGCGGGAGCCGCGGCTGCGCCCGGCGGGGCATCTGCCTGCGGTTCCTGGGAAGTTGGCGGCGGCGGCAGCTTGGGTCGCACCCGGCGCTGCCGCCTGCCTGGTCGCTGGCAAGCTTCACAGTGCCTCGCTCGCACGCGAGCGGCTGCTGTTAGGGGGGCAGGAGGGGGTCGGCTCGCGCGCCGCGGGGGTCCCCCCCCCGCCGCAACCGCAGGGATGTCAGTTGCATTAAAAGGAAGGTCCCCCCCCGCGCCGCCCCGCGCCATTGCAACTGGCGAGCAAGGAAGTTTCTTGAGCAGATGGTGAATGCGTGTGTGGCTGCACGGGGGCTCCTGGCGTCGGCCCGCAGCGATGTGGCGAGGGCCCTGCTTATTTTAGAACTTTTCTCATAACTCAAGCCTGTCAAATGGGCACCGGCCACTTGTGGCGAGCGAGAGTTGTCTGCAGGTAGCCGGGTGGGGAACCTTCACAAAAGTTGGCGCTTCGGGTTACAGATGACCTAGGTAGGCATTGGGGAGGGTGGGGGGGGGCAAGATATTTGTGTGTCTGTGTTGCTCTGGATGTATTTGCAGTGCCGCTAAGAGCTCCATGCTGTCACTGGAAGTACTTTAAAATGCAGAATGGCTCTGATGCATTAAGTCAGTCATGCCTCGAAAGCGTTCTGGAGGTTTCTTGCCCTTGCGATCTGGGGGGACAGTGGTCATGGGGTCCACTCAGGCACCATCATTTACATCCGGGGTGTGGTGAAATGTCTGAGAGACAAGTTGAATCCTCTAACAACATAAGAGCTGTGCAATTATTCCAGCATACTGTGGACGTGGTGTGGGCCAACCAGCTGCCCACAGGAAACCCAAAAGCGGGGCGTGCGTGCGTGCAAGGACACCCTCCCACCCATGTTCCCCAGCTGCTGGTGTGCAGGAGCATGCCACCTCTGAACCTGGAGGTAGCACAGAGCCTTCAGAACTAGTAGCTGTGGTTGCCTTCTCTGCCACAAAGTTGGCTTCCTGAATCCATACAGAAGTGAAGGGTGGATCTTTGATCTTAGAAGGTGGCAAGCTTCTATATAGCTGGAAGGGCCTGATCCTGCCGAATCTTGTAAGCTACACATAGTTGGGCCTGGTTGAAATCTGGATGGGTGACTTAAAATGCCGTGAACTGTCCAGAGAGCTTTGGCTATAGGTGGTAGAGAAATGTAATGTAGTAATAATAATACTAATAAACGTGCAGCAGAAATGGAAGTTGTATCTGCAGTCTGAAGAAACTCTGGCACAGCAGGAACAGATACGGGGCACCAAGTGGTGACTGATTTATGGGGAGGTGAAGGCGGCCCCTAATGAAGTCCTCAGGCTCACCCCCTATCTCCCCGTTCCCCACGTAGCCTTTTCTAAACAGCAGCTAAGGATTCTGCACAAAGGCGGTCCAGGCAAGATGTCCTCAATGAGATGGCCTGCCCGCCCGCCCGCCCGCCTGCCTGCGCCAGGTGCTGAGGAGCTGGGGCAGGTGGAGGCCTTGCACCCACCCTGCTTGGGCGATCCGGGGGGCAGCTGCTGCGCCCCTGTGTGTCTGGAATGTCGGGCTAGGTGGGCCTTGGTCTATGTTCTAAAGGGTCCCCTCGCCATCGCCGTCTACAGCTGCTCTTTCTTATTATGGCCACCACTTGCTTTCCATCTCGCCATGGCCGACGGCCGCATGTGGGGCAAGTGCACGAGCAGAGGGTGATGGGGAAGAGGAGAGCAGGTCCGTGGCCCCTGCTGGGGTGAGGGTGCTCGGGACACGCTTGGCCGTGCGTCTCAGGCTCCTTGCAGTCGAACACTGGCGCACAGGGTGTGGTTTCCTTAGTCCCAGCGGGTGTGGGGAAGGCCAGGTGGAGCCGACCCTGGCCAGGAAGCTCAGTGCTGGCCTTTGGGCAGGTCGCAGACTCTCGGCCCAACCTGCTTCCCAGGTTCTTGTGAGGATAAAATGGAGAGGAGGAGAACTGGGCATGTGCTTATTGATCCAATTTCTAAACCCCCCATCAACCATCCGGAGACGCATAGTGATTGGACGGGGTAGAAATATCCCAAACAAATAAACAAGAAAGATGGGTCTCATGTAAGCTGCCTGGGGTTCCCGGAGGAAAAAAGTCAGGATACGAGTGGAACACAATACGACAGTGACAATGAGCGTGTCTGGATCCAGCACAAGACAGAAGACTGGTCTGTCCTTGTGCTTTAAACAGGAGCTTGACGAGCAGGATGGACTTTCTGAATAGAGCTGGAAGCGGCCTGGAAGGGCATTGAGTGCAAACCACGGCTCTGCTTCCTCCTGTGCTCACCCCTCCAGCTGCAGCTCCTCACCTTCCCCGCTTAGCTCCTCTGCTGAGGGCTGCAGAGCCGGCTACTGCTGAAGATGCAGGAGCCAAGTAAGTGAGGGAAGGTTGGAGTCCTGGGAGTTTTCCTGTCGGAACATGCATTGCACCTGTGCTAAATGAACAGGAGAGAAGACGCCGCCTCTCGGGCCTGATGGTCTGTGCATGCGGGAGAGATGAAGCCATGACTTTGTGGCCACCACTAAATCAGAAATCCAGTGGCTGTTCCACCCTTCAGTGGCTAACCTTTGCAGGGGTGTTTAACCGCTGCATGACGAGCAGAGACCAGGCAGGGGAAGCCCTTTCCCCATGCACAGGTGTGATGATGGGGTGAATTTCCTTTGCAGGATTGTTGCTTGCCAAGAAGCTCTCGAAGGCTCTCCTGGAGCTGCAGAAAAAGAAAAGGGCAGCCCAGGTTCATGCTCTTCTGACGCAGGTGGAATGAGTGCTTGGACAGAGCCCTAACCTTTTCTGAAATCCTGTTTAGAAGACTGGGTTGAAGCATGCTTGCATTTTGCCCCCTATCTTGCATCCCGCTCTTCTAGGGATCTCTGTGGCACTGGAAGACCTGCTGCACTTGCGTGTGGTGGCCTTCTGACGCGTTTCTGACCTGGTGCTCAGAAGTGGGTTTCGTTGCGCGGGAGGCATCGCGGGCTTCTGTGAAATGGCTTGAAATATTTGAGCTGAATCTCTGTGCAATTTGTGCAAATCAGGACTGACTCATTGTTAGAGATATTCTTGCTGTAGCATTTTGCGTGAGAAGCAAGGAAGCGTCTGTGTGTGTGCGTGCGTGCGCGCAACACTCTCCCTTGGCCACCCTGGGTTTTCTGAGATTTTATTTTAGATTTGTGCAAAAATTCAGACCTTCGCTCTGCAACGTGTGCAGATTTGCTTAAACTGCAGAGTGGAGGCCTGAATTTTACATCCATTTTTCTGTTAGGGTTTTTTTTAACATTTTACACTGCAGCCCATTTTAAAAATGGAAGTCTTTGTGCTGACTTGACTCATTTCAGATCAAGTTGGTGCCAGTGCAGGGACAGGATCCACTGAACCAAGCTGAGAATGTATTTCAGATTTTCAGCCACCTGCTGGATTTCTCACTCGCCCATATCTCTTTGCAGGTGCCGCCCCGGGCTTGTCTGTGATGCAACCAAGTACAGGGACTTCTGGTAAGAACTTCGGATTGTTTTCTTGTTGGCAGGGGGAGAAGGAGTGAGGAAGAGCTTTTCCTACCTCATGTCTGGTGGCAGAGCCAGTAAATACAAGTTAATTTCTCATTTCACAGAAGTGTAGGTTGTCTTGATTTGCATAAAAATAGTGATGCAGTAACCCTTTCCTCTAATTGTTTGCAATTGGAAGATCATTGTTTTCTCGACCTTTGGGGGTCTCTGTAGGGATTTTTTTGTCCATGCCCATTAAACTCTTACCTGTGCCTTCCCTGGTTTTTACATGTAGTAGCAGCATTCCCTTTTCTGCCACCATGAGGACTAGAAACTGGATGAATTCAGAACTGATAATGAAGTCAGATAATGTGCTATGTTATGCAGACATGTTGGCCTGGTTTAAAATGCCAACACTTTTTCTTTTGCAGATGAATTAGGTAAGCATTCTGGGGTTTGGGGCAAGCAACACACTTCAGGTAAGAAGAAATTCTTGAGATATATGATGGATATATGTACCTCTGGCTTGATTTATTCATATGTAATTCTGAGATCCAGTGGGATCTCAGTTGTGGAAAAACCTTCCTATTTTCTCAGGCATTTTATTCTTTCAGTTTCTGCTTTCAATCTGTTGAGGTATAATCCTCTGCAAAAGAATTATACCTCAGAAGCTTCTGAACTCCTAGGATTCCCCGACCAGGAGTGCCTTTTCTCTGTTTTAACTGCGCCCTTCTGTGTTTTAAATCTTTGGTTCATTGCTAATCTTTGACTTGCATTTCGATTTTAAACTGTAGTTTTAAACTTTCATAGTGTACCTTATGCCGCTGTTTAAGGTTTTAACTGTTGTGCACGGCCCAAAGAACTTTGCTTAGTGAGCCATATGGAAGCACCTGCCGGGGTCGCACCTTGGGCATTTGAGTGATAAACTGCAGGTATAAGTCACTCAGCATGCAAGTGTAGCAGAAAGTCAGTTGAAATTCTTTTGATTCTGGTCTGGTGCATAAGGAAGGGTGCAGCAACAGGTACGGGAGAGGCTTAATCACTCTTTGCTTTAACGGAGAGGCTTTTATCTTCATTTATGGAACAGTGGAGCAGTTCATTTGATTACGCGTTTGGAAAGGCGTTTGACAGAATGGCCTTTTGAGGGGCAGAAAGGTACAGAGTTTCTTGGTAAAAGCATCTTGCTCACCTCATCTCCATGTGGCCCAATCAGACTCGCATTCAAGTCTTGACAAAACGGTTCACACATCACAACCCCAGGTTGCGCTTCCCCTCATGCGTCCCCCCATGTCCCCCTGCTTCTCCCTGATTTCCCAGTATGGGTTGCATGTTACTGGGAAAAAAACCCTCAACCTGCTTTTGGTCCTTTGAAGTGCTGTACGGGGCAGGTAAGCTTTTTCAACAAGCCACGGCCATCATAGTTACAGTCCGCAGACTGAGCCAGCGAGTAAAGTCATGCAGGGACCTCCAGCGGTGTCTCCACTTCCTGCTCCCCTCAGGAATCATTTTAAAGTGGAAAAAGAAACCCTCAAAAAACATTAGGATACGAAGTGCTCCTTCCTGCTCCTGGGCCTGCATCGTATCAGATGTTTGGCGGGCAGGAGGGGAAGGAAAGGTTTACTTCCTTGTTCAGACAAACTTCTTCCTCTCTCTCTCTCTCTCTCTTTACTCACGACCCCTGCCTTCACTGTTTCTCTCCCTTGGACCCCTTTCTGCCTGCTCTCTCTACTTCTTCCCTCGCTGTTTCCCTCTCCCTGGCTTGCTTCCCCTCATCGTTCAAGTTTCTTCCTTCTACCCCTTCTCCCACCTCGGTAGGAGCTCTGACAGCGGAATAGGAGGTCGAGGTACCAGGTGGGAAACAGAGACTTGGGATGAGGTTTGGAAAACATTTTCCTTCCTTTTGGGACTGGCGGATTTTCCTTTCCTTGGGCTCTGGGGAAAGGGGTGTGTGTGTGGACAGAATGAGCAGAGCTAGCTTATTCAGAAGGTTATTCTCATGATGTTCCATGCATACATTCATAGGATGTACGAATCGAAAGGAAACTGGGCAGCCCTCTGAGTGGGATGGTGTAACTTGGTGTCCTGCAGCAGCAGGAGGTTGGACTGGATGGCCTTCATGGCCCCTTCCCACTCTGCTGTTCTGTGATTCTATGGATCACAAACGGAAGTGGGTGTTTTGTCGTGCCTTTGCGGAGTCAGATATGTGGATTGGCTCTGGGGTTCAGGACCGCCTCTGCGTACGCTCAGGTTCTTGGCTGAAGTGCTTGGTTTTTAACTCGCCAGCCCTTTGCAGCAGCGATTACGTAACTGGCAAATCCTCCAGGGAAACCATTTGCTGCTAGGAAAGCAAACAGTTGGAAGAGGTCAGTGCTGGCTCTCCATTTGTACAGCTCCGTGCTCCCTGAATGTTTTAATTTGATGCTGTCACGGCTTGGAACCTGGTTCTCCTGTAACGGCCTTCTTCAACCATGTGCCCTCGAAATGTCTTAGACTGCAGTTCCAATCATTCCCAGAAAGCTTGGCCGATGGTCAGGAATGGGCATCTATCAACCATAGAAGGTAAAGTTAGAGGGAACTAGTTTGAGCCCTTGCCTACCAGAAAAAAACATATATACAAACTTTCAAAATAGGAACTAGTATCTAAGGTGTGCTTTTTTTCTCCTTCCTCCTTGATCCCTTTTCCTTTTGTGTCGTTTATGTTGTAAGTTTGAGGGTAGGAACTGCCTCATTCTTCTTCGTTTGCCTCTCTCAGGCCCTTTTCCACCAAAGAGTGGGGTAAAAATAAAGAACACTGAAAAAATTAAGCAAATCCTCGTGCCTTGAGCTGAATCCGGAAGCTAATTGCCCTCTTTCTCCATCCACCTTCCAGAAATCATCGAAGAGCTAATCAAGGAAGATGGCTTCGAGGCAGGCCCTGCCTCACTCCCAGCCAAGCTCTCCCTCAATGGCCCGACCCGGCTGGTCCCGCGGTGCTCCAACGGCGGGATGCAGAGGCCGGCCGAGCCCGTGGGGAAGAACCTGCTGCAGCTCGGCCTGCAGCCCTACGGGCCTCCCCGCCTCCCCGCCTCGCCCGCCCCCCAAGATCGCTCAGCGTCCCAGCTCTCGCAGAACCTCAGCAGCCTGACGCTGCGGCCCCAGGTGGTCCCAAGAGGGACACCCTCCGCTCTCCTGCCCGGCGGGGGCAGGCTCGCCGACGGCCCCTGGGCGCCCCCCGCCCCCGCGATGCATCCCGCGATGCTGCAGGAGCCGCTGCAGGACGTCCTCCTGGAGCCGCCCCGGCTGGTCATCACGGAGCAGCCCAAGCAGCGGGGGATGCGCTTCCGCTACCAGTGCGAAGGCCGGTCCGCCGGAAGCATCTTGGGGGAGTGCAGCACGGACACCAACAAGACCCTGCCGACCATCGAGGTGGGTGTGGGCGGCCGGGCGGGGCTCTGGGCCTGCTTCCGGGGAGCAGTGCTGGGCGCCTGCGGACGGAGCGAGGTTCGGGCAGGCCCCCGCAGCCTCCAGGGCCTGGTGCCACGAGAGCCAGGGTGGGGTCGCAGCTCGGAGTGCGGGACGGGACCCAGGCGACCCGGGTTCTAGTCCTGTCTCAGCCATGGAGCCCACTGGGTGACTTGGGGCCAGTCCCAGACTCTCAGCCCGAGGATAAAATGGAGAGGAGGAAGGTGTGTAAGCCGCCTTGGGTTCTTTGCAAGGGAAAGGCAGGCTATGAATAGAATAACAATATAATTACAATAACACTCGGCTTAGTTGCAGTTAATGACCTGTTTAGTTCTCCTCTTCCGCCACTGGCTACGCTGCTGGGTTCAGGTGTAATGGGAGAGGCGGACAAATGTTTTCTCCTTCACTTTCTTTGCACAATGCATAATTTTGAACACCTCCATCATGTCGCCCCTTACCTGCCTTTTTCCTAAGCGGAAGAGTCCCAGGGAAGCTGCTCCATCTCCCTGATCATTTTTTTTAAAGTAAGTTTTATTGTTATTTTTCTACTAACTAACAAAAAGAAACTAAAAATCATCAATCATTAGAAGCATCAGACCTACTGGGTCAGCCCCCCGTACTTTTTTTTTAATAGTAATCCATAAACATATTTAAGTCAATGCATAGTCCCGTTTCTCTAACCAATAATAAAAGGAATTCCAAGTTTGATAGAAGTCTGTGTCCTCTTTCTCCTTCAGAGACACTCCCTGATCCTTTTTGTTGCCCTTTTCCATACTTTTTCCCCCTCAAGAATGTCCTTTTTCAGCTAAGGCGACCAGAATGGTTGTACCAAAGCTTTCCATAAGGGGAGTACAATCTCAGTTGTTCTGATCCCGTATGTAGGGGCTGAAAAGAGGAAAGACACTGCTACACTTTCAACACACGGTGCAGTTGAGCCGGAATCGGTGCTCCGAGGCAGGGCATCTCCGTGGCGTGTATGTGAGGACGGGTGTGCCAGGGTTTGGCTCTGTGCCTGCTTGCTGTTTGCATGTGCCCCCTGTAATTGGGATGGCCGGATGGGGCACCTGCAGAGGGTCTTCAGAAACAGATGGCGCCCGCAGGCCTTCAGAAACAGAACTGGCACTGCCCGGGACAGAAGGCTTTACTTAGAAATGCCCAAAGAATGGACAAAGCGTTTTCCTGCTGGACAGACCGCACAGAAGTCCTGCCTTTGGGAAAGTCCTTTGGGGCAAGGCCGCTCTCTCTCTGCCGGCGAAGACAATCGCACGAACCTTTCCCTGCCTGTCTTCCCCCAGCTGCAGAACTTTACAGGGATCTCCGAAGTGAAGGTGACGGCCTGCTTGGTGTGGAAAGACTGGCCCCACCGAATCCACCCCCACAGCCTGGTAGGGAAGGACTGCCACAACGGACTCTGCGAAGTGACACTAAAGCCCCGGGTCAACCCAAAGCACAGGTGAGGCCTCGCACGTCTCGCACCCTCGCAGGGAAAACGTTGTGACATCTGAGGAGGGCTTAGCTCTGGACAGGCAGGAGAGGGTTCTCCGTTCCACATTTGGCTCTGGGAGGGAATAGCCATGGAGAGGCAGCGAAGCTCTGGCATTTTGGCCCGGGAAGGGCTGTTGTTCAGTGATGGATCGTGTGCCTTCGGTGCAAAAGATTCCGGACTCGATCGCTCACATCTTAAGGCAGGGCTGGGAAGGACTTCTGGGAGCAGTCCTGAGAACAGTACCAAGTTAGTTGGGCCAGGTCTGAGTTTGCAGAAATCAGCTGGATACGTTCCTGTAGACTCACTCCTCTGATGTTCTTTTGGCCTCCTAACCACAAACTCCCCTCTGATCGCTTCATAGTTTTAACAACCTTGGGATCCAGTGTGTGAAGAAGAAGGACATAGAAGAATCCATAGAGAAAAAGCTGCAGCTTGGGATTGATCCTTTCAAAGGTGAGTGGGGGGTGGGGGTGCTTCTAAGAGCCATTCTCAGGCCTGAGAGGCTGGGCTGGGGGAAGGGGACGGGGTAAGATCCCATATGAGGTGTCAGTTATCCTAAGTCTGGAACCGGGATCTTGGGACGGAGCCTTACCGTTGCAGGCAGCTAGTATGACCGGTGTGTTAAACTTGTTCGCTGGTTTCACCTCCAGAGAAGCTCTTGGGTGGGCAGCGTCGAAAGGTTTGCAATTTAAACCTTTGACTATCAATCACTAAGTCTTAGGAGAGGAATGTCAATCTTATAATATGGGGGGAAAATGGTCTGAAAGCCAATAGGCCAGCAAACGGGAAGAAGGAAAGGGGGAGGAGCCAGGAAAGGGGCGTGTCCTCTGAGAAACCTCAGAGGGCTGGTTTTTGCTTTTTGGCCTGAGGTCGAACACCTCTACCTAAAGACAAATCAGTCCAGAATGTGGCCTTTCTTTGGCATTTTGCAGAATGTCCCTGGATCTGACTGGTTAGAAGCCATGCATAAACTCTTCTAAATCAGACTAGATTCCTACAATACTTACTATATTTATTATATTTACATCCCACCCTTTTTTCCTTCAAGGAATTTAAGGTGGCTTACCTAATTCTCCTCCTCCTCTTCTCAGTCTTATGCCTCACAACAGCCCTGTGAGGTAGGGCAGGATGAGAATCAGTGACTGGCCCAGAATCACCTACTGAGCTTTGTAGCCAAGCAGGGACTAGAAGCAGATCTCCTGGATCCAGTTCAACACTCTAACCGCTATATCAGCTCTCGCATGTGCAGGCTATGAAAAATACATCTTTTTCCATGGAGTTTTATAGTTGAGGTTAGGATAGTTAAAAGGCTGGCTGTTTTTACATGTAGGGCTGGAATGAGAGAAGATGGCCTGGTTGTATCCTGCACTTGACTTCTGTGCGCTTACTCACGCTTTCTTTTTCTCTCTCTCCGTCCAGCGGGATCATTAAAAAATCACCAGGAGGTTGACATGAATGTGGTCAGAATTTGCTTCCAAGCATCCTACCAGGACAGCATGGGAAAGACACAGAACCTCAAACCCGTTCTCTCAGAACCCATCTTTGATAAGAGTAAGTCATGGGGTATTCCGGGGGGAGTGGGCAACGGGTTATTTCTGGCAGCGCCCGAAAAAGAAAATAATGGAAGGAACTGAGGGCGAGTAGAATCGGCACCTGAGTGGGTCAGGCATGGGGGCAGATGACTTGGAGAATGCTGTCTTTCTCTCGTTTTTTCCTTAATAAATGTTCCAGCGTAAGCAAAAGTTGGAAGAAGCAGTGGGACAACCTGGGCAGGTAACGGGTGGAAGATGGGATTGCTTGGAGCCCATATAAAATACTGTGAATAAGATGGGGTATTTGCAGAACAAAAACCTCATCTGAAAGTGCCTAGAGGGTTAGGAATCGGTCCTGTTTACAGGGCTGAAACCCTAGAAGACTCAGAAAACTCAGTGGCAAGGCGAACAGGGCTAAAAAAGAAAATGCACCTTGGTGAGGTACGCAGGGTGGACCACATTCTAACACGGTGGGTTTTGGTGTGCCCAGAATCCACAAACACATCAGAGCTGAAAATATACCGGATGAATAAGGAGTATGGGAGTTGCACAGGTGGAGAGGAGCTGTACCTGCTGTGTGATAAGGTCCAGAAAGGTAAGTGAGGAAGACTCCTGCGGCCTCTGAAAGGCCGTTCCAGAGCAAATCAGGCTGCCCAGCCGGCCTCTGTTCTGAGCCAGGTGTTGCTGCTGGCGTCTAGTTTTCGAAGACACGCTCCATGCGCCCCCTCTCACAGCGACTCCCCTCTGCCACCGCCACCAGCTTGTTGCTGCCACTCGCTTGCTGATCCGGCAGGCAAATCGGCCACGGTGTCCCCTGCGCCACCCTTGCCTGGGCAGGGACAGGAACGGGGAAGCGAGCGGGTTGCAGCACTGGAGGAGAAACGACTTCGGGGGCCCTTGGCAGGTGTCCAGCTGTGCCATGCTTGGCCCCAGCCCTGCTAGTAGGAGGGCCGAGCGAGCCCGCTGTTTGGGCATCCGTGAGACGCTCTTCTGGAAGCTGTGGTGGAGAACCAGCAGCAACTGAAGGCCTCCCGCCCGCCCCACCCAGGCTAATCTGCCTCTTTCCACCCACCGTCCTCACTCCTCTTCTCCGACGCCCTTGCAGAAGACATTTCTATCATCTTCCGGAAAGACGCGTGGGAGAGCAAGGCTGACTTCTCCCAAGCAGACGTCCACCGGCAGATCGCCATCGTCTTCAAGACACCGCCTTACCAGCACCTGGACATCGTGGAACCGGTGGTGGTGGAGGTGTATCTGCGCCGCTTGACTGACAGTGTCTCCAGTGAGGCCTTCAACTTCATCTACCTGCCCAAAGACAACGGTAAGATAGGCAGGGAAGGGGTTGCCGTGAGCCGAGTCAAACCGCTTGTCCGTCCAGCTGGTGGGTATGCCGTCTTTCCCACCTCGGTGCCTAGATGTGGGTTTTCTGGGGAAAAGGCCTTGGCTAGAAGTGCAAAGCCTCTGAGCCAGGGAGTGGATCTGTGAAGGCAAAAATCTCACCGGTTCAGCGGTTCTGGGCCCAGTCAATGCCTGAATGGGAAGCATCTGTGAGGTCTTTGGAAGAGGGGCAGGATAGCAGTATGATTGAGGAAGCGAGCGTAATAGCTGGGCTTCATCTTTCGACAGACACGTACAGGGTCAACAAAAAGAGGAAGCAAGGCATGCCTGATGTCCTGGATGAGCTCTCCGGCCCAGGTTTGTAGGCTCCGGGGAAACTGCGCAGCCCTCCGGTTGGTGCCGATGGAAACGGACCAGGGACGGGGCTTGGGTAGCCCACCGGCCACGGCCAAATGCAACAGACTTCCTTTCCCTTTCCCTTCCCCAGATCCACATGGGATTGGGGCCAAGAGGAAGAAGAAGAAACTCGGCTACCTGGACCATTTCGAATTTCCCAATCTCTCGGCAGGTTGGTCAGTGGCAACAGCTGGGTGGATCAAAGGAATGCCCCCGACATGGGGGTGGAGGGCTTGTGACAACAGCCCCTTCCCTTAGCCCTGCCTGAAAGCTCCTCACAAGGATTTCCGGCTTAGTCTGTTGCAGAGCCATGGCGGTAGTAAGCCAGTATCAACAGGTAGGGCCAGCATTTTCCCGGTTTGGGAAGAAATTGGTCAAAGGGCTTAAGCATTTCTCTCTTTCTTTCTCTTTCTCATTCTCTTCCCCCCCCCCATGCCCCCCAGTTTGGGAGAGGGGGAACGATTCTAAAAGAAGCCGGTTCCTGCAACAGAGCCAAGGGGGGACAAAATTGGGCTGGCTCGGCAAGGAAGCTTGCCCCCCGCGTCAGGGAGGGATCGGTGGCTGCTTTCCACCCCCCTGAGGAGTGGCGATTTCTTTGCTCTGATTGCAGCTGGCTCCTTGCCGTGTCCCGAAGACAGGCCTTTCATCAGCAGCTTGGAGCGCATCACTGTGCCGGACCTGTTCGAGGAATACAGCCTCGCTCCAGACTTCTCTTCCTACAGTGGGCCCAGCTTGAGCGACGTTCTGCTGCCCTCGCCCATGGACTTTCCTGATGCCGCCGGTCAGGAGCTCCTGCTCGAAACGTATGCAGCCCAGTCGAGCGCGTCCGCCCCCTTCATGCTCTCCGGGGGTGGCGAGCAGGAGGGCACCGCTAGCTTGGTGGGGAGCAGCATGTTTCCCAGTCAGTACAAAGAGGCTGAAGCACGGCTGGAAATTGAGACCACGCTCAAGGCGGCAGACGCCTCTGTGGCTTTGTGAAGGGACGTGGCTCCCCTGCCGGCTCTGAAGGAAAAGGCTTAACTCCCGCTTTGAAGTCAGCTGGCAGCTGGGAGCTCTTTGCCAAAGCCAAGTTCCCTGCGGACAAACTGAAGGGGGAGGAAATACGATGGTCTTTGTGAGGCCTCCCTGGCACACGTCCTCCTGGGGGACTGACATGCAGTGAATCAGATGGAAGGAAAAATTGCACTAATACCAGGAGGGTGGGTGGGGCAGCCCTTGGGACTGGCCCGAGACCCCCCTGCATTTCTTAGAATCATGGAAGAAGCGGAGGCTTCCCCCCAACTTGATGATTACATGGATCCACTCTTCAGTCTTTTCTACTTCGCCCTGCTTGCCTTCAGTGCCTACATAGAACCTACAAGAACGAGAGAAGTAGCCTTAAGCTGGTGGAATAGCTCAGGTGCTCTGTCTCCTTATAAACACGTGACTTTGTGCTCCATAAGGTTTTACCTTTCATTGAACTTTGGAGGGCGTGAGATCTATGAAGCACTGGCTTGCCAAGGTTTTCCTCAATGCTTTTGAAAACTTAAAAAATAATAATAGTCAAGAGATGCCAAGGTGTGAATCAGGAACCTTTATGTGCAGTGAAAACGTTGGTGCCTTTGCCAAGGTGGCAGGATCGCTCCCTGTTAACATGTCTTATAGGAAGCAGGTCTAAAACCTAGGGCACATTTGGACAATTTGGACACAGGCGGCCGACTCAGCTGCCTTGTGCGGCCAGGAAAAACAGACCATCTTTCACCTTTCTGAATTGCATCCCTGAATTCCTTTTTTTAGTCCATATGGTCAGCATTTTCATGCACATTTTCAAATGTAGGCATTTCTTCAAATCTACGCATTTGGTGTGTAGTTTTGCAAATGTACTGCATTTCCCCTTAATTGAGGCATATGCCTGTGCCCATGTTTTGCAAGTGCGTGCATTTTTGAAAAGGGCTACATTTTTGTATGCATTTCTCTTTCTTTCATGTGAACCACATTGCAAGCTCTGGATGTGTATGGATTTGGACAGCAAGCTGCATCCTGGTTTGTATTTAGGGTTGGCAAGTGCACAGACAGCTTTGAGAAAATGAATTTCTTACCCATCCCTGCCCCATGTGACACTTTGGGGCCTAGACACTTGCTTTTTAAATTCTTACAAAGATAGTGACTTCTCTTCCCAATGCCAGATTTCTGCTCTGTGCAGAATTATTGAATGCTCACAGCCTCTGCCAGGGCTCTGACATTCTGAGTGCGCGACACGAGGATGTGGAACCAGGAGATTCTAAAGTGCCTTTTCTATTCAGGCAGCTTGCCTGAGATTAGAGGTCCTGGGCGACCTCAGCGGACAGCTAAATTTAATGACTGGGGCACCGTGTCATTAAATCGCCGTGTCCTTGTCATTCACACCGGGTGTACGTTTCTTTGCTCATCATACCTGAACTTGGACTGGGGGAAACAGGCCAGAGGAGCTGAATTCCCTTCTCTCCACTATCTTATCTCCTGCATCTGGCACTGCTTCCCTCCCACCGGCCCTCTTTGCCAAGACTGGCATGGGGGGAAAGGGTTTTTGCTGGTGAAGACACACACCTTCTATGTGCTCTGTGCAGACCCAAGGGAAGGTTCAGCTTCGTATTCCCAAACAGCCCATTTCGTGTGCAGAGAAGATCCCCTGCTTGACACATGGGTAAGGCAGACGGACAGGTGAATGCCCCGACTTGGCTGCCTGTTGCGTATGGTCTGTACCATCACCTAGGGTACCTTCAGAGGGATAAATGCAAGGCTGGCATGGTGCTGGAGTAAGGCTTCCTGAAATTTGACCCAGAAGCCCAACACTACTTTGCTTCAAAGTAGTGATGAGGCGCTCAGACAGGAAGGCCTTAAATCTTCTCTTCTCTTGGAAAAGAGGAAAGATCTGTAGGAAGCATTTCACTTTCTTCAGTTGGTCGAGAATGAAATAGATTCTAAACATGGTTCTCTCTCAGGCTTGCCTGTGTTGCGCTTTTCTTTTCAAACTTTAGGGTACGTTACCATCCCTTCTACTGGCAAATATGTTGAAATTTTAAAGGTTTCAGTGCCTGCCTTCAAAGAATTCTTCTAACAAAGAAAAGCACTTAATTTCCCGATTGTTACTTATCACTCTAACATTGTTCTTCATCTTGGAATGAGGTGGATGTTGGATGGATCTTGTTTGTAGCAGAATTGTTCCCTGAACAATGTACCTTACCCCCCAACACCAAGCTTTCCCTGGGCTTGTCATTCCTAGCTATGTATTACTGGATTAATTTTAGTCCTGTAACCTGTGTCAAGGCTCAGCCCTGGAAAGATGTGAAATAATAAAGCAAGCAGTGCCTCTGAGTATGTACAAGGTTCATTTCCTTCACCAACACTTAACCACAACGAGTGACCACGTTTATGAAGCAGGGAAGTCAAAGGGGCATGGAATTTAAGGACAGTTTTATTTCATCACTGGCACATTTCCCTTTTCTTTCCTCTATCTCTAGGCCTGGCTCCTCTTTTTCTTACAAAACTGATCTAGTTTGTATTACCAGTAACTTCTGCTTTGCAGGTGGCAAAGGACCCATGCAGTGCCAGTGAAGTTTGATTAGTGTTTTCTGAATCCCGCTCTGCGTTGCTGCTGGTGGAGTGAGAAAAGAGCAAGCAAATAAGGCTTGCTTTTTATTGGTCAGTAACACGTGAGGTTTAGTATTTGTAGTAAAAAGGTGACCACCTGCTTTGCCAGCCTGCCTGGTCACTGACAACCCGGAGGGTTCCACGTGGTCGGGCAGAGATTCTGGGCTCTAGGGCTGCCCCTTAGCACCACTTCTGGATGGAGGACTAGGCACACCTGTCCTTTTAAGGTTTCCATAGGGTGTTACCTTAAACAGCCTTGAAAAGAACCTGTCCTTATGAGGCATGCAGGAATCCCAGTGGGTTCAGCCCTTTCCAGACCTCATCTGCGCATGACCTCACAGTGCAAATCAAGTTCTCTTTTGCAAATCTGATCCTGCAGTTATGAAGCCATTTAAGGAGAGGATGCTGAGGAAAGCTTGGAGCTCTTTTACTAAAATGTGGAGATGCCAAGGCGGGAGGAGAGCAGACCTGATGAGGGAACATGAGTGTTTCCACAAGACCAGACCTCAGGTTGTTACAGTTGCCACCAACATTGGGACATCTTGCAGATCTGGAAATCTAAATTTGAGTAGAAAAAAATAAGCGAGATGAGCAGGAAAATAACAGCTTCATCTTCAGGGTTGGCCTTTCCTGATAGTGAGCTCCTGGGTTCCTGGCAAGAAAGGAAGGATAACGATAAGGCGATAATTATTAATCTCTCCATTTAACCAAACTGAACTTGCAGTGGTTCTCCTGAAGAATGGCTAAAAAAACATTTCTTTTTACCCCCTCGTCCCACTCTTTCCAATGCACCTTTATAGGAGGTGCAGGAATTCGAATCCGTAGCCCGCAATAACGATTAATGCGGATTAGAAAAAAGAGGGCCGAAGGGGTAGATTGCCTCTGCGCATGCGCCACGCTTGCTGTGCTTCCCCTACCGGCCTCTAGGCGTCTCACGGACGATTCCGGAGGCGCGCCTCGGAAGCCGGGGGGGGGGGGAAGAGAAGCAGAGGTTCGCCATGATTGGCCGACACGTCTGTGGTCACGTGACCCGTCCGGCTCAATGGGACGCCGCAGAGCGGTTTCTCCAACCCCGCCTCTTCGCATTCTTAGACTCTGCGCCGCGCTCATTTCCGCTTCCGGCCTTGGAGCTGCGACTTTTGGGGCGGGCGAGCAGTGGCCCTTGGTGTCCTCTAGCTGTGCACTGACGGGGGCTGGTTGCTGGGCGCTCGTCGCTGCAGGGAAGCTGCTGGCCCCCAGGTGAAGGAGGCCTGGTGGCCGGGGAGCGGGGAGCGGCCTAGGACAGGGTGGGGGGTGCTGCGGGGGCTGGCGCTTGGGACTCCCCTTCGGTTGTGGTGGGGAGCTGGGGGGCCGCTTTCAGGTGGTGGGACGTGAGGGGGGTGCAGATGCCCCCTCCCGCTATATATGGGTGATGATGCAGGAGGAGTCCCTTATTCTCCCCCGCTTTCACCAAAACCTGGTAAGAGGGTGAGTTCCTAGGCACAAAAATAATTTTGAAGAAACCGGCCTTGGGAGGGACATGATCGGTGTATTAAAAACCCTGAGGACTAGCAACATGTTCGAGGTGCCTCTGGGTTTCTTCCAGTGTGGAGAGGAAGCGGAGTTGCATTAATGCAACCTTTCCAAGCTTGGTGCATTCCAGATGTACTGGATTGCATTTCCCAGTTCCCCAGCTAGTATAACTGCTGGTGTGGATGATGGGCATTGCAGGTCAGCCCACCTGGAAGCTGGGGAAGGCTGAGTTACTGGGATATCAGGGGATAGTGAAGTCTTCAGGAAACATATCTAAAGTATACCTGAGAATATGTTTTCCTCACTCCTTAGAATATAGTTCATAAAGTTAAACATTTTATGGAATTAGACATTTTATGGAATTATCTCTGGAGTGTTGTCAGTGAAATGACTCAACTGTTATGCTTTGCTTTTAAGTGTCTTGCTTTCCTTTTTTCTTCCTTTTTTCCTCCTCCTCCCACAAAGCATCTATTATCCTGGTTAATATTGCTAGTGTTACAGTTCTGCGATGATGTAAAAAAGTTTGGTTGTTTAACAGTGGTTTTGCTGACTTCCCACATTACTGCTGTGCAGGGAATTTGCTCCCTGTTGTAGCTTCTTTGAATCTGGCTCTGCATGGGGAACTAGTAACCTTCTACCTATTGAATTACAGCTCCTGTTTCCCTGATTATTGGCCATGTTGGCCAAGGCCAATGCGGGCTGAAGTCCAACAGCACCTGGGGGGCCCCATCTTCCCAACCTTTGTTCCAGTGCATAACTAAAGGCTTTCTTCAGTGGGATCTGCTGTACCTTTTCTCTCTTCAGCAGCACATTCTGTGATGATACGGTGTTTTCTTCTCCTTAAGTATGACAAGCCTTGGTTCAGTTTTCAGAGCATTAGCCTTTATAGCCCGCTGCTGCAAAAACAGCAGAGTCCCATAGCATTGTGGAGTCTCTCAAACCGATTGTGGCACAAGCCAGCCTTACCCAACTTGGTGTCCTCCAGATCTGTTGAACTACAACATTCACAACCAATCCCGACCATGATTCCCCTTCCCCTCCCTAAATCCAAGAGATAACTGTTGGATCAAATTATTCTGGGCTCTGTGTAATTCTAAAAATGAATTTTCTTCTCATTGCAAGTGAACTTGCAGCCATATAGCTTCCTGTACCTTTGACAGAACCATTGGGTGGCTGTGTAAAATTACCTGGGGAAGTAGAACTGCAGTTTGGCTTTCCATCAGCTAAATTCTCAGCTTGTTTAACTTTCAGATTAAAAACTGTAGCCCTAACTCATTCTGATTTCACATTTATCCAGGCAACTCCTTTCATGTGAGGGGGAAAAAGCCGTCTTGGATCCCTTCATGGGCTGTGCTTGGTGACGACCAGAGAGTCTGTTCTGACATCTCCCAAATCCCTGCTCTTGGTGAGTAGAGTTTGTGTGCCTGGACTGTCACCTGCTGTTCTCTTTGTCCAAGGACCTTTGACCGCCGAGCTTCTGAGCCACTCACTTCATGCCTAGACCTGAACAAATGTGCCGTGAAGCGGGAAGATGTATATATGGACGGAGCATGTTGTAGGTCTCCCCCTGTCCCATTGTTTCTGGCCATTCCCTTGACTGGGAGGGGGCAAAGCAGAGAAATGCCTTGTATGGAAGGCATCTCTGAGGGTGGCAAAATTGGCCACATCTCTTCCTTGGAGGGTCACTAAAGGATCCAGAATGGCTGCTGTCTCTAGCAGAGTCCATTTAGTAAGAGCTTAGGCAAGAGCACGAACTTGTACAGCAGCATCATAGGCCGCCCCCTTTCAGGCTGGGTAATGCATTTGCCCAAGAGACTTTGTTGCCTTTCCTTTCCTTGGACAAAGTTTTGGAGTTGCTGTTCTCCTCCCCACCACTTTTACAGGTATTTGTACCCACTGAGATGCTAATGCTGGTTAAAAAAAGTAACTTGGGGTTTGTTCTGTAGGTGTGATGAATCCCAGTGTCTCTAAGCTGGTTTGCTTTGTTCTGTCAAATTCTCCTCTCCCAATTTGCTTGTGCTTTTCTCCCTTCCATTCCCCCAAATAGCTTGGAGGAAAACAAGATGTGGCATGAAGCCCGGAAACATGAGCGGAAGCTCCGGGGGATGATGGTGGATTACAAGAAACGAGCTGAGCGCCGGAGAGAGTATTATGAAAAGATAGTGAGTGTCTTCCAGATTGGCTCTGATCTGGGAAAAACAGTGGCATCATGTGACTGTCCTCCTCCTCTGCCTCTTTCCTCCCCTTTACCAACCCTTCAACAAGTCTATCAGAATATGCGTCTTTGAAACGCTACAGTTCTCTGCTTCCAGGAGTTGAGGGTTGTGCTGGAATGTTCCTGGCTGCGTGACAACAGCCCCTTCTCTACAGCAGCCTTCCCCACCCAAGACCCTCCAGGCAGTTGTCGTCCATGTCTGGGGGGCCTCTGGTTGGAGAGAGCAGCTCTAGGCTCATGGGTGTAAATTTGTCCTTGTGGCCTGGTCAGAGAGGCTTCCGGGATTCTGTTTCTTCAGACTTGGAGGCTTTTGAGAGTCCTGTAATGCCACCAGGGTGAGGGGAGCAGCAGAGGTAAGCTTTGCATCCCGGTCTTCCATTCTTTGCTTTCTTGCAGGCAGTCCATCCAGCCTGCATAGCAGCAGCACTTTTGGGAGTGAAGGCTCACAAATTAGACATTGGTCTGTCTTGTCACCTTGCTTCCCACCAAAATGCTCCCTTCCCCCTCTCCAGGGCCGAGTTTCTGACCTTGGAGAAGCATTGGGCACAGTTCATCCTGCACTCTGCACGGGAGAGGCAGATCTCTGACTTCCCCTCCTAGGATTTGATCACTGTCTCCCACTCAGATGGTCTGTGACTCTTGCCCAGGGATCGCAGGATTGCTCTCAAAGTGTCAGTGAACTTGGCAATGCTAGGATGACTTTGGTGCTTCTGTTTCCTGTTTTTATGGATGCTCGCTCTGCTTCTTTTCCAACAACTGAAGCTTTAACTGTGAACAAATGCTGAATGCATAAGTGCACTCCAATCTATGGCATTATAAGGTGCAATTCAACGGTTTTTCCCCTGCCCATATCCCTGAACCCAGGGTGGGTTATGTGAGTAACAGATAAAAAACGGATAAAAGCCAGCAGACAAAAACAGCAGCGGGAAGGCCCCAACATCTCCAGGTAGGGTTGGGAAAGGAACTGTCCAATTCCGAGGAGTCAATGTCAGTCCCTATGGATAATTCTGCATTACGTGGACCAGTGCTCTGCTCTGCTCTAAGGCGGCTTCTTGTGTCATGATTCTCTTCCAGAAAAAGGATCCAGCCCAGTTCCTGCAGGTCCATGGCCGTGCATGCAAGGTTCACTTAGATTCTGCTGTGGCTCTGGCAGCTGAGAGCCCCGTGAACATGTGAGTAGCGTTCGTGCGGTGCCAGCACCGTGGTGATTTGTCTGCTGAAAGTGAGGAGAATTTACCTTTGTGGTGTGGGTGTGCAGCATCCCCTTGAAACCTGCTTGCCAAGACTCCTCTGCATCGGACTTTCAGCCTTTCCCTTTCCCCTTGCAGGATGCCATGGCAGGGGGACACCAACAACATGATCGACCGCTTTGATGTCCGAGCCCACCTGGACCACATCCCCATGTACACTCCTCCGCTGCTGAACCCCATGTAAGGTGTTTGTTCATTTTTTTGATCCTGAGATGTGCGGCTCCTTGCTTCGAGCTCTGATTTGTTTGTGCAGTTGAACGGGAAAAAGAGAGCTTGGATTCCTAGGTGTGATTCCTGACTCGCATCTGGGAGAGAGGACCAGCTGTGTCTAAAACAAAATGGCAGGGCCTGTTTTCTTGGGTAGGTTGGGGCCAGAGTTGCACACTTTCTTGGACAGCAGATGTCTGACTCATGAATCTGTTGCATCACTTGGGTTGGCGGAAGCACCGCTACGTCAGAGGAGGGTGGGCTGGTGTTACACTATGTACCATCCCTCCTGTACCTCAAATACCTGACACACACGTGTGCGTGTGTACACACACACACACACACACACACACACACAGGGTTTTGTTCTCGTGTTATGAATGCCAAGTTACATGGTCTAATGGCAATTCTAATTGCATGTGTTTGAACCTTGTTTTGTTTATGTGGTTTTGGTTTTTTAAAGATAAGGTTATTCATACCTGGACCTTTAGTATGAAAGTAAAACACAATACTCAGATAAATGGCGAAAGCAAGAGCTACCTGTAACACTGCTGCTGCTGGCAATTAATCAAAAGAACACTTCCGTACAATTCTGTCCTGTGTGTCGTCATTGTGCCGTCTGATTTTTTTAATATTTCACCATGTAGGCCTGGATTGAACGACCTGTGTAGCTAAGACTTTTTAAAATACTGAGTGGCGGCTCAGAGCCCCTGGGCCGAACACGCACTTGGCATGCGGAAAGTCCCGTGTTCAGGGCCCAGCAAACTCCTGGGAGAACCAGCCTGGGTCTTTATCGGGCACCTTTGCATGCTTGCAGCTGCCTGTGTAGCAGACTTCTTTTGCAAGAGGGAAGCTGCAGGACTGTTTGTGAAGTGAGGCGAAGCTGCTCAAAGTGTAAGCCTAACTTCTCCAGCCTGCCGTCCTCCAAACCACAACTTCCATCATTCCCAGCCGGCATGGCCATTGTGGGCGTTCCCCTCCGGAGGTGCTTGACTGCACCCAGCTGGGGGAGCTTGACGAAAGAGGAAGCACCACTGGGCAAGACAGTCGCTCTTGAATTCTGGCCTTGGAATTTGGCGTGTCAACGTGTAGGGTATTTTCCTATCAATCAGTGCTGTGGCTAGACAAAGCAAATGTGGCAGCGTTGGAATAAAAATTCCAAAAGAGAAGGTGCCCGAGTCAAGCTGAGACCATCCCTTTCTGGAGGAAGAGTCTGCATGGAAGTTCGGTGGCCTCCTTCCGCTTCCCACATGAAAGCAAATGCAGATTCCATGGCTTGACCATCAGCCACTTTCTTCCTTTCTACCACCCTGCCGCCCCCCACCCCCACCCCAAATTTCTTTGGCTTTGTTTGTTGTCTTGCCTGGCGAAGAGTTTTGGAGAACTTGCAAGCTGGCTTGGTATTTTGTGACCTTTGGCCCGGCCCCATAAAGGTATGGTGTTGACAGGAGCAGTGGCAGCCTTGGTGTGGGTTTGTGGGAGTGACGGCAGGAGGATGTGAGGGCAGGGGGCAAGCTTTGTCAGGGGTAGTTCCGTCCCCTGAATGCTGGTGCCTCACGCAAGCCACTGCCTGCACACTTTCAGCTGCCTCCGTCACCATGCCGCCTAGAAACGTGCTATTTTTAAGAGCACTTTGTAGGGTTGTGCCAAACTCTAAATGCACAGCAACCTGCCAGCTCCGAGTGAGATGTGGCACAGGTGTAGCAGGTGAAGCACGAAGAATGCGAGTCCACATCCTGCTGCTCAGCCGTGTAATTCCAACTGCTTTCTCTCACCTTTCCAGTTCTCCCGAGCAGGAGTCGGACGAGAGGAAATGCAACTATGAAAGGTACCGGGGTTTGGTGCAGAACGACTTTGCTGGCAGTAAGTTCCCATCGGCTCTCCTTACACTGCTGTAGAAGGTCTGATCCGGGATGAGCAGAGCTTGTATGTGAAGCATTCTGTCCCACGCTGCTGCTGCTGCTGCTGCTACACTGACAGTGCAGAAACCATTTTTAGCTAGATTCACTGAAGGTGCAGACCAAGGCGTTTTTAGACAGGAAAAAACCCTTTAATCGAGTGAGACTTGATGGGGGTCATGGGCCGGGGGCGGGGCGGGGGGCTTGGGCTAAACAGGCTTAGGATTGTGCCCTTAAGGGCATCTTTTTTGAGGGCCCTGTGGGGAAGGAAGGCTCCCAGCAGCCCTTGAGATCAAGTGCTTGGCATCCCTCAAGGACTTGATCAAAGGTATTGTAGCGCAAGAGCTGGAGGAGAGAGAGTGCTTGAGACGGCCCCAGCCACTCTGAATCTAGCACCTTCTGGATGCGTTGGACTGCATGTCCCATCATTCTCGTGGCCAGTTCGGCTCCAGTCCAGTCGAGCCAGAGCAGTAAACTGCCCCCCCCCCCCACTCACAGCCGATCAGCGGAGGTTGTTTGGGACCACGGCGTCCTGTGACGGGCCTTCGGATGCCAGCTGGCAGCATCAGAAATGCGCTGAACGGGCCCATTTGTAACACCCACAGTGTGACTCGGGGATGGGGCTGCCTTCTTGATGGGGGGTGGTGTGGGGAGGGTAGGGAGACGTATGGCTTGCCCAGCTCTCCCAGGCATGGGGAGCTTCCTCGCAGAAACATGCCTGCTCGTCTGCTTGCCCGGTCATGCGCTCCTGCTGCCCATGGCCAGTCTTTTCAGCTCATGTCCCCTCTTTGCCGGCAAGCTGGGCAGAGCTGGAGGGAGCGGGGAGTTCCAGCTGAGGCGGGAGAGGGTGCCCGTGCCGTCTCCTTGCTTGCCTGCCCCGTGCCGAGCGAGCCGCGTGGGGCTCCGACCCACTTCTCCTTCCGCTTCTGTCTCGCAGTTTCAGAAGAGCAGTGCCTCTACCAGATCTACATCGACGAGCTCTATGGGGGGCTGCAGAAGCCCAACGAGGATGAGAAAAAGAAGTGAGTGTCCCGAGCGGGGAAGCAGGGCCAGGTTCTCAGTGCCAGCAGAACTCGCGATCCAAAGCCTCGTGTGTTTTTGGGCGCGGGGCTTTTACTCGATCCCGACAGGCTCGGGGGAGATTGTGTGTCTTTCGGACTAAGCTGGGTGATGTTGCGGCATTCCAGACGATGGCGGACTGCAGCTCCCTTCTCCCCAGACATTGGCCCCACTGGCTGGGGATGATAGGAGGTATAGTCTAGCAGCACCAGCAGGGCCATCAGCTCTCCAGTCCTGCTTTCAAAGAGAGGTGGTTTTTCTGTTGCAGAAAGGATGTTGTAAGCCCCCCAACCCTCTTAGGGCGCAGGGGGAAAGCCTTGTGCACACCCCCTGCTCCTCACCCCAGAGGCTGGTCTTCCATCCAGAGGGGCACCCTCCCCTCGCCACCTCCCTCGGCCCTTGCACTCTGCTTATGGGTCACATGCTGGCGCGGTCCAGCGGCGATCCAGGACGGAATTATGTAGCTGAAGGGCAGGAAATGGCTCTCTTTCCTCCTCGCCCCCCGCCGGTACCCTTCCATCCGAATTCCTTGGCCCCGTCCTGGATAAACACTGAGCGGCCTGCCATCCCTGGGAGATGCTGGTGGAGAGCTGAAAAGAGGGTTTGTCTTGAGGGTGGAGATGAACCCAAGGCCGGGCACCCACCTGCAGGCTCTGGGGAGCACAGGTGTGATGCGTGTCATTTCCCTGGCTAGGCTGGCAGAGAAGAAGGCCTCCATCGGTTACACGTACGAGGACAGCACGGTGGCAGAGCTGGAAAACCCCTCCGAGAAACGCACGGAGGAGGAGGACTCCGAGGAAGACAGCAACACGGACGAGGACGAAGTCATTCCTGATATCGGTATGTCTCCAAGGAGCCTCTTGCCCCTCCAGCCTGGGTTGCATCGCCGCGGCAGGCGTGGCGAGAACGTGCCGTTGCATCGTCTGCCCTGCAGTCCTGCACAAAGACTAGGAGGCCGAAAGGTCCTCGTGTTGCAAAGAGCCTTTTCCGCAAAAGTGGACACAGCCCCTTCCAAGTAGATGTGGGTGGGCAGAGGACCGGTCTTGGGATATTTTGGACCTCAACCCCCATAAGCCCCTGCCAGCATAACCAGTGTTCGGGAATTCTGGAAGTCAGCACCCCACACCTCTGGAGGTACCTACCTTCTGCCCACCCCAGTCCCACTGTGGACTTTCCCTCAGTATCCATCAGCTCTTTGCTTCCTGTCTTCAGCTTGTTTAGGGCTCAGGACTGAGCCTGGTGAATATCTTATGGATTCTGTCTGGTGGGAATAGCTTTGGGAGGGGATTTGAGAAGCTCACGGAGGAGAAGGAAAGGTCTGGCTCTCCAGTGAGGTTAGCTAAATGGAACCACCATGTGGCGAGGCAGTGTGTCCCGGAATGCCCGTGGCTTGGGTCCAGCAGCAGGAGATGGTTGCCTTCAGGGCCTGTGTAAGGCCTCCCTGAAGACATCCTTCAGGTTCTCTGCTCAGAGTACTCAGCCACAGGAGAGAGCTTGGAATCGCTCAGTTCTTTGACATAAGAGCCCCAAGCTCATCCTAGGAGGAGGATTAAAGATCTTAACAATCCCTCGCACCTACAGGTCAGTTAGTTATTACCAGGGGACCAGTAATTCCTTTGATGCTTTCTAGTCCTTTGTCAGTCCTTCCCCTCCCCTCCCCTCGGGTTTCTGTTGCTGCTTTCTTTCCTGCTCTGTGGCCTTCCCTGCTTTCCCTGGTCTACCCTTCCCTGTCTCTTCCGTGGTTGATTTCAGCCAGCTTACTGCATGGACAGTAAGCTGACTCAAGTCACTCCTGAGGGTACATCCCAAGTATATAATGAATCATTGAAGATGCAGTGCAGCCCTAAAGGTTTAAATACGCACAGACCATCCCAGTGCATGAAACAGTTGGCCGTAAGCTGGCACGCTCCGGGTGCGTTGGAGTCCCGGTGTGTTGGTGCTCTCCCAGCATCTCCCCGGCAGCATGGAAAGCCTTTTTGGACTCGAGGGGAATTCCAGAAGCGGTGATGCAGCAGTCAGTGCGCGGGGTGGAAGTCCCCTTCTCAGATTACAAAATGGCCAGCGGGAGAGGTCAGAGTCGAGGAAGAGAGGCCTTTGGAAGTTGAAGTTTGGTGGAGCTGGAGATGCAAAGCTCGCAGGGTGTGAGCGGTCTGGAAGGGAGATGGGGCTGAAGGTGGTAAGGGAAGGAGCTGGGAAAATTGGGGAATCAGGAATTTTGTGCAGGCATTTCCGGAGGGGTGCTGCTTAGTCATTAGATAGTTTCTGTATGTTATGGCAGGGCTTGGGAATGTGCGTAAGGGAGGCGAGGCGAGGCCTTGCTGGTTGCTCGCCACGCTCTTGGGCTCCCCTAGAAGAAGCCTCTCTGCACCCAGCCCCAGGCTTCCTCAGCTGAGGGGAGGCAGAAGTGCTTGGAGGCTGATGTCTTGGGTCAAGGTTCTCCGATTAATGGTGGACTATGGAAGCCTTGTCCACTCTGGCAGCCTCCAGGAACCCTGTATTTCAAGCCCTGTCATCCCAGCCAATTGGGCCATTGTGGTACTGGCTGGGGCTGATGGGCACCGTACTCTAAGGCACCTGGGCAGCAGCCCCAGGCAGGGAAGGGCTGGTCTGCTGGGCCAGAGGTGGGATCTCTGGAAAGGTTCTGCGCGCACGGCTGCCAGCGAGTGCCTCTTCCCTTGCTTTCAGATGTCGAAGTCGACGTGGATGAGCTGAACCAGGAGCAAGTTGCTGACCTGAACAAGCAGGCGACCACCTACGGGATGGCCGAGGGAGACTTTGTCCGGTGAGGGGCCTGTGTGGGGCCCCAAGCAGCCTCTGCCTCAGTAGTTTAGGTGGCCCATTTTCAAGGCGGGGGGCGCCGAGGTGCCCAGGGACCTGAGCAGGCTCCTTCTGGGCAGAGAAGAGGTGCAGGAAAGCACGGCCAGCGTGGCCAAGGGGCTGGTGCGCCTTCGCTGCAGCCGAAGCCTGTAGCCGCATGGCACCCGCATCGGCCTTCCCCATCCCCAGCGGTTTAGGACTCAGCCCCCCTCGTCTCCAGCCAGCACTGGTGGATGCTGGGAGCTTCAGTCAGATAGCTCTAGCGGGTGCCAGATGGGAGAAGGCCAGTGCTGTGCATCCATGTTCACAGACCTGACTGTTTCTGTTGGCTTATAGCGCTCCTGTGTGTTGAACAATACCAAATCGTGTGATTTGGATGTCTGGCATAGCTTGGTGGTGCCCAGGATGGGAGCAGGTCAAGCCTGGGGCACTGGAAACTGGCTCTTGCCCTGCCGAGACCGAATGGGGGTCCGCGCAGAACCCGCCAGCTGAAAGTTCTGATGGATCAGCACCCAGCTGTGCAAGGAAAAGCCACGTTTCCTCTTGAAAAGGCGGCGTGAGGGGAGCAGGGTCCTTCCTCTAAGACAGATTGTTCCCCCAGAAGCCCCGGCAGCCGCGGTATGGTAGGGGCCACAAAAGAGGCTAGGGGCTGCATGCAGGCCCCATGTCCACACCTTGGATCTAAGTTCCCACAGCACCGTGTGGGGGGAGACACGGCAGCCACTGGGTTCAAGGCGTCTGAGCTTGGTGGGATGCCGCGACCTGTTCTCTCCGGGTGGGCTTGGGAAAGCGGAGGGAGCCGAGCGCAGCGGCATGGATGCCTGGCCTCTCACTGAGCAATCAGGGTCAGGCCTGAGGCCACCCTGTAAAAGAAGGGCAAATACTGAGTTTCTTAGTGGCTGCCAGATGAGTCCTAGCAAGATGCCGGAAGGTGCGTCCTCTCCCAATGTAATCCTACCTCTCCATTTTCTTCTGAAAGGATGTTGCGGAAGGACAAAGAAGAGGCAGAAGCCATCAAACACGCCAAAGCCTTGGAAGAGGAGAAAGCTATGTACTCGGTAGGGAGGCTTGGGGGCTGGGCGTTTCCGAGCCCTTCTCTGCTTGGCGGCTTTTCCTCATCTCTGGCGTCCTCCAAGAGGCATCAACAGGTTAACAGGCTGGGAGTGGCAACTCTAGCCAAAGCCCTCTAGCCAAAGCACCCCCAAGATGTGGAGGGGGTAATCCCTGTTATGCCGGAGAATCAGAACTGGGGGAACTTCTGGGCCTCCCTCTTGACACAGGGGCTTCTCTGCTTTCTCAGATCTCACCTGTTTTCCAGGGCCGGCGCTCCCGGCGGCAGAGGAGGGAATTCCGAGAGAAGCGCTTGAAAGGAAGGAAGATCAGTCCTCCCAGGTAGGCCCTTTGCTGATGGGGACTTGCTGGGCGGCTGCTGCCAAGTGGGCCCTTTCAGGTGTCTCAGCACGGGGAGTCACTGGGGAGCCCTTCGGGATGCCTTCACCTTGGCAGCTTCACGTAGCTGCAGGTGGCGGCAGGTGGGAGGAATACAACCAGGTGTTGTGCTGGTGCAGAGCGGCCTGTGGGAGACCGAGTTATCCCTCTTCCCCCACGGGGGTGCTTGCTTTTTTCCTGTGCCTGGAGCATTTCCCTGTCTTTGGTCCGGCTTTCATGAGGAGCAAACAGGGGCTAACATCTGGCATGGGTGCCTGGGGAGTGCTGGGAGTTGTAGTCCAAAACATTCAGTGGGCACCAGGACGGTGAAGGCTGCCGCCTGTCTTGATCACTTTTGTTTCTCTCTCCGTAAAAAGCATGAAGTGCCTGATCCTGCCTGATCTTGGAAGCTAAGCAGGGTCAGGCCTGGTCAGAATTGGGATGGGTGACCTGAGTGTCTGATTCTATGATTATTGTTGTAAACTGCCCAGAGAGCTTTGGCCATGGGCAGTATAAAAATGCAATAGTCATAGTAATAATCTTTCCAGACTGTGTGTTTGGAGGAGAATGTGTTGGATTGCAGCTCCCATCATTCTGAGTCATAGGCTCGTGGGAGTTGGTAGTCAGTCATCTCGCACACACGCATCTGGGATTAGAAAACCAGCTTGATTTTATTTCTTGCACTCACTCGCAGCTTTTCTGACCGAACAGTTCCAGGTAGTTCTTGACTGGTCCTGAGTTAGCCTCCCAGCCAGCTTTTCCCAGTTTCAGCAGTAGAGCGGTGTTGTGCCCAGGGCCGAGGGAGTCTGGTGCAGTCTTCTCCAACCTGGCGCCCACTGTGGCTGCCTGGGGCCACTGGGAGCCGCAGTGCCGCACAGCGGGAGGGTGCTAGGTGGGGAGCGGGTGCTCTGGACCCGCGCTGCTCTGCCAGTGGGTGTGCTGGATTGGCTCCGTGTACGTTTTCTGCTCCCCATCAACTGCTCATGCACAAGTACATCATAAAGACATCATTCATGTATTAGATGTAGATTCCACTCTTCTCTTGCACGCAACTCAAAGCAGCTCGCATCATTCTCAACCCACAACGACAAGCCTGCGAGGTAGGCTGGGCTGAGAGTCTGTGACTGGCCCAAAGCCGCAGCCCCCCCACAAGCGGGCTCCATGGCTGAGCGGGGACTCGAACCCGGATCGCCTGAGTCCCGCTTCCGCGCTCTTCACCACTGCACCACGCCGGCTCTCAGTGTTAGTGTTAAACTATGTACTAGGGAGGCCACTTATGCGTAACAGTCCCCCAAGGAAAAGCGCCACCAGGGGGGCCAGCCTTTACGTAAATTTGCCCGGTGGCCGTGGCGGAGGTGCCCCCCGGCAGCTGCACCAGGTTGAGGGCCGTGGCTCAGGGATCCTCCCGAGTCGTGGGAAGGCTGGCTTGCTCCGCAGATTGTCCAGTTTAAGTGCCTCAGGTGAGCTGCTTCCTATATTTTGTGAAGCTCGGCAAATACTTTCACTCTCACAGATGGCCGGAGGCAGGGGAGTGCAGGAGGTGTGGGAGGGGGTGCAGGCGTGCCTGGTGGGTGCTTTTCCCTCCGGGCCAACGGCCGGGGGGCAGCCAGGGCAGGGGGCCTGTGGCGGTCCCTGAACTGCATGGGGCGGTCAAGGCCTGCAAGGCTCCCATGATGCTTCCAGCACTCTACCCAGGGGCCCCTCTGGTCCTCACGCCTCTCTCTCGTTCACAGCTACGCCCGCAGGGACAGCCCTACCTATGATCCCTACAAGCGGTAAGTGGGTGCTGCCGTTCCTTCCTGGGGTTCTGTTGCATGTTCCCTGGATTGGGGAAGGGGAGGGTTGAATAGGCCTCTGGGGAAAGTAACCTGGGCTCGTGGGGTGCAGTCGGGGTTAAGAGCATATTTACCGACATGTGTTTTGATTATGGATGATTCGTTTAGATTTTTGTAAGCCCTCTTGAGACACTTTGCGTATAGGATGGGAGATAGACAGACAGACAGACAGACAGACGAATCTGTCACGAGCAGCCACTGTCCTGATGGCTTCCAGTATCGTCCAAGGCTCGCTCAGTTCTCGGTCTACACGCGTGTTCCTGAGTCGCCACAGGCACTGGCGCTCCACCAAGTCTGGCCTTGCCGCCCTCTCTGGAGGAAGGGGAACTTGAGGCAGAATTTACCATGAGGGCCGGGGGCACATGCATCTTGCAATCTTAATGCCACTTGAGATTTTCTCCCCAAAAAAGAAATGAGGCCGATCCTGCTCCGAGCGCCTATGATATTTTGTGCTCTCGGAAGCAGTTTGCAGGAGCCGTTCCCACCAAGCGTGGCTGCTTCCTGGTGCGTTTGGTCTGGGCAGTCCCTCAGTGTGTGTCCTGGCTTTGCAGAATCTCACACGTGTTTGTGTGTGCTGGGTTTTAGTCCGTCAGGGTGGGGAGAGGCTCAAGGCTCTGCCGCTCGGCCATCTTCCGGTGACGGCCTTTCCCCGTCCCACAGATCGCCCTCCGAATCGACGTCCGAGTCCCGCTCCCGCTCCCGCTCGCCTTCCCCGGGCCACGAGGAGAAGATCACCTTCATCACCAGCTTTGGGGGCAGCGACGAGGAAGCAGCCGCCGCTCAAGCCGGAGGAGCCCCCCGGAAGGCTGCCTCCCTCGGCAAGGCACGCGCCAGCCAAGTGCAGCAGGGCAGCACTGCGGCAGGTCATAGCGCCTCCTCCCGGTCGGTAACTTTCACACCTGCCCTGCTTTCCCAAACCTAAAAGCAGAGAACATTCCTGGGTCGCAGGTTGACTTCTTACTTTTCCGTCCTTTCTGAATGTTCAGACCTGACCATATTTGGGACCTGTGTTCCCAATGGCCGCCCTAGATGGCCAATCCTCTCTTTGTTGTGCCTGGTCCAGGAAACTAGGAAAAAACAGCTTCCCCCTTCTTGGGAAACAGGCTGGCCAGTCCAAGAGAGATCAAGGAGCTTTAACTCTTCCATGGTCTTGTTGCCCTCCAGTGAAAGCAGCTACTGCTAACATTTCACTGAAGGACACAGAAGGTCAGATCCTCGGTGTGGTTGTGCCATGAATGCTCATGGACCTTGTTGTCCCTTGACTGGGACATCCTGTAGCCTGGGGTGCTGGTTTACTGCAAGTTGACACTTGAAACTTTCTAACCAGGCAAATCTAAATGGCGACACCTTTATTTTTGCTAGATTTTTGCTTAGATCTGGTAATTTGTGACAAGGCCAGCACAGCAGCTTATATAAATATAAAGGATAAATCAGAGCATTTCAGGTTTCCCTGAAAATTGTGTAAAAGGCCCAAATAGAACTCAGTGGCAGTAGCAAACCACATTCAGTGCAGCAAACCAGTGGTAAAACAAGTAACACCTGAGCACCAGATCCAAGTGGAAAAGAAATCACCTGGAGCGAGCAGGTCTTCAGTGCCTGTTTGAAGGCCTGCAGCGGGGGCTCCCCTGTGTTCTCGGGTGTCAGAGTGTCTAGAAGAACGTGGTCGCTGCTGCAGCGTCGCTTTCCCTTTGCCTGCCAGCGAAAGCGACCTCACCGGTGGGTACCAAATAGCACCTCTGAAGGTGATCTCAGAATACAAGGGAGCTGATCCAGGTGGCTGTTCAAATAGCCTGTTTCCTGGGGGGACCCTCCGAGCTGAAAACTGGCCTTCTCTAAAACAAAATACAGATTTCCCAAGAGTTGGTTGGCTGCGCTAGGTTCAGAATCGAAGCTGGATTCCTTCATTTGCAGTGAGAACTTGCAGTAAAGCAGTGCCCCCTCGTCTCCTGGACACTTGGGCCCACGGGCCTGTGCCCACCTTCCTGCCCTCCAGGACTGGGTTTGCTGAAGGAACACAGGAGAGGTGGGGGGAGTGAATGGGGGTCCCCGGAGCCTTTTTCCAGTTCTGCAAGCACGGTCACTAATTTGGAAGCTTCTCTCTCAAGTGTGGGATGGCCAGCAGGGCCGAGTCTTGGCTGCCTGGGACAGCCCTGTGCCTTCGGAACTGCCCTTTCTCCACGCCTGCCGCTCTGCTTGCCCCCTTGTGACTAGCCAGCATCGTGCCTCTCCTCTTTGCAGGCGACGCTCCTCCTCCTCTTCCTCCTCCTCCTCCTCCTCCACGTCGTCGAGCTCCTCCTCCTCCTCCTCCAGCTCGCGGTCCCACCGGGCCAGCGGGTATCACAGAGCCAGCCGCTACAGCCACTCACGCAGCCACAGGTATTCCCGGTCCCGCAGCAGAACCAGGCGGTACTCGGCGGGAGGCTCGCGGGACGGACGCCGCCACTCCAGGTCTCGCTCGACGGAGCGGGGCTGGCGATACGGCTCCCGCCGCAGGTCCAGGTGAGTCCTCCGGGGTGGCAGCGGAAGTCCCGGGTTGTAAAGAGGTACTTCTGATGGCGAGGGAGGGCTGGGTGGGGAGGTGGACCGGTGGGCCCCAACCCAGTGCTGCGTTCCCTTCCCCAGGAGCCATTCCCGGTCTGGGGAGCGCTACCGATGGAGCAGCGGCAGGGCGGGGAGGCACTGGACCAGCAGCACCAGCAGCCGGAGTGAGAGCGAATCGCGAAGCCGCAGCAGGTCAGCGTCTCCAGCCAGAGAGAAACCGCTGAGGCCTGCGGCTTCCCCTGCCATAGGGGAGAAACTGAAAAAGTGAGCATATGGCGGGTTGCTCTCCCCCTTCCTCTCCCCCACCACGACAGTGACATCCCGGCAAGTCCTTTTGCTGCTTGTCGCCCATTGTCAGGGTTGTATAAGCTGTGTAAGACGCAGACAATTGCACCTGGAGGGGCTGAATTCTGCACTCTACATGAACGCCTACGGTTTCTTTCAAGGCACAGCCTTATGCAGGTTTAGACGGAAAACAGGCCTGACTGGGACATGCTGGAATTGGCCCTTTAAAAAATGCACTCTGCAGATGTACAGAAGTATAATTTCTAGCGCTAACCTCACATAGCAGAGAAATGACTCTAGCTTATCTATGGCAGGGAAGCCTGGGCCCCTGAAACGTTCCAGAAATAGAAGCAAAACCTTTTGCTAGGTGAAATCTGTGAAGGCAGAGATGACCGTGTCCCACATCTCCTTTAGCAGCTGACTTGCCGTTTATTCTCTTAATTTTGCTCTTGGAGAGAGGTGGTCTGCGTTCCCATTGCCCAGCCTGGGGATGCTCAGGGCTGCTTGCATCGGACGTCCCCAGTCCAGCTCCGAGTGACTGCATGTGGAACGTCTCATGTCAGCTCACAAGCCATAGACTTACCTGTCTGTTCACAGAGAAGCACCTGCAGGGTTCTGGGGCTGCAGCTCCAGTATTACACACATCTTTTATCAGTGCCTGCCTGCCTGCCTGCCTGCCTGAGCATGGCAAGTGATCAGAACTTGCTTTTCTGCCATCCGGTCCCCAGTGGATCATCTCATGCGGGATTAGCTGTGGCAGGTGCTGGGATGGAGATGATCCCTTTCCAGGGGGTATCTGTGTGGCATCTGCCTTAAGGCCCCTTCTGTCCCTGGGAGATACTGTAACAATTCTGACTGGTCTTGATTTGCTTTCCCTCTGCTTTATTTTCCCTCCTAGGGCTGAAACTGCCGGTGGTAAAGAGACAGGAGCTGCCAAAGTCAGTAAGAATTTAAACCTCACCTCTTAATTCCCAACACTGCAGAAAAAGACTCTGGGGATCAGTAGAGTTGCAGGAAAAAGGGTCATTGGCTTTTGTGTCCCAGGGTTTGGATGGCTGCATTGACTACTGCAGACTTAGCCAGGGATGGAGAGTCTCTCTGCCACCTGCCGATCATACTGCTAAGCTAAAGAGCTGATCTTAAGACTGGGCTTCCTAGGCTAGCATGCAGGGGCTGCATTTCCAAGCAAGAGGATACAAGTATGAGCCCTGTAGCTTTGCCAAGGGGATATTTTGTTGTCTACCCAGAAAGTGGCACTCCTAACAAGGTGTGGAATTCATGCGGGAACTTGCTGATTCTTTACGCCTTCCTAGGGGTGAAGGAAGGGAGTGGGGCTCCTGCTCTCACCTCTTGTTTTCTCTGCGACCGACACTTGTGAATCGGCCTTCTTCACTCCACTGCAAACTAGCTTTGGCTTCCTGTGGCCTCCCTTGCCAGGTCCGAAACTGGCCCTTCCTTTCCCTTTCTGGATTTCATGGCGCCGTTTCCATCCCTCCCGATGCTTTTCCTGCTCTGTCCCATTGCGTGGGGTAACCAGATGCAGAAGGGGTCTGCAAGCAAAGAGTGAGGCGAAGATACTGTGTGAGTTGTCTCCCGAGCCGAGCCACAGCTCCATCTAGCCCTGTAGTGCCTCCTCAGACTGGCAGCAGCTCGCCAGGAGTTTGGGCAGGGATCCGTCTCCAGCTCTTCCTGCCCAAGATTAGCAGTGTGGGAGTCAAACCTGGGACCTTTGGTGTGCAAGGTGGCGCTGACCTATGGGTGCCCTGCCCCACAATGAGCTGTGCGGTTTCCGCTCAGTCCTTGTGGGAGGGATGATGGGCGTCTTGTTCAGATTGGGCACAACCCTGTCCCATGGGAAGGGCTTGTACAGGCATCCGTGAGCTCCAGCCACTACATTTATTACAAGAAATGACTACATCCCATGTCTTTCCTCAGTGAGCTCAAGGCAGCTAACAAGTTTAAAAGAAACTTCACAGTTTACAGTAATACATTAAAGAAGCCATCAAATAACCCAGTAGATTAAAAGTTTTTAAAGTATCCAATTGTTAAATTGTAAACAATTACTTCTAGCAGTTAAAATCCCTTCCCCAAGGGAACAACCATGCATGTTTTTAAAATGAAGGAAGGAGGATTGTTAACCATCTTCTGGCAAAACCACCGGGAGAACTTCCTTCGAGAAGGAGTTCCAGTGCAGCTGCTAAAGAGGGTTTCTCCCTGCTCCCAACTGGCCATGTTCCTGGGAACCCTGGGACATGCGGGAGGGCCCCTTAACCATGGTATCAATCGGAGGGCAGGTTTGTATGGAAGCGGGCCGTCCCTGAGCTACCCAGGCCACAAACCCAGAAAGGGAGTTGAAGCTCATCCCCAGTGCTTCAGACTGGGCCTGGAAACCCACTGCAAGGCGGGCCAAGGCTTGAGTGAGCGAGCTGTGTGCTCCTTGTATCGGACCCCTCTTGATAGCACAGGCACTTTTCCAAAGTCAGCCCCCAAGTTCCATTCAGCAAGCCAATCCAGAAGGATATCATGGCGCGCGCGCGCGTGTGTGTGTATAAATAGAGGGGGAAGGACATTGCCTTTTACCAGAAACAAACAAACCAGAAAAAGCTTCTCAGGTGCTTAGAAAGGATTGTCTTATTTTGCTCGTTTTGTTTTGGAAATCTTTTTCGTCACCAAGAGCCACCTACCTATGTCAGGGTCTTTTGAAAAAGGCTGCTTCTGGTCTCCCATGCTGAAATGCTCTTGAGACTGTTGAGTGTTCCGGCACAAAAGAAAGGAGGACTTCTTTCTCGAAACAGCCAAAGAAAGCTAAGTGGCCTTTGCTGAAGGAAAGGGATTTCTGAAAGAAACTGGGAAGAATAAAACAATCCTTTCAAGGCATCAGAGAATCTTTGTTTCTCAATTGCCTTTGTGATGGTATCAAAAGCCACTGGAAGGGCCTGCCGAATTAACAATGGATCTGCCCCATTGCTGGTGCAAGTCATCCGCCCATACGATCAGGGCTGTTTCTGTCTCAAAGCTGAGCTTAAAGCCCATGGGATCCAATGAGGCTGTATTCTTGACGGTTCCATTCTAGGTGTCTGTTTTTCCATGGGTTGTCCCGGAGTTATGGCCCTTACACTTAGTGCATTAACCAAGGAGTAAACAGAAGGCATCTCTGACAGAATCAGGGACCTCCTTTCATTGTGGGTAAAATAAGAAATGTGCTGCCATTTACACCTTGAGTGGTTCATGATTTAAATCTCTGGGTGTGAATTCAGTTGCACAGAGAAACACTGGCACGTACGAAGGGGTCGGAAGCGGCTGTGTGTGGCTGAAACCCTGTGGAATTCCTTCCTCCTCGTAAACACGGGGCATGTTGGACCACAAGCCAGAATGCGCAGGATCTTGGATCACTGGCAGCACTTTGGTAACTCAGAGGTGTTTAGCGCATGGGTGGAGGGCATTTTCAGCCGCACTGCACGCTGGCTGTCCTGGCTCTCGCAGAGCTGAGGGCGTATGGCAACACGCCCCTAATTTCGCTTCTGAGGAGGCTGTAGTTGGGCACAATCTTTTCCTTTTTGTTGCAATAGATTGGTTTCAGCCCCGAGCCATAACAAGTTCGAATAAGGTTAAAATAATCTCGAAGGAACATGGTAAACAGAACGGTCAGTGCAATCCAAACCGTAGTTCCACACTCCACAGAGGGGATTTGTCCAAGCGACAGTTGAGCGTGTGGGTGTTTGCAAAGCCTTGCCTCACTATGGCCAGTTTCTGGCTGACCTCCCTCTTAGAGCCAGTAAAAACAAACAGTGTTTCAGTAGGTCTGACCAAATGCTCGCTGTTCTTCCGCAGTTCAGGGAGGAGAAGTAACCCTTTCTCTTCTAAGGTATCGGAGCAAACTCAGAAGTTTCCAGTCTCTGCCAATATAATGCCGTGCCACCATCTTTGGCTTGGTGCCCTCCCATCTTCCCTGACCAGCGGCCCCCCGATAGCTGGGAGCCACACGAGTTGCGGTCTGTAGCGCACCTTATGGTACCAGGCCAGGAGAAGCTGTATGCTCTCTTACCTTTAAGTAGCTTTACTGCTACTTGTTCAGGTTCCGTTCACTTCAATTGGACTCACCCAGGCAATTATCATGGGGTTCTTAATGGTGGATGTGCCTTTAGGCCAGGTTTCTTTTCTATCCTGGCAGGCCTTGGAAAAGCAGTGGCAACTGTGAGCCAGCATGGAAGGCGGAGGTGTTGGGTCCACTGAAGGGCCGTCTTCTCAGCTGCTTATCTTGGCGTGGGGTTATGGATAGGGCGGTGCTTCCAGGCAACTAGAGGTGGCACTGTGGTCTGCCTGACCCCGGAACGAGTGTGCAGGAATTGCGCAACGGGGGGAGCCTGGGCTTATCCTGCGTGGCCGGCTTGTTGAGGTCAGCAGCGGCTCGCATGTATGCATAGACGGGCTATGAGGCAGAGCGGCCGCAGCTCCCAAGCAGAACTCGCTTGTAGTACGCACGAGGGAGATGTTCGTTCATTTCCCCAAGCGTCCTCAAGTGGTGGCCCGTGCCAGCAGCATTGTCACAATGGCACGATGCACAAGCCCAGAGGTACCAGGTTGGGGGAGGCTGACCTGAGCTGTTGTGGAGCTGCTGGGGAAAGGCACCGGGCCGCAGCGCTCAGTCAGGAGCAGGTTTCTCATTCAGCGCCGAGCACGATGAAATGCACTGAGAGCCAGATGGCTGCAGGCAGGACTGGAGAAATGTTCCCGGTTTTAGGATCAAGGCATATCTTTGGAATCCTGCCATGTACAGGACGGAAACTCTCGGATTACTGAGTGGAACACAGACACTTCAAAGGTTAGGAAACAAACACTATGCCACCCTTTACTGCAGCTACCTTGCTCCTATTTTAAGTGCATGTCATTTGCATATTTTCACAAGCAGGATCTGTCGTCTACCTACGCGGGTGATTCAGAGATGTAGAAGTGCATTATCTTTGAAAGTGTCTGAAGCAGAATTTCTAAAACTTAATGGGGCATGGTTTGCTTGCATCTGCTGCTTTGGCTTTATTATGGCAGCTGTGGGTTCTGGAGCCTTATGTTTTTCGAGTGTGTTGTTCTGTCGTCTTAGAAGAAGGGGCTTGGATGTTCATGATTCAAACCATAGCATGTGATACCAGGGTCTAGAGGAACCACAAGTGGCTTCTTGGTGGAGTTTAGGAAAAGCTACGGCCTAGATCATGAAGATTAATCAAGCCACAGGGAGGAATGAAGAAATAGGCAGCAGCAATATGCAAGTCAGCTTTTCACAAGTCAGAAGAAAGTGCTAGTTCAACTTTTTCACTAGGCACCTTGACCACAAGTTGGATTTGCGAATCACCTTTGGCACAGAGTAGCCTGCAGAGGGGGAACGAAAAGATCAGGCATTGCCTGCAGGTGGTTCGTGGCAGGTGGCGATTCGTACCTGTTTGGCATGCTGGCAGTTGCAAGCCTTTTTTCAGTCCAGTGGATAGCACTGTGCCCTAAGAGGGTTGCTTGTGTTATTTATCCTCGAGGATGCGTAACGTGGATTTCCAGTGGTCCCAGAGCCCACAAGCTCCAGCTTTTGAGTTAGCCTGGTTCTTGATAATGTCAGACCAGCATGCCTCTGGGTCTCAATAGGCTCCCAAATGACTACATGCCAATTCCTTCTGCGGGAGGGTGGGCCCCTTGAGAAGTCCCCAAGAACATAAAAACCGCTTTCTTTCTGGCGGGGTGGGTTAGTGGACGGCTCCTCTGCTGGGTTGATCTGCAATAATACTGTGTTTATAGGGTTGTCTTTCCCAAGCTCTGTCTCTTCCCACATGTGCCCCCTCCCTCAGAACCCGCTTTAATTGCAGGCTCAGCCCGTGGGACACACCCTTGACCCCTCTCTGTTTACCTTCTGCTTATAGCCAAAGCTGACTCCACAGGAGAAGCTGAAGCTGCGCATGCAGAAGGCGCTTAACCGGCAATGTAAGCATCTGGGCACCTGAGCGGGAGGCAGGGCCCGGGGAAACCCTGCCCGTCCTTTCCCTCCTTCCGCCGGGTCACTTTCTCATCTCATTGCTCTGCCTTTTCAGTTAAAGCAGATAAGAAAGCTGCCCAGGAGAAAATGATGCAACAGGAGCATGAAAGACAGGTACCTAGCAGGCACAAAACTCTCCTTCCTGGAGAAGCGGGTTTTTCTAAATGCAGCGCTAGAGCGCATGCACACTGGGCATGATGCAGGGCAGTTGGTAGTAGTGAGAGAGAAGCCTTCGAAGCACGAACTGGGCCACTGGATCTGGTTTTCTTTGCGTTTGGCTCCTTGCGCATTTTTGGGGGTTACGCATGATCACAGCAAAAGGGTGGTGGCCTGGAGCAAGCTGCGAAACAGCCCTCATTCTGCTGGTATTGCATTTCTTGTTGGGAGGGAGGGAGGGAGGGAGGGCCGATGTGGAGCCGAGCAAGGCCTGGATGAGGGACGGCCTTGTTTTGACGAGGCCACGACTAGTTTTGCTTCCCCAGCCGAGCTGCTTGTCTTTCCACCTTCCAGGAGCGAGAAGACGAGTTGCGTGCCATGGCTCGGAAGATCCGGATGAAGTAATGCCTGCTGTGCTGTTCTTGCTCCCTTGGCGTGGAGTGGTGGGGGCTGCGGCGGGGAGGGAGGGAGGGAGGGGCTGCCTGCCTGCGTTAATCGCCATCATTCCTCCTGGCAGGGAGCGCGAGCGTCGCGAGAAGGAGCGTGAGGAGTGGGAGCGACAGTACAGCCGCCAGAGCCGTTCCCCTTCCCCGCGTTACAGTGAGTGCCCTGGGCTGGCTGGAAGGGGCCGGAGAGGGTATGGTGCACAGGGGGAAAGCCTGACTCTCCCTTTTGGAGTCCTTGTCAGCAAAGCCCTGCCCTGCCCTGCCCTGCCCAGGCAAAGAACCTCACCTGAAATAGTAGCACCATCTTGGCTGAAGTAGCCAGGCCTTTTCCGTGCCTCAGAAGGGCCTTGCCGCCATCTGCTTTCTCTGGAGCGCCCTGCTGGCTGTTCTTACCCAAGGAGGGGAGCAGCTCCTGCGTGCAGAAGCGGCTCAGCTGCTGCCCTTTGTAAGCGGTGTCCCTCCCAGAGCACCAACCTGCATTGCCTGACGCCTGCTGGATGTGGAAGGCAGAGCAGCAGTGGTTATGGCAGGGAGGGAATGCAGAGCGACAGGACGTGCATGCGCCTCTGCCTCGTGGGGCGTGCAATTCCGACCCAGTAGAACTAAGGCAGACCTTCATGAGTTTGCATGGTGTTTCTATAGGGGCTGTTCCCCTTTCATCCATTTAAACCTTACATTCTGGCTGTAGACACAAAAACCACAGACTATGCACTTGCCAGCACTGTTCTGGAACATAAAGATGGATCATGACTTTTTTTTTTTTTAAACAAATGATTACCCCCCAAAGCCATAGTAAGACTTGCATTTGCAGCTGTACTTTGGAGATGGTTTACCTTTCTCCACTTCCCTTGCAGGTCGAGAATATAGCTCTTCAAGGAGGTAAATGTTGCTTGTGTTTGTTCAGCGTGTGTGTGCATGTGGGGGGGCTCTGTTTCTGAAAGCACCCGCATCAAGCCAAGGTGGGAGAGGCGATGCCTTTCTGAGCTGATGCGGCTCTGCTAGACAGAAGCCCGAGTTCCTCCACAGGCTGCTGCTGTGCTCTGCCTGCACCCGTAGTTGCGATGGCTGTTAACTACACAGCTCCTGTATGTGGCCTTTACGGCAAGAAAGCTGATGTGCTCATACATGGAATTTCCAGTTTACCCGCTGAGCAGACTACATGAACGGGCCTTGCTGTGACTTTTGTGGCTCAGCAGTGAAATTGACTACCCTCTTGCCAGGCTGACACTTTTCTACCTCTGGCATTGCATCAGTGCTGATTAATGCTTGACAGAATCGGGGGCCTGTGTCTCTGCAGGCAGAATCTCATTTTGGTCGGTCTCTGCCTGGTCTAAACTGACCTCTTTCTGCCTCCCACAGGCATTCGCGTTCCCGATCTCGGAGCCCTCACTACCGCCACTAGAGGTGATTTCTGGCACAGCGCTGCGCTGGCCTTCCACTGCATCACCAGGTCCCATGTGATCCTGCTGTACATTGCTGGTTTTGTTTTTAAGTTGTAAAAAAAATTTAAAAAATAAAAGTGGTTGACTCTTCACAGGGGCCTTCAGGCATTTTGCAGTCATTTGGTTACTTCCGCCCCAGTGTTCAGTGCACACCTCTCTTTCTTGCACCCCAGAGTTGTCAGATGGTCTATGACATGAGCGGACTGTCTGTTTTCGTTGTTGAGCCAGATATATTTTTGGTTCAGGGTTAGGGTTAGGATAAGGTTGAGGAAAAGGAGGAGGTGGAGAGTTAAGAGGCTTAGAAATTGAGCAGAGAACGCTTCTCCCGTAACTATGGACTTCCGTGACACATTTCCAGCCTCTCTTTCCTGTCGTCGGTGCTGCTTTTGCCGCATGCTGCCCTTCCCTCAGCTCGTGCTCTCCGGATGGCTGGACTGAGACCCCCCCAGGCCACTCCTGGGGCTGATGCTGCACACCTGCCCCTCCCTTGCTTGCTCTTGGAACACCCTGTGATGACAGCACCGGGCCAGAAGTCCAGAGTTTGCCTTTTTTGTCAGAACTCCACAAAGGACAGGATGCTCCTCTGTAACAGATGCTTTTATTATTAAAAGTAGTAATGGGAAGAGCCCTCAAAGCTCGAAGGAGTAAGCGATGATGTCTGAACAGCGGAGGAGGGCTTCCCTCTGAACACCCAGCGGGGTCTGCAGTTCAGACACCTGGAAGTTCAGGATGTCAACGTCGGAGGTTCCAAACAAGGCGGTCACGTTGACCCTCTCGTACATGGTGAAGTCAACGGACCGCCCTGCCATGGCCATCAGGCTGCGCAGATAGCGTTCCCGCAGTGCCACTCGGCCTTGCTGCTCTTGCTCCAGCTCAGCCGCATTCCTGGGGACGGCAAAGGAGAGGCTGGCGGGGCCCAGAGCCTGGAAACGGAGAGAGCTGGGATCAAAGCCACGGCTCGATCCATCAGGCCCGCGAGGCAGACGGATGACGGCAACTGGCACCTTCATCGTACATCTCTGCTGACACAAAAATTAGATATATATGAATGTTTTTAACTGTGTTCATGTTCCCAAAGTATTAGGTACTCTTCTAAACACTGCTCAGGAAGGCTTGCCTTCTGTGCTACTTAAAATATGTTTTGCTTTTGGTAAGGATTTTGTTACTGCCTTGATGGAGGCCACTGAATCATCTCTGTTTTGAAAGCTTACTGAAATAAACACTGTAGATTCTCTGGCTGTGAAAAGGATGAGGACTAAAGGGCTACTGTTTTTTAAAAGAAAAACGTATACACTCAAACTCATGGCCAGTGCTGATTCTGCACATTTAGACTCTTGTGGGCTCAAAGCAGTCCACAGATGTTAAGTGTTGGCTCAGGCCAGGACCGTAACTGACCCACAAATGTCCCACACTGTCCTTGACACGAGCAACAGACTCCGCTTTTGGTCAGCCTTGCCAAGCCTGGTGCTCCTTCAGACATGCCCCACTGTCTGCCAAAGACTTTGTGCATGCGAAGTTACGCCTGGCTAACCAGCAACTCTGCCTGCTCCCATGGAAAGAAAGACAGCAGAGGGTTAACGAAGGTTTGGAGGCCAGTAAACAGGAAGCGTTGCTGTGCAAGGACAGCCTATTTTTCCCTTTGGACGGTGGCGGCACCAACTTGACGCTCCCTCGCTGTGCCAACATCCCCTATGGCAGGCGGCCAAGCCCAGGGTCAGCAACAGAGAGGATGTTTTCCACAGCGAGCTGGAGAAATAACTGGCTGAAGCCAAGGACAACTCCAGCGCGAAGGGAGCGAGCAGGCCGCGCAGTGCAAGACACGGGCCCTGAATCCAGGGAACTGAGCTGCTAGCCGGGACTGGCCTAGATGGCATAGCTGGACAGCCCCGAAATCTCACTGAACTGCTCTTTCAGCTAGGACTTGTAGGCTGGAGAAGAGAACCTTAACACCTCTGCAAGAAGAAGAAGAAAATGTGGAGTTTCTTGCAGTAGAAGCCATGACAACTGAACACATTTGTGTTTTTACCCTGAGAAGAATTCTGAAACGGCAGGGCAGGATGCAGTACGGCTGACACAAAAAGCAATAGAGCAAAAAGCAAAAGGTTCAGAGCTCCCAAGCCCCAGACCATGCCCTGCAGAATTCGGCACTCCAGTCCTGTCTCCTTCCACTCTGGGGGCAGTTCTGCCACGTCAAAGCAGCAGCTGTGACTGGAACGGGCACGATCTGCTGCTCTGCATTCATTGGGGAAGGTAAAGAGCCTGTGCTGAACTCGACCCATAAGCAGCAGTGAAACATTAATCCGGGCTGGTCACCCCTTGGACAGTGGCAGTATTCACAGTGGTGGCTAGATGGCATGGGGGCTGCCTGTGGCCCCTGGGCTGGGCCCCCTGCTTTGCACAAGGGCCCCTCAACCATGTTTGCAAGCAGTGCAATGAAGAAGCAGCTCCAGGCCTTGAAGAAAAATAATCTCGTATTGCACCGGGCTGTTGAACTGTACAGTATGCAAAGAGGATTAACGTTCACAATCATAACCTACAGGTAAAACTTTTTTTTTTTTTGCTCTCTGCTGGAAAACAGCAAGACTTCTGGGAGGAAATACCACAGGTTTGCTTCCCGGTGGAGATTACCTCCCCACGCCACAACCCTAGCCGGGTTCCTGAGGAGGCCACATTCCTGCATGATGTGTGTGTTCCTGATGCCTGGTTCCCCCCTCGGTCCTGTTTGTGCACTCTTTCCACAGACGGCTCATTCCTGACACGTGCTGTCTGGCAGCAGAGGAAGCCCCGGCCCTGGAAACCCCCTCCAGCTGGCCTGATAAGCGGCTGGCCGCACTCCGGGACACAACAGCAGTGGCGTGGAGAGGCCGTTTTCCTGGCAAGGCTCGCTTTTGCTGCTGTTTGGATGTGACCTGGGAAGAGGCACGTGCGTTACTATGGAAAAGGAAAAAAAGGAAGAAGAAGGTCTTTTAGCGTACCAGCCAGTTTCGGCTCTGGGCGCATGAATGCTCTGAGTGAACTTGCGCCAGAAGAAGGGCTGCGAAATAAGCCCTGTGCCACGGAGGCAGGGAACGGAGTCCTGTTTGGGGTCGGGGTAGAAGGCTCAGCACTGGGCCTTCCGCAGCAAGTACCTGGCAGCCAAGGTACAGAGCTTGGAAGGATGGGCACTGGAGTAGGTCCACCTGTAACAGCATCCTGTTGGAGCAGGCAGCAGTACTGTCCTTGGGGGACTGCAGAGGCCTTGCGCCTCACCCCAGGAGACTGTGGGAAGAGGGGGCCAGGCTTGGCCCACGTGCTCACGAGGAAAGCAGATGCCCCCCGAGTGCTTGGGGCGGAGTTTCACACCACATCTGCATCCCCGACGGCACCCTCGCTTTCCTCCTCGACCCGAAGGATGCAGCGACTCCCCCAAAGGCCACCATGCCGCTGAGGAGAGCAAAGCGGCGACAACTCTCGGCGGCTTGTTTGTTCTGGCTCAGGCCCCTCGCCCGGTTGACATCACATCCTGACGGCAGTGAGACCGGCACCTCCACGGGCAGGGTGGGCAGGGCCCCGACACTCGGGAGACGAGCACAGAGCTGGGTGCTCTCATTTGCCGAGTGAGGAAGGAAGGACGACGGAGAGTGCCCAGGAAGGCTGGTGGGCCCAGCAGGTGAGCTAGGGCTAGCTCCTGGCATGGGTGACACAGGACGGGCAGCCCGGCCGGGAGCGATGTGAACAGGAGACTGCAAGGACAGGCCAAGGGACCTGCCGGGGGAAGATGGATTCTTGCCAAAAGCCTCGACTCTTGCAAGTAAGTACTTCTGCGGGCAGGCAGGACACCGAGAGCGCCAGAGACGGCGCCTGGTTTTGGCAGGGTGCTTCAGTGCTGCTGAAGCTGCCACTGGGACCTGCTTTTAGGAACAGCAACTGGGATGTGGTGAAGGGAACTGCACAGGGCAGGGTCCAGGTTCGAGGCAGCTCCACTCTGCCTGCCCACCTCCAGCAGGACCTTGCCTGGGGACACGAGCTATGGAATTTGCTGCACGCTATGGCCACCTACGAGGATAGCTCTGAAAGGGGCTTAGGCAAATTCACGGAGGGGAAGACTGACTACTAGACCTGATGGCCACTTGCCACTTCTAGTATCAGAGGCAGTACGCCTGTGAACAGCAGGCGCTATGGAAAAGGAGTGGAAGGTGCTACTGCACTGCTGCCTTTCTTTGGAAACCCACAGAGGGGGGCATCTGGCCACTGTGAACGGAATGCTGGTCAACGTGGTCCCACAGTCTGATCCGGCCAGGCTCTCCTGATGCGTCTGATTAACATCACACAAGTGAACAAAGCCACGTTGTGGGTGACGTTACAGAAATCATGACAATCTGCCTCCCCACTTCGTTCATCTACTCCCCAAGCCCCAAAGTGATCATAGCAAGTCAGAAGGGGTCACCTGGGCCATCTAGACTGACCCCGAGCACAAGTTGGCTCCACTCATAAACAACTCATGGTTTGAGTAAAAAGAGGGTCCATTGCTAAGGTTATTTACAAAAACAAAATGGTGGCCACCAGGCAACAGCAATTTCTATTTGGGGAGACCTCTGTGCCTCAACTTCTCCACTTGCAAAACTGGGGCTCATGCCTAATGCAGAAAGCTACTGGAAGAATGAATGAAGCACCAGCAATTGGAAAGAGATCAGGAACAAAGACAGCAAGGATACAAAAGCATCAATGAGCGCTTGGCCTGTTTACTGTACACCGTATGCTGGTTGCTACAGGATCTCTTGTAGTTTAGCTCCAACCGAGTTGTGTTCCTTAATAATGTAATACTGCTCAAAGGAGCCTCCTAACTTGTCCCAGAACGTTTTTAGCACCAACACAGTTCTGTGAGGCACTCGCTCCAAAGAGCTTCCTAGATTTTCCCTATGCCCAGCAACCACCTTTTGCTGGGCCTTTGACGGGGGCCGGGCAAGATTAAACATAACCACACATGTAATGAAGCAGCATCAAAGCATGACACCGAACTGTGTCCAATTATACTGGCATATCAGTGTAATTATCTCCACAACCGATGCTCTCGTGACTACCAGAAAAGCAACTGCAGTAACAGTAGATAGTGATATAGCAAGTCAATGGTATTATTGGAATTCTATGTGTCGGCCTTCCCCAAGCTGGTGCCCTCCAGATGGGCCGGGCTTCAGCTCCCAGCATCCCCATGGGATGCTCGGGAACGCTGCGGAATGTTTTGTTTGGGGGCAGGGAGGGGGAGGGGAATAACCAGGAATCACGTTCTGCCTTTGTGCTGAATTCACCAACCTCCCTTTTTTCTCCCTCCGGCTTCCCCAGTTCCACAATGGTTTCTGCTAACTTGCCTGTTCTGACGATTCTACTTATGCCTCTTCTCTTCTGGGGATCTGAAGGCCCCCGGGCAGCATCTTCAGGAACTGCCGAGAGGACCAGCGAGAATGATCCCAAGCAGATCCCCATGCAGGTCCTCCAAACCATCTTGTTAAGACGCCTGGGCTTGCAAAGGCGCCCGGAACCTAAGCCCGGGCTGCTGGTCCCCCAACACCTGATGGACCTGTACCAGTTCTGCCTGGGAAAGGCTCCCCCCTCCCTCAAAAAGACGGAGCTTCCCTTCCTAGAGGAGCAAGCAGGAAGAGCCAACACTGTGCGCAGCTTCTACCACGTTGGTGAGGCCATACTTTACATGCCTGTCCTGGAAGCTCTCCCCCAGGCCGCTGGGGGTGACCGCCTGGCAAGGGAGCCGGGAAGACAGCACAAGCCAGGAGGGCTGGCAGTCTGCCGAGGGAAGGCCAGCTGGGGGCCATGCAGAGGGGGGCGGCTGTATGGGGCTGGCCCGAGCAGCTCAGTGAATAAAGCACAAGCATCCCAGTTTAATCTCCAGACTGGGAGACTGAGGAGGAGTCTCCCTGCTTGAGCTCCGGCCAGTCAGAAAAGGACTGCACCAGGCTAGATCAACCGTCTGAGCTGCTCTGAGCGGCTCTGTTCCAGGACACACCAGCCCAACTCTATGGGCTGAACTCACATAATTAAAGAGGAAATGCAGCAAGGTTCCCTAAAGCTAAAATACTTCAAGAACACCCCCCCCCCCCCCCAAAAAAAAAACTGTGCCTGGAAGTTGCAGGCCTCCTTGTCCTTGCATGTGGATTTTCAGTGCATTGCCAAAGTGGGAACTGGGCTGAAGTGGCGGCCGAGTAGGCATGGGAGAAGCAGGCCTGTTTCAAAAGTGCACATTTCCCTGCCCTGCTGGCTAAAGTGGGCAGCTGCGTGTTTTCAAAAAGGCGGATTTCAGAGCGTGCCTTCTCTAGAAAATACAATTTCGAATGCAACTGCAGAAGTGAGAGTTCTGTGCTCATTTCTTGACAAAAAGCATTGCTATGACATGTGCGCTTGCCTTGGACTCTAGTGCCACCTATGGAGCGTGCAAGGCAGCCTAGGAGCTTGCTGGAAGCAGGTAATCCTGCACTGTGTCACGCAAAGGTGCCCTTTCAAAGGAAGGGGTGCCACAGAACGGTTCTGTGTTGCATTTTTACAGCCTAATAAGGAAGACTCTCTGTAACAGGCACTGCAGCTCCCCTCGTCTAGTCTAGTATTTTTAAAGGTGGCAGATTATTTCTGGTTTCAATCCTTTGCACCCACGCCATGGTATACCTCCCTTAGGTCACAGTCCTATGCCAGTTCAGATGCCAGGAAGGTCTGTATGCTGGGAACGGTAGCCCATGCTTCTGTCTGAACTTGCACAGGACCGTGCCCTTAATCTGCGCATGTCAAAGGTCTCCAGATGCAATTCATGCGATCAAAACTGAGATCAATGAGCTCTAACTACCTCAAGCCTCTCTGACTGCAAGGGGCCTTCTCCAAGTGCGGCTCTTACCCCGAATGGCCAAGGTTACATTCTTCACACGCTGAATCTCCCGTTTCAAAGGCAACGCGTGCCTTTCGGGAGCTGGATGTTGGGGGGGAATGGCAAGGGGGGTCCGTCATTGAGACAAAGGACTCGATGGCAGTGCCAGCTCCAGGTTTTGGCGAGCCCGTGTGCAAGGCCCCCCCGGTGGGCCCCCTCATGCAGGGTGTCTCCCTCCGCACCAGCACAGTCACCGTCTGCTCGTGCCCCTCCTCCTCCTGCTCGCTGCTCCGACTCGCCTCTTGACGGGCAGGGGGCCAGGGCGGAGGTGGGCGGTGGCGGCTCCTGCTCGCCATCCCCACTGCCTGGACCAGAGGCGGAGGAAAGGGCAGGCTGCCATGGCAAAGAGAAGGAGCAGCTCCAGGGCTGGGAGCGAGCACCTGGCCCCAGAGTCCTTCCTCACTTCTGCTCTGTTTCACATTTAGAGGACCTGGAGCACGTCCCTGAGGTCACAGGAAGCTCATTCTATATCTGGTTCAACCTCACCTTGCTGCCCGCAGAGGAGGAGCTGACTGCCCTGGAGCTGCGCCTCTACCACACGCAGAAGGAAAGCCAGGGCTTTCACATCAATGTCTACCATGTGATGGATCCCCCGTTCGTTTCTGGAAGCAAAAACAGACTCCTCACCCGCAAATTCCTGGCTTCCGAAAAGCCCAGGTGGGAGAGCTTAGATGTCACTGCCGCTCTTGAGCGGATCAAGGGTAATAACCTCCACCTTGGGTTTCTTGTTGAGCTGGAACCCCTGAACAGCAGCCAAAACCTCCAACACCCCCCAGCTGCCCTTCGTGCAAGACGCTCTCCGGGGGAGAAGGCGGCACGGTGGGCTCTAGAAAGACCTTTACTGGTTGCTTACAGTCATGACCAAAGGGGGCAGCCTTTGAGCCACGGAAAAAAGAAGAACAGGAGCCAGGCTGGTAGACTGACCCAGAAAGGAAGCAGAAGAATGACGAACATTCCTGCCTCCAGGAGCAAACGCAAGAGCTTGAAGCCAAAGGCCAAAGCCAGCACTAGGTGCAGAAGGCACCGCCTGTTTGTGGATTTCAAGGAGGTTGGCTGGAATGACTGGATCATTGCCCCTGGGGGCTACCATGCTTTCTACTGCTCTGGGGAGTGCCGGTTCCCACTGGCTGACCACATGAACTCCTCCAGCCACGCTGTGGTGCAAACGATGCTGAATTCGGTTAACGCCAAAGTGCCCAAGCCATGTTGTGTCCCAACGGACCTCAGCCCCATTGTGATGCTCTACCTTGATCAACATGACATGGTGGTCCTGAAGACTTATCAGGACATGGTGGTGGAGGGCTGTGGGTGCCGGTAAATGCAACCGAGCAGGGATGCTCCCTTGCTCAGTGCTCCAACGTGGGGGTTATCCAACATGAGCGTAATGGACAACAAGCTCAGGACTGTTAGAATAACTTCTTCATGCGACACATAACGACCTTACAGAAGTCACCACTGCAAGAGGTGGATGGTCAGAACCTAAAATGGCTCGGCTGCACTGCCTGCATATCTCCAAGTACACCTGAGGAGGGAAAAGAGTCAAAGGCTATTGCAAGCTTGCCCTGCCAGGAATGCCCAAAGTCTTCTAGCTGGAGAAACTGGGAAAGCGATGGACCTTGGTCTGACCCAGCAAGGCAATTCTCATGTTCTTATGATGCCGCATGCTTGAACCTTTGTCTTGTGTATACAGTATTTTAGTGAATACTTGATGCTGGTCTTTTAAATTGTGATAACGTTTAGATGAACAATAAATGAAAAAAAAATCAAACTGATCATAGTGAGCATTCCTAAGCCAATTAAAAGAGGGGAGAGTGCTGTCGCCACTAAAGGTATATTCCCATCACCAAAGGAAAACAGCACTGGATACTTCTGTCAAGGTCATCCATTAGATCATTGCTTTATTCTGTGGTTTTCATGAACTTGTGATGTACAGGAATACATCCTCTCTCCATCCTCCAATGCACCTAGAAGGTAATGTTTTGCAAGGATCCTGGTGTTCCTTCCCAGTCTATTTTTCTAAAGGAAGTAGTCATTTTGTGATGGACAGACATTGACACCTTTTTTTAAATTTTAGGAGCAGCCTTCTGCTACCTTGCAGAAGTGTAATTCTATGCATGTTAAAATAGAAAATAGTTTTAAAATTCTCAGCAACTCCCAGCCATGACATTCCTATGTTGGCTGGGAAATGCTGGGAGATATAGCCTTGGAAAAAAGCCAGCCAATCTATGTTGGCTGTCTAGCTGCAGCACTTCAGAAAGAAGGGTGCAGAAGTGCCACTGGGATACTCTGTATCATGGGGGTATTGATATCCTCCATGCTCTCCAGAATGCCCACTAAACCCCATCAAGGTCACTTCTGTCACCTCAGAGAAGCAGTTGGCAGGATTCTTTCTGTGTTGGCTGCAAGAAGCAGAGAAAGAGGATCTGAGTGCAGACCCCCAGCTTCAAGATCAGCACAACTGCTGGGAATCTGAGCAATCCTATGGGTATCTAGACATTTTCTAGGGGCCATAGGATTCCTTTGTGAAATGCTTTCTAAAAGTTTCTGTCTAAAATTTTTCTGTTACCAAAGAAGAAGGTTTTTTTTTCAAGTAGTCTTGTGGCACCTTAAATACATGAGTTATCAGTTTTTTCCAAACTCTCTGCCTGTTCAAACAACACTGAACTTGTTTCTTTTTAATTCATGATGAAACCAGATCTTGGGTACACAGCAAGCTCCATTACCTATCAAGAATGGCCATTAGTTTCCTCTTCAACAGGCTCCATGAAAATTATCTGATCCACTCATTCTATTGCAAGCAAATACAATTTTCCCATTCAGTGAGAAAAGTTGTATGTATGCCCCATTAAACCCAATGGTACTAGCTTCCAATTAAGACATATATAGAATTGCATTGCAAGTCTAGATCAAATGCTACAGTCCTAAAACTTGCAATCTTATGTACACTTACTAGAAAGAATGCATCAATGAACTTAGTTATGCTTACTTCTGAGCAAATGTACATAAATTCCATTTGTTAAACATACTGTGCATTGGTTTAGCAAAAGCTCTTCGGCCTGCTGAAATGCAATATTTAGCTTTTAATTAGGAATACTAGAATGTTTTATTAAAGTGAAATCTTCCAAAAGTTTAGATAGAAAAAAAGTTCTAGAGCCCCCAGAATTCCCAAGGCAGCACGGATTGCCAGGGAATGCTGGGCTTTTATGACTTTCCCCCATCTAAACAAGGACTACTCCTTGGTGACACTTTGAGCAGACCTCCTAAAATGAGCCTTACCCAACCTGGTGCCCTCAATGTTTGGGTTTTCAATTCCCAGCATTCTTAACAATTGACCAAACTGGCTGGGGCTAATGGGAGTTGAAGTCCAAAGCATCTAGAGGACCAGAGCACTAAAATCGATGGAACAAGGCTGTCACGACTAGATGTTTGTTTCAACGCTCCATAAAAGACACTAGCCAATAGGTTCCCACGTTAAATTCCACCGCTGTAAGTAAAACGCCCTTTTAAAATATTGGCTAGGAATTTTGCTTTTCCGCTACAAAATATTTTAGCGTAAACTGACCTGAACATGCCTGGGCCCAGCCAACTCAAACCTCCATAGCAACCTCAAGTCCTCCCGGTCAGAAGGAAGATGCTTCCGCTCGGGAGAAATAACGGGCTTTCAAAAGGGGCGTGACCGACGGAAGTATATTACCATGAGGCCACTCATTTCCCCCCTTCCCGCAACGTGTGCCTTTATTTCCCTTGACCTCTCTGGCCAAAGGAGGAGCAAAACTCTATGGCTCGGTTTAAGAGGCCGGGAGGCTGTGGCAAGCGGGGACTGCGCATGCGTATATCGCGTATTTCCCCTCCCACTCCTACTGGGATATAGAAGCCGAAAGGGAAGCGCGTGAGTTCCACGTCAGAACCAGGCGGTTCTCGATATCCCTTTCTCCGCTTTTCAGTATCCACACATTCGACGCCTTCCTTCCGCCTCTCTCAATGTCTTCTTTCTCGTCGTATAAACAGAAGCTACTTTTAAAAACAAATTTCTTGTCTGGTCTGGAAGTCGTGAAGCTGTATTTTGTCTTCCACGTTCCCGTTACAGCCAACCTCGGTGTCGAAAGTGCGGCGCTGGAAGCAGCACTAGGAACTTGAACTCGCCAGGCGACTGAGAAGGAGGCGAGCGAAAGGCCGGAGGAGGAGGGGGTGTCGTGTTATGTTGTGCAAACCCCATCTGCTGATTCGCCAATCTCGGCCCGGGGAGCCGGGCACGTGACCCTCAGTTGAGAAGGCGGGGTGGGCGCTTGCGAGTCGGCCGCGCAGGGAGCTACGACGCGATGCCGCCGCGGAAGAAAAGCGCGCGTGTGAGGAGGAATTATTAGTATCATCACCGCTGTCGGTGTTCTCTGCGGAGGCTGCGCCGCCCCGTGAGTAGAAAGTACCGCGGCGGATGCGCAGGCCGTTGGCGCACTCGCTGCTGGCGGCGGCGGCGGCGGCGAAAGGAGGCGGCGGCGAGAAGGTGGCGGCTTCCTTCGGGTCCGCACCTGGCTGAGGCGGCGGTGGGCGCTCGCTCGGGCCGGACCCTCCTGCCCCTGCCCGAGGGAGTGAGTGAGTGAGTGAGTGGCCGGCTCCTTCCCCCGCCACCCGCCCCGTTATCCAGGAAGCGGCTCCCTCCCCACCCCTCGCTCCCTCCCCGCGGGTCGTATCGCCCTCCGGGGAGGCAGCTCCCTGCTCCCGCCCCTCCGCCTTGCCTTCTGCGGCCTGCCGCCCCGCCGGGGAACACGGGGGAGGCGCCCCGACAGGGCGGCAAAAGGCAGTTTCCCCTTTGTTAGTCCAGAAAAGGGGTCCCTCTCCCTGTTTATCTCCTCCTTTCACCCCTGTGCGGTTTTTAGCTTGATGAATACCTTATTCTCATCCCTCAGCGCCAGAGACGAGTGTTTTCCTTCCTGAGCAACTCCTGCCTCCAAGGTGGGGACATCAGTCACTTTTGCCCTTTTTCTTGCCTGGTAATAAGCGTCCCAATTATATCCTAAGTAATTGCATCCTAGTTCTCATATAATATCCCATTTCTGAAAAGAGGAGTGCATTTAGTTGTGTTTTTGGTACAGGAATTGATACATGTTGGCTTTTATTCCTTCCAGCAATCAATTCCTGTTTATTCTGCAGATATTTTAGTCCATGCTCTCTCGTGCACACCTTTCCAAAAAAAGGTGGTCTTATTATGATAACAACTTCTTTCAGAAGGCAATTATCTTTCTTCTTGGTTTCTGAACTAGACATCACCCCCATTTTATTCATTATATACCTGCTAGTGAACCCCATTTATCCTGAAGGTTATTAGTTCCAGTCACTTTACATGTTAGATAAACTGTAAGACTCTGTAACCCTTATTCAGAATACTACACAGCAGAAGATTGTTCCTCATTTTCCATACTAAGGAAGTATTCTCACATTTCACCAAATTCCTCTTTTCCCCAGAAATTGACTTTAACCGCAGTTCAAGCTGTGCCCTTACTCTTCTGACTTGCAGCAGCATCTTTCCTCGAACCACAAGCAGAGGTTTCCTTCCACTGTCCATACAAACAGAAGCCCATCCCTCCTTTTCCATACCCTATCCTATCCTATCCTATCCTATCCTTCATTCATGGTCCATATAGGAACCTTCCTTGATCCACTAAGGGCCTGGTCTCCTTGCAGTGTTGCTGAGAAGGAAGGGCTTTTGGAAGCCTTGGTAGCCTTTTATTTTCAGGCAAGGGAATCTGGAAAAGGATAGGAGGGAGGAGGGAGTTCCACCCCTAAGTAATGACTGCAGCGGGTCCATGAGAAGGGAAGAAGGTGCTTACTCCTTGACAGATACCTACCTCCCTTGCTTGGCCATGGAGTGTGTGCAAGTTTCTCCCATGCAGCAGCAGCAGCAAGGAAAAGCTGCTGAGGCGGACCGTCTCCTCCTGCTACTTCCATCCCCTGCTATGCAGAAGGAAGAAGAGGCCATGTTGAGGGGTTCTGATCCCTGGGCTTCCTCCCAGGCAGACACCAGCCGTGGCAGTATGAAACTTCAGGACACTTCGGGCTTTTCACAGCATCTGCAAAACACAGAGAGCCTTCACTCCCAGCATAACCCTCCTTCTTCAGGGAGTCAGCATGGCACAGAAATGGTAGACCATTATACTGCATGTTCTTCTGAGGAGGACATAAAAGTCACTGTGAGTTGTGATGGGGCAGAGGATCAGTTGCAACCACTGGGGAAAGAGACATTGACCTGTCCACTTCACGAAGAGTCGGTGATGAGTGAGGTGGCCTGTAATAACCCTTCTTTGGCAGCAGAAGCTGTTGTAACTGCCCGAGAATGCCTTAGTGACTCTGAAAAATCTGCTCAGCGGAACAACCATTTGCAGGAAATACCGGACTCCCCTTCTCAAAACTGTTGCTTGAACTTGGAAACTGCCAGTGGAGAGAATCCAGAGGATGACCAAACAAGCCAAGGTTCTCCATCAGCTGAAGATGGGAAGCTCAAGGCTGGGGCAAAGCATGTCACGTTTCCTTCCGATGAAGACATTGTGTCTGGTGCTGTGGAACCCAAAGATCCTTGGCGGCATGGTAAGCAGGTGTCAGCTCCTCGGAAGACCCTTCTTTGCTTCTTAGGGCTGGGCTGTTGATCTGGGCCAGTTATTTCATTAATGGGTTTGGGGATTCCCTTCTCAAATGAGAGCTGAACCTTTGTTTGACTCTGTTAGTCAGTTTTTTAGTGAAAGCACTCAAAAGCAATTTACATTCAAAGGATAAAAACACAGTAACAACAAAATCCTATTAAATAAGCACACACAGTACAGTATAAACAGCTGACGTAGCCAAGGTTCACTAAGAAAGAACTAATCAATAAGCAGGAAACACTTATGAAAACAGAATCTTTAAATGTCAGTACATTCTAGAAGGCATGAGTTGGCAGATCTCCCTTGGCAAAGTGTTCCATAATGTGGATGCATCAGCGGGGAAGACCCTGCTTTGGGATGACTTCATGCATGTCACTCCTTTATGGAATCCAGCCACTCCCATTGATCTAAGAAAATACGGTGCATATAAGAAAGTATACTTCCCAAGGTACACAAGGTCCAGAGGGTTTTAGAGGGTTTCATTTAAATTAACTAGAATTGTCTTCATTTATTTACTGATCCTACTTCTGTGCATCTTGCTGAAATTCTGTGTCAAGCTATGGTCGAGGCAGGGGCAGCTAACACAACAACTTAGTAATCCAAGTCTGAACTTAGGAAACAGAATGGAACTGAGAAGGACCTTTCAGAAAGTTTTTCCCATGGTAGAAGAATGTTAAAATTGCATGGGATAAAGATTCTTATTTTTAAAAACATTTTGTGGCTCATCGAGTGATTGCTAATATTGCTTCATGCAAATACAAGACAAAAGCTGAGAGGTGTTGAATGAGTGTGTATTTTTAAAGCATTTTATCCTATTCTGAGAGTAATCAATAAATACAATATAAAATGCTAAATGGGTCCTCCTTTTCATGAGAAATTTTTAAAAAATCCCAAGAAAGTTTTCCTTGAAGAAATCTCCTTATGGTTTTTCTTTTTTTCTTTCCATGGAGAAGAATGCACCCCCCCCATGCTCACATAAATGCAATCATCTTGAATTTATGGGTACAGTTTTTAAAAATCGGAAACATGACTGACTTACTAGATGTTTTCTTGTCACAGTTAGATCGTATTAATATGTTCAAGGATTTTTAGACATAAGGACTGTTCTCATATCATGGCAGCGTTCAGCAGTGGGTATGTTGTTTTCAGAAACGCCACACAAAATGTCAGGGTTTGAAGTCATGTTAACAGCCTATGAATGTAGGTTAGCCCACGATATGCCACCATAACTTGCAAACCAGTTTCCACCTCTCGTTCATTTTTGCAAGGACTGTGTTGAGGAGACTGCTGATGTTCCCACTTTGCAGGCTTTGCTCAGTGTCACTAGAATCCGTCACAGCACAGATTCAAACTTGGGGTGCCAGGGTTCAGATGCAATTATCTATCTGCCACACAGAGTGAACTTATCTTGTGCTGCAGAGGATTCACAACAGAAGAACTTCTGAGGAGCCCAAAGAGAGGGAGAAACATAATTTCTGCTTCTCTTCCCACGCCGCAGTTTGGTTTTGTTTGCAAATTTCGTCAGCTTTCTTTTGCACCAGCTGATGAAAATGTGGAATTGGTTTGGGTGGGCCTGGGGGGTCAGGGGAAGCTGTGACTCCACAGCAAAACAAACTAGGAAGCCTCTGACCGTAGTTTGTTTAGTGCTGTGTTCAAACCAGAATGCTTTGTTTGTTGCTATCCCGAGAAGCCAGAATCATAAATGATCAAGCTCCAGCTTCTGAGTCTGGTTTCTTGAGAGAAACACAAGCCAGGTTGCCCGTTCAGATATAATGCAAACCAAGACACAGATGCTGGGGCCTTCCTGGTTTGTTTTGCTGTTCCTCCTGGCAGAAGGAGCCATGTGGGAGTGAATGAGCAGCGTGCAGCATCATAATTGCTCATTCCTGATAAGCTAAGATTCTGGCTTGTAATTATATCTGAATCAGGCTATTAGCATCTCACACTCTCCAACAGTGAATGGTATTCTCTCCGGATTATGCACAGGGCTAGAAAAGACCTGGACACCTGCTTGATAGATTATGCTGATGGTAAGAATTTTCCCTTCCTGATGATGCTGCATATTCTGTTACATCATTCCCCCCTCCTTTTTCTGGTGCACATGTCTCAGGACGTAAAAGCTTGTTTTTAAGATTTCTTAGAGCAAACAAACACAGTGGTCCTCGGGATGATGCATACTAGCTGTTTTGCAAGCGTGGGGTTGCAAAGTGTCATTTGAGGACTGTGCTGCTGTGCAAATGTTTTGTTTGGGCAGCTTGGTGTGCCGTTTTTTCTTAGATTATCGTGTTTGCTTCAAGAACAGTTGATCCCCCTGAGTGTCAATCATAAAAATAGCTCTAAATCTGTTTGAGATGGTACTCATGTTTGTGGCTTCTTACATGTGATGTTTTTGAGGATATCTTAAATTGGAGGTTGTGCTGAATAGTCAAAACACTTCCAGATAATGAACTAAGAATCCTTTGCTCTTTTTGCTGTTTTCCCTATAGTGTGTAATTTGTTTTTCCTGGGTGGAAACTGTGGTATTTGTGATTACTCAAATGTAACTGAGGGAAAGGTATGGTGTATGCCACAGATGGGTGCAGCGGCCACTAGAAAAAGCTCAAAGCATCGTTTGCTGGTTCCGTTGTTACAGCAAACTATACTTTTTACTACAAATGAAGTACCTGCTTGAAGCTGAAAGGATCAGAGAGGCTGTGCCAGGGCAGGGGTCATTCTCAGAGCACCAAATCATGGTTTGGTGTACATCCAAACCAAACTACTGTAATAACATGATTTAACATCACTGATCTGGTTTGTCTTTTAAGAAATGCAGTGGAATTGTGTGTGTGTGTGGGGGGGGGGGGGGGGTCAACAAAATATGAAAAGAGAGCCAGATTATAGAGTGAATTTCTATTTTTCCAATTTTTGTTAGCCAAAACTGGATGGTAGCAGACCATGGGATGAATCCAGCTTTAGTCATATGTAGAGTAGATCCATTAAAAATTACGCTTAAATTAGTCATGCCTAAGTAATGTTCCATGCCGTCGGTGGGTCACACTCTAATTCTGGGTCCAGCATTATAGTTGCAACACGATGTGTTATTCTATAAGCTGTTACTCTTGAATCAGAAAGCACAAGTTGGAAAAGGACAAGTTTGGAGCTTGTTTCTTAGACGACTGTTTCTGATCCTTGGTGTGATTAACCGGCTTTCAGATATATATCTGCCACTGCAGGGATTGAGAAGGCTAATTTTCATTAAAAGTCGCACTGATGGTTCCATCAGGATGCAGGCCTTGCAGTGAGGCTTCACTGAGGTGGGAGGTCCTCATTCTGCCGGTACATTGAGCTTCAGGTGAGGCTGTGGACTCGCTTCAGGTGCCGCCACCGGCACAATCATATCCCATGAAATTCAGGGGAGCCAACTTTTGACTGACCACATAGAAGGGACCCTGCACTCGATTATATCCTAGTTTCACTGAAGTCAGTAGTGACCATGGTAGTGATATATGTAGGTTTTCAAAATAAATAAGTAGGCAAGCATTGCAGTATTTTCTGGGGTTTTTCCCAATACAAATTGCATTCATTCGCAAAGGATAAAGAACAGTTTGTACCAGAAAGTGTTTTGATGCTCTGGAGAGAGAGATATAGTTTAATATGTTTATTTTATTTGTATTTAAAACCAACAAAGCTAAAAAAGCGCCCCTGTGAATTTGTCGTCCCAGCACACCACAAGCATTAGGCCAAAAATATTTGAGGAAGAAATTTACTGCATATTTAATGTGATTTAAATGTGATATTGTGAAGACCTTTTTCTTGGTCAGTTGTAGTTTCAATGTTACTATTTAATTAAGTTCTGTTTGGTTTTGTGACATAGATGTATTTGAGTCACCTGAAAAATATTAATTACAACTTTGGCACTGCCAGCGTTGCTGAATATTATGTTTTCAACTGGCATACATTCAGACATCTTAGAAAATGTGTTATATTAAGCAGTGCATAAACATATTCTTAATAAATACACAATTTTTACTAAATAACTTACAAAATGGAACATTTTCTACGGAAAAGTTAAGCACTGGAAAATGTCCATCTCCTATCACTGGGTAGTGGAACGTACTTCGTTGGCTTTGTGGCTGATGGCATCTGCAGGATTAAGATCCTGTAGCAGCGGTTCGGTACGTGTTTCCTATGTATATGCTGAGCTATCTTCCCTGGAAGTAAATTGGGATGGTTGTGTTGCACACAACGTGCATGTTTTGGAGAGTGCCCAAACACTGAACTAACTGCACTTTTCCCCAGAAAGTCCTTATTTTCTAGGTAATTTCCCCTTTAAAGAATTTTGTCATTATAGGTAATTTTGTCACTCATCATTCCATATTTTCTTCATTAAAGATGGGTTTACTGAGCTGGTCATCTAAAAGTAAGGACTGGTTCAAACAGGGATGATGGCGGCAGATGAGTCATTTATCTTTCTGTACCAAATGCCCCTTTAAATTAGGTTATTGCGGCATCTTATATGTGTAGCATTTGTGTTCAGCCTTCACTTAGTTTGATGACATTGTATTGCTGCTCCTCGCTAGAAATTCTTTGCACATCCTTCTTAGTGTAGGAATTAAGGGCTAAGCTCGCCAAAAGATTCTGCACTGCCTTGTTGCGAACAAGTCAGGGACAGGTATCTTCTCTTCATCCTCTGCTGTGAAGACCGCTTGCGAGACAAGTTCTTATTTTTCTGCCTTAAATATAAAATCAGCTTTGTACTATGCGGCAGATGAAGCTGAGAATGTAAAGTCATGGCTTGCTAAAAATACACGAACCGTTTCAAGAGCAACAGATGGATAACAGACGCGAGTCAGTGCGGCATGGTGGTGAGAGTGTTGGACTGGGGACCCAGGAGATCTGGGCTCCAGGCCCAGTTCACCCGTGAAGCTCGCTGGGTGACTTTGGGACAGTCACTCACGCTCAGCCTAA